AGATGCTTTGGCGTATGAATGCCATCTCTTCAAAGTCTTTCTATTCCACAGTGTATTTCACACCTGTTACTTAACATATATTTTAAGTCTGGCTTTTCCCATAAATTTGGTGTAAATCTATGTCCTGCCTTCTCATTATACTGCACAGGCAGAAACTTCACTTTATCTCTGTGCATTTGCTTCCCTCCAACCCCACTCCAACTGGTTTTCTTTCCTCATTTGCATACTTTAAATTTGTATTTTGAATTCTGAATATTCGATGTGCACAAAACTTAGTGGATACAGGATTTAGAAAGGGGGATTGCAAAAGTCACTTTAAAAATCCATTACAACCATTTCAGTCCAGGCTTAATAGAGAAATGCGACATACGACTCCAGAATGCCGAGGAATTTCCACGGATGAGGCACAGAATAAACTCCTGTCCCAAATGCGGGGAGGGGGGGGGTGGAAGGAGCCGGGCAGAGTTCATGGAGAGAATATGCAGGGCTGGAACTGGAAGGGGTTTTGGGCTAAGAATCTTCATTACTCCTCTGGCTCTGCCTTCTCCGCGCGCAAGACTGAAACAAGGTGCTCTGGTACAATGCTTCTAGCCAGCGACTGCGCGACGCTGATGTGCTGGAACAAAGATACACCACAATTCGTGCTGGTTATAGCACAGCATCACTGAGAGAAGGGTTCAGTCTAGACGCTACGGTCCCAAACTGCATTGCAACTTAGAGTCAAAAAAGTCAGTTTCTGAGGTAATAGCTCAAATTAAGTATCTAACGCAAGTATAAATTTGCAATCAGTCCTTCTTCAAAAACAAAACGTTCTTTGAGTCTCAAATATCCGATATACTGAGAAAACCACAAGCTCTGTCAAACATTTTCAGCAAGCCGTTCAAGCAACAAGAGCAAGTACTCGGGTAAAGGAAGTACGCATCTACGAAGAACCAAACTTTAAAACCCGGAGCGCGCAGGCGACGTCTGACGTAAACCCGTCTGACGTAAACCCGTCTGACGTAGGCCTCCCTGCCGCAGAGCATAATGGGAGGGGTGGCGGAACACTACACAGCGCGCGCTGTGGGAATACGAAACGAACTCTGCGGACAAAAGGAGGGGCGCTCTTCGTACCCGTGATAACTTGGGTTTACCGACTTCTTGTGGAAATTGCATTGCCTACGCGGCGCAGGGGCGGCCCCCATTTTTCGTGAGTCTGCGTGAGACGCCCGGTGACGCAATTCCTGAGCGCGCCCGTGCCGGCTTGGCTGGAGGGCGGGCTCTTCAAATTTGAATCTTACACAGTTGTGGGTATTAGGGAGCCTCCGGCAGCACATTGGCACCGGCGCGGGCCGGAGGCGCAACCCCTGGGCGCCTGGGCCTGCATCCACACGAAGCCGAGCCGGGACTACCGCCATCTCTCCCTAACAGGGCCGTCATTCCAGGTACGGCCTCCTCTCCCTCCGCTAGCCTCCTGCCGCCAGGCCCCTCTGGCGCGGCAAGTCCCAGCCCTTCAGCATTCTAGGTCCTCGAGAGCTTTTGTAACATTTCTGGCTTTGGCAGTAATTTCACAACTACTCAGTGTGTGCATTTGTTGCGTATATACTGCAGTTATCAAGAAAATAGCCCACTTTCGTTCAGATGATAACCGCTCTAGGTCTTTCTTCCAAAATCGCTTCTGGGGGCGGGGGGCGGGGGGCGGGGAACCCATTACTTTAGAATGATTACCGAGTAGGAAAATTTTGTGCGTCACTGCCCGATTTTTCACGGTGGAACCCAGCATCGACAGGGCTATAGAAACAACTGATCCATCCAGCGTAGATTTTGTTCTGGTTAAATTATATATTGGTTGCAGACATTTTCAGATGTTAAAACTGATTCGAAGATGGAAGGCCCCTCATTCTAACTCGTCAAAGATAAACACTGTTTACAGTTTGGTACACTTTCAGATTTTTCTCCTGTGCTTATGCACCTGTGTGTGTGTGTGTGTGTGTGTGTGTGTGTGTAAGTTACCGTAACACGACTGTATGTTCTGTTCTCCTCTTTTTATTTGCTATATCCTAGCTATTTTCTGTTATTACATGGGTGTTTTTATTGAATACATAGAATTTAGTTGTGTGGATGTAGCAGAATTTCGTCCCATGCTGGACATTTAAATTGTTTCTAATTTCTTTCGTACTCTGGTGACCGTCCTTCTGTAGTGCCTGTTTAAAAACTTGGGCTTTGAAATCAGGTAGTCTCGGATCCAATTCTTAATCACTGTCAGTGGTACTTTGTGTCTTAGTTTCCTCATCTTAAGAGTGGTTTCTTGATCAATGGCATGCACACCTGTATTTTGAAATTAAGTTTTAGCAATCTGGTAAGCATAAGAAGTCTTACTGTTTTAATTTGCATCTCCATTTATTAGTAAAATAGAGTGTCATTTCACTCACTTATTGGCCTTTGTATTCTTTCGGTTATTTGCCTTCATCAATGTCCTTTGTCCATTTTTCTGTATTGATGATTTTTTTTAAATGATTCATTTGGTCTCTTTGAATATTATATATTTTAGTACTGTGTATATCATGTACTGCTTTGCTGGGGGGCGGGGTCGGATTTACCATTTACCCGTTAATTTACAAGTCCTGTCATTTTTCACAACTCTATCTCCCAGTTTCGGTTAGCGTGTTTTGGAATTTTTCACCCATTCCATTATAGTAATTAGTGGTAGTACTGTGGCCACTACAGTGAATTCCTAGAAAAAAATATTTCATGTCTTTTTGAGAAGAAAAGTAATAGTTTTATTCAGTATCATGTTCATGATAACCATTGTTTAACTTTCTATATTTACCTTTAATGTAAATGCTCATAGCTAGCCTGTTTATGTAATGGTTTTGCCATGCCTGAGTTTTTATTTTGAATAATTTTTTCCTATTACATCAATGTTCGTCAGTTTTCAGAATAAATTGTAAGGATTAGATTTTCCAAATAGCTCTATGCAGTTAATGAAAGCACAAGCATACCATTTTAGAATTCACCTTCTCTTCCACAGTCCAAGAAGAAACTAACAATTTTTTTGTTAGTGACTTCTGTTGAGTCAAGTGTACTTGGCCCTCAGGACACTGTTCTTTCCTTAATTTGAGGAATGCCAGTTACTGAATCCCCATTGTCTAAGGGGGGAGTCTGAGCAGCATAATTTGTTTTCTTTGTTTTGTTTTTACTAGAACAGAGGCTTCAGGTGTTTCTTGATGGCCTCTACCCAGTAGTGTTTCGTTTTTATTCTTTATCTACTCTGCAAAGCCTCTATGGTCAGAGAAAATCCTAGGTGATTTTTACCCCTCTCTATTCTTCTTTGTTCGATCAACCCAGTGAAACCGCTGTCAATTAGGCAACTCTTTTGGAATCTATTGAGTTGATATTTGCCACATAGTGGGAAAGAGGGGCTCCTAGAATAACTGAATCTTTTTTGTGGGGATTGGAATTTGAAGATCTTCAAAATCTTGACTACTCATCTCTCCATCCTACTACATGGTTGAATTGAGAGGAAGGAGATTGGACAATGTGAAAGAGACAATACGAGCTGGTCTTGGAGCCCTTCAATATGACCATAATTATCTACTTTTAGGTGAAAACAGTTGTGTATATTTACTACACATTGGGCTTATTTTTAGTTCTTCTAGTTACTTTGTTGTTTATACTTCCTGTTGAGCATTTCATTAGGTTCTGAGGAATTGAGATTGTGTAAACCTGCACATACTTATTGCATTTTTTCATCCACTTTCCCAGTTTATTCATTTTTGGTTTTGAGAATTTGAAGTAAACAGTGAGTATTGTAACTCCTAGCACAGAATTTCTATATCACTAGCACATTGCCATATAATTATATGTGTTAGTGCATATATAATTAACATGCTGTGGAAGAATTCAATGGTTTTTGTGCCACAAGGCTAGACTCCCAAGATACCTTTCTTTGTCAGCTCTTGTTATTGAAAAATATTTCCTTCTCTTTTTCTCTTATAAACTATTGGATAAAATTGTAGTTTGCATGTGAATTTTTAACTCGTGTATTTATTTTTAACAGAAGTTAACTGTAGATAAAGATTCTTGATGTCTTTGGTCTGGCTGCATTAGTATTTTCTGTGATAAGTTTTTCATGTTTACATAATGTCAAAGACTGGAATAGTTATAAATTCAGCAATAGGAGTTGTTTTAAATCTAGATTACTAAACTCTTTGGATTGAAATATTTTATTACTAAGTATTACAGAATACAATATATAGCTTATCATCTAGAATCTTAATTTCTAGGTGTCAGATACAAAATTTGTACATAAGAAACAAGCTAAAACAAGTCTAAGACCATGTGTGCTCAAGTGTGGTTCCCTTGAAAAATCCTAAATAGCATGAAAAAAAACTTTTTATTTAGAATGATTAGAGGGTTTTTCAGCTAAAACCTCACAACTGAAATGTTCTGCAACATAACAAAATCAGGACTGGGGATTATTTATGTAAAAAAATTGAGTGGATTTTTCAGCTTTTATTAGGCTATGTGATTGTTATCTGCTGCCTTAAAATTTAAGTACCTAAAGGGAAAAACCATATTTGTAAAACTTAATCTTTTATAACCTAATATACTGCCATATGCAGATATCATTTAATGCTTTTTGATGCTAATATTAGGTTGGAATCCCCCAGACTTGAGGGTCAAGTAAATTTCAAAAACAGACATTCGAAATTCAATTCTTAGAGCTATTAAGTAGCTGTTTTTGGGAATGCTACTTTTTTGTTGAAAGATTAAACTGTTCATCTATTGAAAAATAATAAAATGAGATTTAATAAAAATGTAAAATCTTAATCTGACTTGTGGGCTATAGATTACCCAGTGCTATTATGAACCAGTTAAACCTTTTAATTATTATAATGTTGTTGTGGAAAGTAAATAACTTAACTTTTTCTGTACCAAAACAGGATAAAGGTCAATTTTACACTGAATTAATTACAGGTTCTTCTGGACCCCTGCTGAAAATTTGTCCTGAAAATTGTGTGTAAATAAATTTTCTGATAGAGGAAATTTTGTTTATCAAGATGATTACACCTTTGAAACATCTGGGAATTCACTTGTCTTCAGAGACATCTTCTCAAAGGAGAAATATGCCTATTCATGCAGTCTTTTTTGACAGCATTCCTTCAGGCACACTTACTCCTGTAAAAGATTTGCTGAAATATCAGAATGCCTTCTTAAAATTGAATGACCATGAAAAAAATCAATTCTTAGAAAAGACAATTTTTAAAGATAAAAATATATTTCAGTCTACTATGCTAGCAGAGCCTAGCACCTCTAATAGTTCTCTTAATATCAGTGCTATAAAGCCCAACCAGGATGTATTAAAAAATAAAGCAAACTATGAATCACCAGTAAAAGTATTTCAAAGAATGAAAGAAAAAGTACTGCGTAACAAGCAAGAACAAGCATCAAGAAACAGTAATTTGTTGGAATCACCAAAAAGTGAAAGTAACGTTTTCACATGTCATGGAGCTGAGAAAAAGGTATCACAGCATACCTACGTCTGTGAAGAAAAGGAAAACAACAAATCATTTCCATCAGAAAACAGCTCATTAAAAGGTTAGTTATATTATGTGTTGGTTAAAAAGCTATAATGTGTTATTTATTGTATCCAGCACTATTTTAGGGACTCAGTATGCCGCAGTGAATAAAATTGGATAAAGATCCCTGCTCCCATGTGGCTAACTCACATTCAGGTGGTGGGGGACAGATATAGTAAGTAGTTTTATGGTGAAGTAGAAGTGCTAGGGAAAGAAAAAGCAGAGTAAGGATGATGGGAATAGTGAGATCATGTTGTACTTTTCAATGGGGTGTTCAGGGTGTGCTTCAAAGAGAAGTTGACATTTGAGCTGAGAAATTGAAGAAGGTGATAGAGACAGATAGGTATCTTGGGGAATGGGGAAGGATGACTGAGACAGGCAAAGGCTGTTACAAATACCCTGAAATTTCTGAATTATTTCAGGAGCATGCCTTACAAATTCAAGGACTAGCTATGAGATTGATATATCATGGAATGTGTCTACGGAGCTGGGGAGGTGGGAATAAATAAGAGGGACAGATAATGTAAGGCCTTTAGGACAGTGTAAGAGTTTGGGCTTATACTGGGAGCCATTGGAAGCTTTTGAGTAGAGAAATGACAAGACCTGACTTAAATTTTTAAAATACCACTTTGGCTGTTAATTTGAAATAATTACTGCAGTAATCCAGGTGACAGATGGTGTTGGCTTGGCCCAGGTGGTCCTAGTGAGGGTAAGTAGAAGTGGTTGAGTTCTGGATATATTTTAAAAGAAAAGCCAATCAAATTAGCTCATAGATGGGGTATGGAAAGTTAGAGAGAGATAAAGGATGACTCCAGAGGGTGGGTTTTTCAATTTGTTTGGTTTGGTGGTTATTACCCAGGCAACTGGAAGGATGGGGTGATTGAACTGAAATGGTGCAGACTGAAAGAGGAGTGAGATCAGGATCTGTTATTTTTGTCATATAAATTTTGATATGTCTGTTAAAAATTGAAGTGTAGATGTGAATTAGGCTGTTGAAAAAATATTAGTTGGAATTTAGGGAAGTACCATATTTCACCATGTATGATGCACAGCCATGGTTTTGGCCCAAATTTTCAGGGAAAAAAATCATTTTAATTTAATTTTTTATTTATTTTTATTTAGATACTTGTTTTTTGTATTATAAAGGAAAATTTTAGCATTTATTTTTTAACATATGGATATCCTTATTGCTTCCTAGAGTTACACTTTTAATGCATAAGCATAAATAAAAGAATTTTTAAAATGTTTATATAGATATGGAATTAGTACTACATATGCATAATGCACATCCTCAGTTTTTCCCTCAAAAGTTTGGGCAAAAGTGTGCATTATACACGGCAATATATGGTAGCCCAGGTGAGAAAAATATATTTGGGAATCATTCTCACCTAAATGGTCTTTAAAGCTATGAGATAAGATGGTATCATCAAGGAATAATTATAGAAAGAGAAAACATTGAAGAATGAGTCCTGGGGCGCCCCAAAATTTAGAAGTTAGAATACAGGATGTAAAGAAGTGAAAGCCACTTGAAAGAAGATGAGGAGTGATACTTTGGAAGCCAAAAGAACAGAATACTGTAAGGAAAGATCATTAGCTGTGTCTAATACTGCTTATCAGTCAGGTAAGATGCAGGCTGAAATTTGACCATTGGATTTAAGAACATGAATGTTATTGGTGACTTTGATGAGAGCAGTTTTGGTTGAGTGATAGAAGCAAAAATGTGATAGAGGAGGGTTCAAGAGAGAATGTGAGAAGAGAAATTGACAGTAGTGAATATAGGCGACTGTTTTGAGGCGAGCTGGGAAATACGCTTTTAAAAGATTTTATTGTTTTTAATGATTGGTGAAATAACATTTTTGTATGCTCTTGGGAATGATTCTGTAGGGAAGGAAAAACTGAGATTGGAAGTCTAATACTTACCTTGAGTAGCTGAGAGAATAAAATCTAAAAATGGAGGTTTGGCCTTAGCCAGGAACATAAACAGATCATAAATCAAACAAGAAGAGAGGCAGTGTTGTATGACTTCAGAAATAATCTGAAATAGGAAGTAAAGTCATCAGCTGAGAATGAGTATAGGGAGCAAGTATTGAAATTTGAGGAGGTAGAGATTTAAATAGTACAAGAGAATGGAAGAGCAAATGGCCTAGGCTTAAATTTCATCTCCTGGGTAACATTAAGGATCTGCTTGAGATTTGTGGGCATGAATTTAAATGAGACCAATCAGTATGGTTGTAAGTTTTCCACTTGCTCTATTACGTGCTAGTGGGGAATAGACAGGGAGTTGGATTTTTATCAGATTGTAATTTTGCTAAGTAGAATGAAGTGAGAAAAACACACAGTAGTTGAGGTTATGTGCACAAGGGGGTAACCACAATTGGCCATGAAATTTTAAGTTGTGTAGGCAAGAAAAAGAGGACCTGAAGGAGGTGAGGAAGTGTGAAGAAGTGTAGGTTTTGTTGGGATACTAAGTGTATTTGAGAGAATGATCTGGAAGGACAGAAAGTGGTCGGAAATGGGGCACTTGAGAGTTTTTAGTGAGTTGCAGTATTTAAAAAAGATATGTTACATATGTTACCTCATTTAATCCATTCAACAAACACTATGGTAGATGCTCATTGAATAGGCTAGGAAATGGGGCTTACAAAGAAGTTTTATCTGCCCTATGTCTCACAGATTAAGTGACAGGCTGAGAATTAAATACAGCTATCTTTTAGAAAGCCCATGGCTTTAATTACTACACAATTGTGGGTGCACTGTTGCATTTCAAAGACAATGATGTATTTTGACATAAAAAGCAGAGTTTTCTGAGGGAGTTTAGGCTGGAGTTGGGGGAATACACAAAATAATGTTTCTCATACAGCCTGGGACAAATGGGAAAAGCAAATGAAATAATGCCCATTAAAGCTCATTTTATATGTAAAGTGGAATTAGAAGAAGAAATAATAGACTGCTTAGAGCTCCTGATGACTGTTTCCCCAGCAAAGACTCATATACAAACACAAATGTTGTATATACTTTCAGAGGTCTTTTAGAGAGCCTGTGCGTGAATGTTGGACTCTCAAGTAAAGACCCAGGTTATATAGCATGTTATTTGATTAAATTACCTACTTTACTGCATTGCCCTGCCATTTCTGTAGAATGAGTTAAATAAATAGAAATTTATCCTTTTATAACACATACCATTACACTAAAATCTTTATATTAAGATTTCCATGGCCAAAGAAGCATAGTTATTAAAGCATAATCTCTCCCAATTTTGTTGTTTAATATTTGATTTCTTACATTAAATTTATTGAGGTGACATTGGTTAATAGGATCATGTAGGTTTCAAGTGTACATTTTCCTGATAGATGATCTATATATTGCATTGTGTACTCACCACCCATAGTTAAATCATTTTCGTCGCCCTGTATTTGGTCTCATTTACTCTCTACCCCTCTCCCACTCCCTTCCCTCCAGTAACCACCATACTGTTGTCTCTGTGTATCTGAGTTTCAGTTTTATATGCTACGTATGAGGGAAATCATGGTTCTTATCACTGACTTATTTCACTTAACATAACATTCTCAAGGCCCATCTGTGTTGTTGCAAATGGAAGTGTTTCATCTCTTATGGCTGAGTAATATTTTATAGTACATATATGTACCGTATCTACTTTATCCAGTCTCTTGTCGAAGCACCCCCTGCATTGTCTCCATGTCTTGGCCACTGTGAATAATGCTACAACGAACATAATAGTGAATGTATTTTTGCAAATACATGATTTTGAGTTTTTAAGGTAGATACCCAATAAAGGGATTGCTGAATCATGTGGTAACTCTATTTTTAGTTTTTTGAGGAACCACCATACTGTTTTCCATAGTGGCTGTACTGGTTTACATTCCCACCAGCAGTGAATGAGGGTTCCTTTTTTGTGCACCTCTCTAACTCTTGGTATTACCTGTCTTGTTGATAATAGCCATTCTAACAGGTGTGAGGTTGTCTGTCATTGTAATTTTGATTTGCATATCCCTTATAGGTAGTGAAGCTGAACATCTTTTCATGTATCTGATGGCCATTTGTGTGTTTTCTTAGGAGAGGTGTCTGTTCAGGTCCTATGCCCATATTTTAATTGGTTGGTTGGTTGGTTGGTTTGGTGTTGAGTTGTATGAGTTCTTTATACATTTTGGATATCAGCCCCTTGTTGGAGCTGTTGTTTGGAAATAACATCTCCCATTGGATTGGTTGCCTTTTTGTTTTGTTCTTGGTTTCTTTTGTTGTGCAGAAACTTTTTAGTTTGATAGAGTCTCATTCATTTATTTTTGCCTTTACTTCCCTTGCCTTTGGGGCCAAATTCATATAATGTTCAATACTATCAAGGTCCATAAGTTTAGTATCTATGTTTTCTTCTATGTATTTCACTGTTTCAGATCTTATAGTTAGGTCTTTGATCCACTTTGAATTAATTTTTGTACATGGGACAAATGGTAGTCTAGTTTCCTTATTTTGCATGTGGCTTTCCAGTTTTCCCAGCACCATTTATTGAACAGGCTTTCTTTTTTCCACTGTGTGTTTTTGGCTCCCTTGTCAAAAATTATTGACCCATATACCTGTAGTTTTATTTCTGGGCTCTCTATTCTGTTACACTGGTTAGAGTATCTGTTCTACCAATACCATGCTATTTTGATTATGATAGCTTTATAGTATAATTTGAAGGTGTGACGCCTCTTACTTCGTTCTTTTTTGTCAGAATTTCTTTGGCTATTTGGGGTCTCTTGTGATTCCATACAGTCTGGTGATTTTTTTGTTCTATTTCTTTAAAAAATTACATTGGAATTTTGATGGGGATTGCATTAAATCTGCATGTTGCTCTGAGTAATATGGCCATTTTAACTATGTTGATCCTGTCACTCCATGAACATGGAATATCTTTCTATTTCATTGTGTCTGTTTCAATCTCTTTTAATAATGCTTTGTAGCTTTCTGTATACAGGTCCTTCACATCCTTTGTCGAGTTTATTCTTAGGTATTGTATTTTTTTATTTTATTTTTTAAGTATATTTTATTGATTATGCTATTATACTTGTTCCCATTTTTTGCTCCTTTGTCCCCCTCCACATAGTGCCCCTTTTCCCTCCAGCCATCCCCCATCCTTAGTTCATGTCCATGGGCCGTGCATATAAGTTCTTTGGCTTTGTATTTCCTATACTATTCTTAACATCCCCCTATTTATATCTACCAATTATACTTTTTTAAGATTTTATTTATTTATTTTTAGACAGAGGGGAGGGAGGGAGAAAGAGAGGGAGAGAAACATCAATGTGTGGTTGCCTCTCGTGCACCCCCTGCTGTGGACCTAGCCTGCAACCCAGGCATGTGCCCTGATGGGGAATCAATCCAGCGAGGCTTCGGTTCATAGGCCAGCACTCAGTCTACTGAGCCACACCAGCCAGGGCATTTTTGTGGGAAGTTTTTGATGGTTGTTTCAGTTTCCCCCCTGCTTATCAGTCAATTTAGATTTTCCATTTTTTCATTTTTTAGTCTAGGAAGGTTATATATCTTTAGGAACTTATTCATTTCTTCTGGGTTTTGAATTTTGTGGCACAATCTTTCATAGTATTACAGAATGATCCTTTATATATTTGTGATGCCTGTGGTAACTTCTCTTTCACTTCTGATTTTGTTTGTGAGTTGTTTCTCTTTTATCCTTGGTGAGTCTAGCTGGGGATTTGTCAGTTTTATTAATCTCTTCAAAGAATAAGCTCTGTGTTTTCTTAATTTTTTGTAGTCTTTTTGTTCTCTATGTTATTCAGTTCTGCTCTATTTTTTATTATTTCCTTTCTTCTGCTGGCTCCAGGTTACTTTTGTTCTTCTTTTTCTAGTTCTTTAAGTTGTAATGTTAGGTTAACTTGGGATTTCTCCTATTTCTTGAGATAGGCCCGCAATGATATAAACTTCCCTCTCCCCTGGTTGGTGTATCTCAGTGGATTGAGCGCCTGCGAATCATAAGGCTGCTGCTTCTATTCCTGGTCAGGACACATGACTAGGTTAGTCAAGGCACGTGCCTGGGTTGTGGGCCAGGTCCCCAGTTGGAGGTGTGTGAGAGGCAACCAATCAATATATCTCTCATATGTCAATGTTTCTCTTCCTCTTTCTCCCTTCCTTCTTTTTTCTCTAAAAATAAACACATAAAAATCTTTAAACATCTTATTACTGCTTTTGCTGCTGTGTTGTTTTGTCATTCTCCTTTATCTCTATTTGCTCCACTTGCCCACCTTTAGGTGTTTCAATGGGTAGATCTCTCAGGCATGTTTGTAGGGAATCTTTTCTTATGATATGGCTGTTCTAATTGTTGAAACTTCAAGGGGAAGACCAAGGGAATCTCATGCCACCATTCCTCTAACCAATACTTGAAATTAAACATAGAAAATAATTTAGTTTTTCTTCTCTGCTACAAATTTTAAGTCTATTACCCTTCTTTTTGTGTATGAAATAACTTCTGTATTGATATAGGAGGTATAATAGAATAAATATAAGCGATATTTGTAGTTCTTGTTGTCTAGTTTATAAGCATATCAGATTTGTGCCTTTGAAGACCTGCCAAAGCGCGGTTAAGGGGTTATTAGTTATGATTGAGTTTGCTATTGAGCCTCAACATTTTTATTTTTAAAGTATAAGTTATACCTTTTCAACTGTTTTCACATTTCACAAATTTACAGCAGCCTGAAGCAGAATCAGAATTTTCAAAACTGGCTGGCACTTCATCTGTAATCTTAGCATATATGTACCCAATCTGTGGCAGCACCAGAATTTTATTCAAGTTCTCTAGGCTTCTAAGTCCAGTAGTATACTTTTGCATAGAGCTTGGAAGTTGTGACATGGGGAAGTTTTTAAAAATTCTTTGTCAGCATAATATAGGTATAGTGAATCGAGTGAAGGCATTAGAAGATTATAAAGAGTGAAACTTAAGGAAAAGTATATATACTATATTGGTCTGATTATTACAACCTAAGTCTTTATTTCAAGATTTTAAAAAGGCTTCCTTTTTTCCTTCTCAGTGACTAATATCAATACAACTCAACTTCTTTCTTTAAAAAAAATCTCAGCCTCAGTACAAGAAGTTCCTCTAGAACCATCAAATATTTTACTTCCAGTCAAGCCAAAGATTCAGTGTCAACAGGCAAAGAAAGCACCTCTGCACAATTTAACTTATGGTAAAGTGCTTTTGGTTTTGTTTCTTAGTTTGTTGTTTAAATGTATTGTTGAATGTTCTAGATAATTATTTCCCATGTGTAAGCAATAAGCTTTGACTGTGGATGAAAGATTAAATCATAAAAGCCAGAGGCACTTAGAGAAAAGACTGGGCAGGAGGATGGAGTTTCCTAACCTGAAGAGTTCTTTTGAATATGAACAGTTAAAAATTGCCCCATTTCTCTCTTTTTAATTTCATATGATTCTTCTGTAAATTTGATTTGACTTTGTGTTTTTTGCAGAGCTTCCAGTTCTGAACCAAGAACATGAAAAAGTTTCAGCTGCAGGAGTCTCAAAGAGGGCATTAACTAGAGCTCAGCTGGCGAAACAAATTCTTCTTTCAAAGGAGAATACAGTTGCAACCACCAAGTCCAAAAAGGACACATTTGTTTTAGAAGGCACTGATTCTGCCTATGAAAAATCCCAAAATGCTACTGTTGAGACTCTCAGTACTAACTGTATTTCTATCAAAAATGGCAGTCAATTAAGGGTTTCTGATAGTGAGGTAACAACAAAAGGAACTTCACAACCAGAAATTAAGGAAGGAAATGAGAAAACAATGCCCAAGGAGACTGATCTTCCAGGTTCCGTAAATGACACGTGTAAAATTGTGCTTGCAACTCCAAGAGTTCATGTAACAGTACCTCGGAGATCAAAAAGATATGCTTCAAAGCTTCCTCCTCCAAGTGTATGTCAAACTACTACGGATGGAGTTAAAAATAATAAGGTAGGAAAACCTATAAGGCAGGTGTATATTTGTTTTATTCCCATTCTTCAAGAGCTTGAGCTCCTATGCTCACTCGTTATTAACAGTAGCTTTGTTTTTGTGTTTTATTATTATTTAACATAGAGGCAGTGTTGCCTAGTGAAAAGAGCAGTGGTTTGAAAGTAAATAGACACAGGTGTTAAATCTTACCTTGCTGTACTACCAGCTGTATAGTCTTCAAGAATATGCTTACTCTCTTTGGGGATGAACACTGACTTTATTTCTGTTTATAATTATTTTACCTGATTTTTACAGTACTATTAACAGAACAATAAAGAAAGAAAGGAATTACATGTAGCAGCTAAAGATTTGAAAATTTTTTTTCTGTTGTAAAGTAATATAGTGATCAATAAAAGACTTCAGACTATCAACCTATGTTACCTTAGGACATTCTCTAAAGAGGCTGGAATGGAACAAGAAGTTCAAGGAGAAAGATACAGTGTAAAATTGTTAAAGGTTTGCCCATTAATTTTTAAAAAGTTAATGGTGGGTTTTTTCCAGAGAGAAGCCATACTCTATATAATCCTCAATTTCTACCCAGCAGCTCCTTAAAATATTAAATCATGCCATCCTCTGCTCAGAAGTCTCCAGTAACTTCTTATGTCAAGAGAATACACTGTCCTGGCTGGTGTAGCTCAGTTGGTTTGGAGCGTCATCCCGTAAACTGAAGGGTTGTGGGTTTGATTCTAGGTCAGGGCACATGCCTACGTTGCAAGTTGAGTGCTTGTTTGGGCAACTGATGACTGTTTCTCTCTCTCCCTCCATTCCCCTCTCTCTAAAATCAGTAGGCATGTCCTCAGGTAAGGAATAAAAAAGAGAGAGAAAACACTAAGCCATGTTTACAGGACTATACATAATTCAGTCCTGAAGATATTCAGCCTCATCACATACTGCTCAACAAATAACTGCTGAGTAAATATGAATGAATATCTTCACATTTTATATAAACAGTATGGTATAGGACTCTGGAGCTACAATCCCATATTTACAACCCATCTGTGCCACTAACTAGCTGTGTGCGACATGTGCAAGTTATTTATATTACTCAACTAGACCTTACAGTTTCTTTATCTGTAAATGAAGTTACTTGTACCTACCTCCTAGTGGTATGAGGATAACATGAGTCAATATATCTAAGGTACTTGGAACACTAGCTAGTGTTAACTTTTACTTTTAATACCATTCGACTTCTTATTTGATATATCTCAGGTAGCTCCAAGTGTGGAAGTAGAAAAAAAAAATTTATTGCTTTTTCCCTAAGTCCTACTTATAATTTTTTTTAAAGATTTTGTTTGTTTAGTTATTTAGTTATTTATTTATTTATTTTTAGAGAGAGGGGAAGGGAGAGAGAAAGACAGGGAGAGAAACAGCAATGTGCGAGAGAGACATGGATCAGTTGCTTCTTGCATGTCCCCAACCCAGGATCTGCAACCTAGGCATGTGCCCTGACCAGGAATTGAACTGGTGACCTTTTGGTTCGCAGGACGGCACTCAATCCACTGGGCCACACTGGTCAGGGCTATAATTTTTTAAATGAACATAATTTCAGAAGGGCAGTAACTAAGAGCATCATTCTATTTTAACATCTTTTATTGACTCAGCATAAAAGTACCACTGGAGAATTTATCTATATATAAGTTTATGATTTTATATATAAAGTATATGGCTTGTCAGATTAGTTATTTTATGCCTTTGGGCTAAATATCTCATCAGAAATAGTTCAATATTAAATTGTTTTTACACAATAGAAACTGTAACTTATTAGCACAAGTGTTCACAGAAGTTTTCATTTATGATAGGATTTTACTTGTCCTAAAATAAGGAATTGTCTGAGTTGTTCAGATATTTGCTTTGGAATACAATGCTGTTAAATTTAGATCATTAACAATTACCTTTAATGCTTATAGAAAATTGAATGCAACTTCAACTTTGAAAAAAAAAAGATGTAATTTTTTAGTGATATGAGTGATAGGGATGAGTATACTATACAGCAGACTCTTGTTTTCTCCAAGTTATTGGGTCTTTTTTGGGAATTTGTGTTTTAATGGCTACCTTAGGATTTTAGGTGATGTTTTTCACCTGTGGTGAGATATTAGATATTAAGAATAGTTCAAATATAATTGATTGTGATTGTAGAACAAACTACTACTACTCCAATTTAGTCTCTCTTGCCATTCATCTTTTCTGTTTACTGTTCACAAGAGCTTTTAACCTTATTGCTGTTTAAAAGAGAATGTGATTTTTATATAGATATGCAGTAAGGAATCATTTGGATTACTTATGAGGCTTTTCTTTTAATGTAAATTGATTTTTCAATGCTTATACTACAAGTAATGCAGAAAATATATATTTTATGCTTGATTAGGTAGTCCAGCTACAGGAATGGATGATTAAAATCATCAACAATAACACTGCTATATGTGTAGAAGGAAAATTGATGTAAGTATAACATTTGAATATTCTTTTAATAAAATATATAATAAAATAAGACACTGTATATTAGGGCTTAAAAGGAGAAGCATGAGAAGTAGCATCTTCCTATAAAACAAAGACTGTCTTAACTAGATTGCAAACTGAAGGCAAAAAAGTGAAATGACTCTAAGTGTTGATTGTGACCAGCTTTCTTGTTTTTGCCTTTTTAGGTTATATTTAAAATAGTGACAGCTCAAATTTTTATACACAGTGTTTTTTTTTTCCCCAGAGGTTTAATAAGTTGACTGGTATTTGCTGCTTAATTATATATGGTTAGTTAATATTTGCTACATGCATTTCAGTCCAGATTCTCACATCTAAATTGGGACAACCAGATATAAATTAGTGATCAAGAAAAGGAATCAAAATTAATTTAAAACTTTGCCATACAGCTACATAATAAGTAATCATTGACACTTTCTGGTTCTCCCTAAAGTGAAAGCATCAGCAGGTAAGTGGGCTTTGCTTAATTCTGCTAATCTGTTAGGATCATTGCCTATTCAAAATCGATTTGTTAGTGGTAAAAAAAAAAAAAAAAAAAAATTGTAAAAAATGGCATGTAATGAAAACAATACAGAGTACCACTATTTAAGTACTGGAAGTTTATAGGTTTAGTATATGAAATCTGTCTTGCTCACTCCATTTCTGCCTGCTTGTGCCCATTTCCTGAATATTCAAAATGCAGCATAGATTGCCTTGGTTGGAATCTCATTGCTGCTGCTTACTGACGTATGACTTGTGCAAGTTCTATATTCTCTTTCAGTCTCAATTTTTTCATTTCTACAATGCCGATAATATTACTACCTTTTGGATTATTTTGAAATGAGCTATATTTTTAAGACTTGAGAATGGTACTTTGAAGTGCTATTTAAATGTTTGTGAAATAAAATTAATAAAGAAAAAAACAGGATGAGAAGAGTGTAGTTCCATTTGACCAAGTGAAAGGAACTTTCTTATTACGGTTAGATATAGTGTATTTATTATTAGTTATCTAGTGAATTGGAGAATGTTCAACTAAGAGATCTTCATATTTCATTCTATTTTATGTTTATTTTTAGCTTCATAAGGAAGTATTAAGAGTAGATTTATGAGTAAATGATTGACATTGCAGTTTTCCCAGGAACTTCTTTTTCATACTTTTCAAAGAGGAAGGTAAAAACATTGGGCTGTATAGAGAGGGTAAAAAAGCCCACAAGATTAACCCTGACAAATGTGGCTCAGTTGGTTTAAAGCAAAAGGTCGCTGGTTCAATTCCCAGTCAGGGCACGTGTCTGGGTTGTAGGTTTGGTCCCTAATTGGGGCATATACAGGAGGCATCTGATCTATGTTTCCTTCCTTCTCTTTCTTCCTCCTTTCCCCCTCTCTAAAAATAAATAAAATCTTAAAAAAAAAAAAAAAAAACCCAGCCCGCAAGATTAGAGGGATCCAAACTAAAAACTGTATGAAATCTAACATAGTACAGGCCCTGAGAAGAGGGACAAGGAAATCATTATTTGGAAGCTTAGCATCAGTTAAGATGGAATTGCAAGTACTGTCAACGCTATGTATTTAAAGACATTACCTGCCTCCTCGTTAATTATATACTTTATACTAGCATTATGGTTTGGTCACCACAGTTTCTTGGCACATACTCTGGGGACCACATTAGCCAAGCCATTGAGTTCTGCAGTGCTTGGCCCTCAAATGTATTATAATTAAATAAATAATATTGTTAATATAGCTGGAATGCAAATTATTTTCTATTATAAATGTTTATACTTATCTATGTATATCGTGACTATCTACTAGTAAAATGTGAATATTTTGGCCTTAACTAAGCTATTTTTCCCTCCTAGAGACATCACTAATATATATTGGCACAGTAATGCAATTGTAGAACGGATTGAACAAAACAAACTTAGGACATTATCAGGCAACATTTATATATTAAAAGGAATGATAGATCGGATTTCCATGAAAGAAGCAGGTAATGACTGATTATTAATTAATTAATAAGTTATTTTAATAAATGAAGCAATTAATCATATTTTTAATACTAATATACATTTTTACTTTCAGTTGGGTGTTTTAAAGTTGTGACTCAACCATAATTAAAAATTAAAAGAATTGATCACACTACATAAAACTATTTGACAGTTTAAATAAGCCTAGTGATTTTTTTTAATTCAAGTGAAGTGTTTATTATTTGGTAAGAATTGCTTTATAAGAATGTAATTTAACTCTCTAGGTCCTCTTTTTGTTAAACCTGCCCAGCACAAACACAGTCTTGGCATTCTTGGCATAATCTAATTTTCTGTCTGAATATAACTGAAGAAAAAAAAATCTGACCAGGTCTACTTTAGGTTTATGATTATCAGCAACAAGTTACCTTAGTGCCTCTAGAATCCTACCACATTTCTCTCATTCATTCACACTCCCATGCTCCTTAATGACTACTTCATATTTTTACAAATCTCCAAGACCTCCTCCTTCCCTCACTCAGGTAGGGAAATGGGATGAGGAAGAAAGGGTATCTATCACCTGAGCAATAGGAACAATCAGAAGAGAACATCTTCTCATATCTACTCACCTGCTTGCATCTGGACCTCCTTTTGTATGGATGAACAGTTCATGTTTCTGTCTGTGTCAGCCTCTCCATTTATATGCTAGCTCCCATTTTCCCTTTTACTCAAAGATATCACAGCAATTATTCTCCCTTTTCCTGTCAAAAACAATCCCTCTTTTTTTTTTTTTAAGAGATCGATCCATCTTTTAACCACATTTCTTTCAACCACTATTGCTCTCAGCTATAGCAGAACAACTCAGAAGATTTGTTATATCTAATTCTTCTTGAGGTTTTTCCCATTTTCTTGAATTCTCTTTAATCATGCTTCAGTGCCCAATTCTTCATAGAAACAGCCCTTATCAAAGTCAGCAGTACCCCACATTGCTAAATCCATTATGAACTTGACACAGTTAATCATACCTAACGCCTTGAAACACTTTCTTAACTTGGCTTCTAGAATACCATATTCCAGTTTTCATGCCATTTTACTCCCTCTTCCTTCTTGGTTTCTTTGTTCATTTTTCATTTTCTTCTTTGCTTCTTAATAATGGAGTAGATTAGGGCTCTTTCTGCATCCCGTGCAGTACTGATTTCTTTTAGACTTTATATTTTGTCTATGTGGTGACAAGTGCCAAATTTGCATCTCTAACCAAGAATACTCATCTAGCCACTCAACTCAATTTCCATCTGTTCACTTGACATCTCCATTAGGATGTCTACAGCCGTCTTAAACGTAATACAGTCATGCATTGCTTAATCGCAGAGATTTGTTTTGAGAAATGCATTGTTAGGTGGTTTCATCATTGTGTGAACATTGTAGAGTGGACTTACACAAACCTAAATAATATAGTCTACTATACACCTAGGCTATACAGTACAGCCTATTGCTCCTTAGCTACACACCTATAGAGCATATTATTCTGCTGGATCCTGTAGGCAGTTGTAACACAGTGATAAGGATTTGTGTACCTAACCATAAAAAAAAAAGTATAGTAAAAATATGGTATAAAAGATAAAAATGGTAACCTGTGTAGATCACTTACCATGAATGGGGCTTGCATGGAAGTTGTTCTGGGTGAGTCAGTGAGGCAATAGTGAGTGAATGTGAAGACCTAGAACATTTATTGTACACTGCTGTAGACATTATAAATACAGTACACATAGGCTACACTAAGTTTATAAAAATATTTTTCTTTAATATTAAGCCATAGCTTACTGTAACTTTCTACCTCTATAAACTTTTTAATTTTTTAACTTTTTTATTTTATATATATTCATTGATTATGCTATTACAGTTGTCCCATTTTTTTTCTCCCCTTTATTCCCCTCCACCCTGTACCACTGCACCCCCACCCCACCCCAGTTCATGTCCATGGGTTATACGTATAAATTCTTTGGTTTCTCCATTTCCTGTACTATTCTTAACCTCCCCCTGCCTATTTTGTATCTACTATTTATGCTGCTTATTTCTTGTACCTTTCCCCCTCCCCTCTGTTTTTACTGTTCATAGTTTTTGATCTTTTTTCCCTTAGATAAGTCCCTTTAACATTTCATATAATAAGGGCTTGATGATGATGAACTCTTAACTTCACCTTTTCTAGGAAGCACTTTATCTGGCCTTCCATTCTAAATGATAGTTTTGCTTAATAGAGTAATCTTGGATATATGTCCTTGTGTTTTAGGACTTTGAACATTTCTTGCTAGCCCCTTCTTGCCTGCAAGGTTTCTTTGGAGAAATCAGTTGATAGTCTTATGGGAATTCCTTTGTAGGTAACTGTCTCCTTTTCTCTTGCTGCTTTTAAGATCCTCTCCTTATCTTTAATCTTGAGTAACTTAATTATGATGTACCTTGGTGTGTGCTTCCTTGGGTCTAACTTCTTTGGGATTCTCTGAGCTTCCTGTATCTCCTGGATGTCTATTTCCTTTGTCAGATTGCGGAAGTTTTCCTACATTATTTTTTTCAGATAAGTTTTCAGTTTCTTGCTCTTCCTCTTCTTCTGGCACCCCTATGATTCGGATGTTTGATTGTTTGAAGTTGTCCCAGAGGTTCCTAAGCCTTTCCTCATTCTTTTGAATTCTTCATTCTTCATTCTGTTCTAGTTGAATGTTTATCTCTTCCTTTTGCTCCAAATTGTTGATTTGAGTCCCGGTTTCCTTCCCTTTACTCTTGGTTCCCTGTATATTTTTCTTTTTTTCACTTTGCATGGCCTTCACTTTTTTCTCCATTTTGTGACCATACTCAACCAATTCAAGGAGCATCCAGGTTACCATTGTTTTGAACTGTGCATCTGATAGGTTGTCTCTCTGTTAATCACTTAGTTCTATTTTTGAAGCTTTGATCTGTTCTTTTATTTGGGCTGTATTTCTTTGTCCCAGCGTGCCTCTTAACATTGGAAGGGGCGGAGCCTTAGGTATTTGCCAGGGCAGGGCAACCCAGATCGCTGAATGGTGACAGTCTTTGGGGGAGGGTCTGAGAGGGAACAGTGCTGCTTTTTCGGCTCTCAGCAGGCTTTCAGTCACTTCCCCTGGCACCCACAAGCAGATTGGGCCCTTCTGGTGCTGATTCCTGGGTGGCTGGATTTGTGTATGTTCTAGGACCCCATGGGTCTCTCCAAAGGACTCCTGTGACCAGGAGTTTTTCCTGCCACTGCAACCCCCACAGTTTTTTTACAGCCAGACATTTTGAAGCTTTCTTTTCCTGCACTGCAACCCTGGATTGCGTGGTCTGTCTTCACTCCCCAGCTATTCCTCCAGTTTATCCACTTACAAATGTGGGACCGCCTGGTTCTCCAGCCACCGCCTTGCCATGGGTCCTCTTCCCTGGCTGCCCATCTCCACCCCTCCTACTGGTGTGGACGAATGTTTCTTTTTTAGCGCCTTGGTTGTTGGACTTCCACACAATACAAAAATTTAAAAATTTGTTTTTAAATTTGTTGTCCTTTTGGTTGTGCGAGGAGGCAAAGTGTAGCTACTTACGCCTCCATGTTGGCCCTAATTTTTTTGAACTTTGCAACTGTTTCTGCAATAAGAACTTAAAACCCAAACACATTGTACAGCTGTACAAAAATCTTTTTATCCTTCTTCCGTATTAATAGCTGTAAGTAATACATTCATTGTGAAATCATGATGCTACATGGTCAGTAGGTGATACAAATTTTTCAGCTCCATTATGATCTAATGGGACCACCTTCATATATGCAGTCCATTGTTGACTGAAAATCCTTATGCAGTGCATGACTATATATCCAAAACCTGATCTTCTCCCTTAAATCTGCTTAGCCTACAGTCTTCCCCGTCTTTCCATGCTTCCAGTGGCTAGACAGAATCCTCAGAGACATCCTTAAATCCTGAATTTCTCTCATACCCACACCTCTAGTGTGTCAGTACATCCTATTGGCATTATCGCCATAATACATCTGGAACCTAGGCTTCTGCTGGCCACTGTAGTCCAGACTTCCCTCTTGTTTTGTCTGAATCATTGCAGTAATCTCCTTACTGGTTTCATTGTTTCTCCTCTTGTACTTCCACAGACTCTTTTCAAAGTAGCAGCTATTACAGTGTTGTTAAAGTCAATTCCTGTGGCCCCTTTGGTCATAACATTTGCATAGCTCTCCTCTCACCCAAAGTAAAAGACTGGGTCTATAAAATGCTTCCAAGGCCTTGTATCCTATGCTCCTCCACTGCTTGTGTTGCCCATCTGAGTAGCCTTCTAGTATTAGCCTCTCTTCACTCCACCTTAACTAGGCTAATCTCTTTATTCTGTAAGTAGACCAAGCACAGTCTTGCCTCATAGCCTTTTGTTTTGTTCTCTCTGCTTCCAGTGTTTTAACTCCTTATTGCCACATGGTTTACTACAAGTCCTTCAGAGCTTTACTCAAATGATGCCATTTCAGTGAGAACATCTGTGACTATCCTTTTTTAAAATGCCATGTGAATGAACACACTGGTACCCGTATTCCCCCTTAACTGCATAGTTTTTCTCTATAGCATCAATGACCATCTAACAAGATACTTTACATACTGATTTGTTTTCTGTTTCACACTAGAAGGCAAGTTCCATGAAGGCAGGGAATTTTGATTATTTTGTTAATTGCTGAATCCTCAGTATCTTCAACAGTTCCTGGCACATAGTAAACAATAAGTATATATTTTTTGAATGATTTAATAATTGACATCTCTTTAAAATTCTAGGTTTTTAGATAATTTTGTTTGTTTATCGTTAAATAGGATATCCAAATTATCTCATAAGGAAGTTTATGTTTGGCTTTCCAGAAAATTGGAAAGAGCACATTGATAATTTTCTAGAACAATTAAGGTAAAGTACTTTTTAACTTTTCAAAAAGACAACTTTATTGAAGGATAATTTTCATTTGATAAAATGCACCCATTTTAGGTATACAATTTAATGAGCTTTTAAAAATGTATATACTCTCATAACCAGTGTAAAGTAGTTTAATTTCTTTTTATAGAAATGCCAGTTTTGAAGCTCTCTTTCATCTTAGACTTTCAGAAGGCAGTAATACTCTACTAGAATTTCTGTCATGTGGAAATCTAAGAGGAAAATAAAACCAGGACATTTCAAAGAGTCGTCCTTAGTCTACCCTTTAAGAGTCAACTAACACAAGTCTGAATGAAGTTCTTGGTCTTTTTTCTTTCATTCATTCACTCTGTAGTTACTGTATGGGCATGGGGAAAACAAAGAAGAATTTGATTAATTCTTGCCCTTAAGGAACTTATAGGGGATAGATTGATATAAGTTTATTAATCACAATGCAGTGTAAGAACTTATAACAGGGGTTGGCATTTTTCTGTAAGGAGCCAGATAGTGTTTTTGTGGGCATGCTTCCTCTATTGCAACTACTCAGCTCTTTTTAGAGGAAAAACAACCATAGACAGTACTTGAATGAATGTGGCTGGCTGTGTTTCTGTAAACTTTATGTATAAAAATAAGCAACTGAGCCCTGGCTGGTAGCTCAGTTGGTTAGGGCATTGTTCCGATATGCAGAAGTTGCGGGTTTAATTTCCAGTCAGGACACGTAAAAGAATCAACCAATGAATGCATAAATATGTGGGTCAACAAATCAGGGTGTGTGTGTGTCTCTCTCTCTCCCCCTCTCCCTCCCTCCCCCTCCTTTCTCCCTCTAAAAATAAACACCAGAATAAGCAACTGATGGGATTTGTCTTATAATTTTCTTATAAAACAGCTGAAGTAGGAAATACAAAAGCCTGGAGTAGGAAGCACTTACAAGGTTATATTGGAATCTTTTGACTTACAATATTATACTTGAGTTTTTGTGGGAAAAGGTGTGGAAGCCATAAAGGTTTAAATAATGTGATATCAAAATAATCTTTACTGCAGTGAAGAAAGCTTCACGTGAAGGAATCTTCCCCTCCCCCACCCTGCCCTTTCTTTCTTGTTTTTTTCTTTTATAGGTATAGGGTTAGTGTTAAAGGTTAGGTTAGGGTTTGGGTTGAGTTTAAAATTAGGGTTTGCTTTAGGATTAGGTATAGAGTTAGGGATAAAAAGTTTAGGATTAGGGTCTTTGGTTTAGGGGTAGGTTTAATTAAGGTTTGATTTAGAGGTAGGGTTAGGGTGATGGCTTCAGTTAGGGGTTAGGTTTAGAATTAATTTTATGGGTAGATTTAGGGTAAAGGTTAGTATTAAATTTAAAATTAGGAAAAATGTTAGAGTTATAGTTAGGGTTGGTATGTTATAGTTAGGGTTATGGTCAGGGTTAGTGTTATATTTGGGGTTGATGTTAGGTATAGGAGAATTTCATTTATTTGTGGGTTTATTTTTTTGTTTGTTTTCACTTTTTTGAGATCTGTAGAGGAAAAATACTCTATGTTTTTAGGGCTTGTGAAAAGAAAAAGAGAAAGGCCAGACAAAAACAGAAAAGTGGAAGATTTGTCCCTGACATAGGAAATTCAATGAAAAACGATGCAGGAGAAAAACAAACAAACGTCCTCCAAAGAACCAGCACCACTTATGACCTTGATTGTAGTCATTTGGGTATGTTTGCTCTTTTCTTCTCTGTTGGTATAGTGATGTGTTCTTACATGAGCCCCACACTGTTTAATTGTTTACAATGCATATAGTATCGAGTTCTCATAAAATTGCTGCTTTTCCACTAGTTGAGGAGAAACTACAAAGCAGATAATTCATAGTCATCATTCAGCTTACATCATTAAATATTATCTTTTAATTAATCAGACTACCAAGAACGCTGATAAATGTATCAGTGAGATAATTGTTCTTTTGGTTTCCTAGAGTCAAGGTATTTAGGTTGCCAGCCTACCTCACACCTATATTAAAGATGCCTACATATTTTTATTAAATTTCATTCCTGTTCATAGACAAAACCAGTTTGTTTTTATGGAGGAAATGGTATGTGTTTTTGAGTGGCCATTGCTATAAAGGTAGCTGGCAAAACTGTTCTGTTTTCTTTTTGCCAAAATTATAATTTGCCTCACATCCCAAACCTCCCCCATCCCCCTATTAAAAAGCATGAACATGAATTAACTTACTGCCTTTTCTAGATAATAAAGATGAGTAAAAGTTACTAGAATCTGTTGTATAAATTTCTGCTGATTCTACTGTGACCTGGTAACAAAGAGCTTTCCAGAACTTCCAGAGCTCAGGATTTCTTCCACCAAAAACATGGTACCATACTGGATATGTCAGTCCTCCATCCCACTGTACCCCACTTCCCTGTGTCTGTAGCACCCCACTCCCTTTGAAACTTTGCTTATCCTTTCTAATACAGACAAAGGAATGGATTAAATATGAAGATGACTACTTGCTCAGAACTAGCTAAAATTTACTCTTTATTGTTGCTCCAGTTCCTTCTCATCCTTTCCTCATTTTATCAAAAGTCATCCGATTGCCTTTAGACATACTGCTTGTTGTCATTGGTAGACCATCTTCAGTATTCTGGAGTTGTGGGGCTGAAACAACTGCTGTGTGTTTTTTAGTCTTAGATCTTAACATCTCTCTACCCCATCCGTCCTTTCTCTTAGAGCAGTGCTTTTAAGGAATTTTGCTAAATTGTGAAAGTTACTGGTAAAATGTTTGAGGATATAAATGTAAAATACTAAAGTTTGGTAAACTATTTTATATGCCAACTGTGTCCATAGGAAAATCACTTAAATATTTTTAAAGCACATTACATGAGTCTTGATCCATGTTAGCTGTTAGCTACTTAGAGATGAATAAGGTGAGATAGATGCCTCCCCTTTGGGAAGCTCAAGCTAGGGGTAAATGTTACTGCCCTCTGTTTTGGATATATCGTTTTTATAGTGTGGTTTGCTAAATCTTTGTTTTATGAAACTGTTAAGACATTGTCCTCATGTTATATACATAAGTTATTTTGAGTGGTGGTGGTTAGTTTTGTTATTGTACTTATTATCATTATTGTTATACTTTTCATGAGAAAAATTACTGAAATAAAACAAAACCACTTCTAACATTAAACAGCTAAAGTTATGCAAAGGCACCAACCAACTTAAGATGATGTGATTGTATATATTTTAGTGATTTACCCAAAATGGGGTTTTGCATATTTAGTGCTATAATATGTATGTCATAGCATTGCTATTAATTTATCTCTGTTATACTTAACCAGAGTATATTATAAGAGATCAACCTCCTTTACTATACTGTAATAATCTCAAGAGCAAAGACCATCCATTATATGTCTTCAAGTACAGCTTCTAGAATACTAAAAATGTTTTCATAGTTTTATGAGTCCTTTTTAATTTGTCTAGAATCTCAGCTCAATAACTGTTAAGCCTATACTATATCCTTTATAATTCGGTTTTGCTTAAAATTTTAATTAGCATGGATTTAGTTATATATTGGTGTACATAAACTAACTGAAACATAAGCATTCAATATACATGAAGAAATACAAGGGAAATAAACTTACTAGCTTTCTGTTTAGTTGATACAGAGTTAGGTTGAACAGGAATTTATTTACAAAATATTTTAACGTTTCTGTTTTGCCTTTAGGTGTGACAAAGGAGATCCAAAGTAGATAGTAATGAATCATATGGCTGTCTGGTTTTTTTTTTAAGAAAATAAAAGTAATTTAAATAAAATATTGCCCTATGTAGAGTGATTCTGTTCAGATAAAATGGCTTTATATCAGCCCCAGCCGGTGTGGCTCAGGATTGAGTGCCAGCTTGCAAACCAAGAGGGTTACTGATTCAATTCCCAGTCAGGACACATGCCTAGACTGTGGGCCAGATCTCCAGTTGGGGGCATGGGAGAGGCAACCACATATTGATGTTTCTCTCCCTCTCCTCCCTCCCTTCCCCTCTGTCTAAAAATAAATGAACAATCTTTTTTAAAAATTGCTTTATATCATAATCAAATTTAACAAGTATTTATGACGTTGCATTACACAGATTTTTTTCAAAGTGAATTCTTTAATGTGGGAAGACATCTTTTACATAATCATCTACTGAAATCTCCATCTTTATACTCGTAGAACTGAAGAATAATAAGCACAGTAAGTTGCCAGGAGCTACAGAATTAAATATTTGCCAAAGTTATCACCAAAATAAACCACCATTGAGGTTCTCACATGACCAAATAGATGATACTGTTCGAAATGAAGGGGAATATAACTTACCTAATCAGGTAAGCTTTTACTGTACACTGTACAGAGGTGATGTATACTACAGAAATTGTGAGTTCTGTTTGTTAAGTATCACTTTTCATTAATTTTGACACTGTAGGTAAATGTAGGTCTTGATAATTTGTTTTCCCAGTGTCTCATTGGAAAAATGTAGGCAACAATAACAAAAATTTTAGCTCTTAGAGTAAGGCTTAAATAAAATATATATGTATATACATATGTAAGCACTTTTCAAATGACATTATTAAATCAGTAAAGGAAATATGTGAGAATGTCAGTACTCACATATTCAGAGCTTGAGCTCTGAATGCCTCCACTAATGAAATTTGTATACTTGATACAATACTGTGAAAATGCTTAAGGTCATGTTTATAGGTAGTACCTGTTATAGTAAAAAGTTATCTTTTGATTTTGAAGGAATTGGTTGGGAAAAAAGAATGTAAAAAGTTGTCTTCAAAGAAACTCAAAAATTGTGAAAGAAGAACAAATGAAAAGATAATTAAAAGTCAGAAGCAAGGTAATATGTCTTTGTTGGTTTTGTAATAAGTAGAAAGCTACTATTTGACATTTTTTAATATAATAAAAGTAATCTCATAAATTTCCAAATCTAAAATGGTAGAACAACTATTTATTTCAATGCTATTTCAGTGGTTATAAATGTTAGGTGTTACTGTTTCACAGAAAATGATGTACATAATAAAATATTCATTACTTTAAATACTACATTCAGTTATAGGTTTGCCTCCTTTAATCTGGATATCTTTAAATAATTTTGTAAAACACAAAATATATCATTTTAAATATGCATTTAATATGTTTAAAGACTGAATCCTTTTATGAAATTGGTAATAAACCATAAATTAGTTTTGTGTAACTGTGCTTTTTAGAGTGATTTCATTAAAATCCTGCATACCAGAATGTATAGACCCTTTTCTCTATGCATTAGCAACCTTATAATTTCATGTTGAGTTAAATCCGTCAGCTTAATAACATTTTTTGTATGTTGTTATGAAATTAAGAAAAATGTTTTGGTCAAAATTAGAAAGTTTGCAATTGAGCATTTGAATCATATTTTTGTGAATAATTAGAAGAAACATTCTAGTCATAATGTGAAGATATATGATTCCATTAAGAAGTCTTGTAGAAACTTCTTGATTTTGATTAGTACCACTTCATGAATTACAATGTTCTTTTCTTTTTGTCATTCATCTTTAAAATATCACATAATATGTGTTGGTTGTTGACAGTATATCACTATGATGATTGGTGTCATTTACAATTTGTATCTATCTCTAATTACAATTGGATAATTTAAAGTCAGAAATTAAATTAGTTTGGCTTCTGGCTTCTTAAGTTTTAGATTTGAGAATTTACCTCATTTTAATTTGCTCTAACTAGTGACACTAGTGCAAGTCTATAGTAAAGACTTGCAGGTTCCATTTGGTTGGTATGCCATGATGATTCAGAGGTTTTAGGGATTCAGCAAAAGAGTGTCTTTATGTCTACCACCAGGGATGAGAATGAGGCCGTGCAGATGGAGTTCCATGTTCTCCTCATTCCCTCCTTAGCTAATACAGCTTCTATTTCATGGATTACATACCTAGTAAGGTTTTAGCAACCCTATTCGTTTTCTTATGTCTTTTAAATACTTTAGCTCCAAAGAGTTGATTTAATAAATATTTATTTAGCATCTACTGTATACATGAAAGACTCTGAACTAGCACCAGCTGGAAAAAAAACCCAAAAATGAAAACAAAGTATATTAAGTGTTTTTTTTAAGATTTTATTAATTTTTAGAGATAGGGGAAGAGAGGGAGAAAGACAGGGAGAGAAACATTGTGTGGTTGCTTCTCACGTGCCCCCTACTGGGGACCTGGCCTGCAACCCAGGCATGTGCCCTGACTGGGAATCACACCAGCAACCCTTTGGTTCATAGGCCAGCACTCAATCCACTGAACCACATCAGCCAGGGCTAATTAAGTTATGTGTTGTTTTTTTTTCCCCCAGTCTAGTTGAAAGACTAAGTGTAATTACATGCAAGGCACATTGTAAAACATGGCAATATTTAAAAGTATTCTGGAAATTTGAAAGAGCTTTCATTCAGTTGAGGTAATTGGGACAGTTTGTGTACTAGATAAGTTAGAGAACAGAATTGAAGCAGGTAGTGATTTGGTTTATAAATGAGTGAAGGGAACTTTCCAGGTAGAGTGAAGGTTGAGAATTTTAAAAATTTGAGAAAACAGTGGTCTCACAGACACAGAATATTATTCAGATGTGAGTACAACAAGAGAATAGAACTATATGGAAAGGCAGGTGGAGGAGCTTATATGCACAATAAGTAGACCGTTAGAAGTCATGGACAAGTTGGTATAAAAATAGTATGTTTACAGTCGAAGGGGTAGTGATCTAAACAGATCCATGCTTCAGGAAGATTCATATGACAGTAGTGTAGACAGTGGAGTTTATGGGATAAAACAGTATATTTTATTTGTGAAAATAGTTTTTCTATATTTTGTTTGTAGCTAATTTGAGATTTTAATCTTTGGTTTTGTTTTACGAAATTAAAGAGGGATCCGAAGAATCGAATGTATCCATTGACATTATCATCTCAAGGGAATCACCTTTCTCAAACAAAGAAAGAAAATATATGTCTGCTAATCAGAAGGAAGCTTATGTTGTAGTAACACCACTTAAATCTAAAAATGTGATAGAGCAAAAATGCATGAAATACAATGTGTCCTCTAGTACCATTAAAGCAGTAACAGATTTTGTAGTGCCTAACCTTCAGAAAGAAAGTGGATCAGACTTAAATGAAAATACACGTCCCATCAGTAAGCCCAGAAAAACTTCCAAAAATGCATTTGAGTGTGGTGCAGGTTATGAAAGTAGAAACAAGGAAGATAGCATTGAACGTGATATACTCACTGTCAACCAGAGAATAAAAATACCTAGTTCTAAAAAGAAACAAACGGTCACTTCTGACTTTAAGAAAAATACAACATTGTTATCAAAATTGAAGAAAATTGAAAATCAAGTAACTGTGTCATTTAGCAAGCATCAGTGCTCAGATTTGTCTGCTGACAAGAGTGAAACAGAAAAGAAAATTAGAACAAGAGCTGTGAATATTGAGGAAACCAAAGCAAGCAGCACCAAAGAAAAGGTAGTTCACCAGAGAAAAAGTAGAAGGAATACCACAGAGAAAATCCCAGTGATTTCTGAATCTGAAACTGAAGAAAGTGAAAATGAATTTCATATCAAAAAAAAGAAAGCTAGATGTTCTGCTAAAAAAAATCCTCAGAAATCTGGTATTGGGAGTGAGTTTCCAATTACTGACACAATGAGATCCAAGATGAAGAATCATTCCTTAGAATGTTTACCTGGTTTAACTCAGGATGAGGAATGGAATGAGAAGGAAATACAGAAGCTTCATTGGTAAGTAGATATGATTCTGAAATATCTAGAGTGGCCACAGATTAGTTGAAGACATAAAGAACTCCAATGAGGGACTAATTTAATGATTAGAAATCATTAAGTGGGATATGTAATCCAAAAACATGTGGAGAGGAATTACAATTTATGCCGAGAACAGAGGAAAAATATAGATAACTGTCAACTAGATGATACTTTGTGGCCCTTTACATAGCCTACATATGAGGAAAGTAAGTGAACTTCTTTTTGTTCCCATTAGTATTTCAAGCACACCCCTCCCCCCACCCACCTATCTACCAAAGAAAGGTAATTATGAGGGGATGGATGTTAATTAACTTGATTGTGGCAATTACACAATGTGTGTGTATCTCAAATTATCATGTGTAGACTTTATATAACTTCACTTGTCGATTATACATCAATAAAGCTGGGAAAAATATTTCAACACAGCTGCACATTTTAAATATTTTATAATTAAATTACTGTTATAAAACCTTCAAACTTAGAGATTTTTTAATAGTTTTCCCCCCACCCCACATTTATAAAGAAAATATTCTCAAAGATTTCCAAGGTTTCATAGTTAGTGCTGCTGATAACTGGATTTGGCTACATAGACCTGACAAGCAATATCAGCAGTCTAGTAGTATTTAGAAGCCAGATCATAGTTGAGCAGTGAAGAGTGAACAGAAGACTAAAGACAACTTAGGTGTTGTCCAACACAAGAGATTTGGCAATGATAGGGAACCAAAAAATGCATAGGTAATAGAAGAGAGTGTGAGGATAAGGGAAGACATATGTTTGGTTGCTTGCGTAATTTGTAAGATGGCTCATGCTACAGTATGGTGGTTTGCTGATTGAAGTGATCTAGCAGAAAGAAAGGAAGATATGATTGATAAAACAGATAAGGATAGCCCTGACTGATATGGCTCAATTGGTTGGGGGTCATCCCACAAAGCAAAAGATCGCCAGTTCAGTTCCTGGTTAGAGCACATGTCTGAATTGCGGGTTTGATCCACAGTTGGTAAGGGTGTGAATGAGAAGCAACTGATTTATGTTTCTCTCCTTCTCTTTCTCCCTTCCTCTCTCCCTAAAAATAAATAAATGAAATCTTTTAAAAAAGAGAGAAAGATAACATAGAAACATGCCACATTCAGTGTTCCATTCCTTTGTGTAACTCTGAATCTTACAACATTTAGAATTCATTTTCAAATCTGCCTTCCTGGAATTCTCCTCTTAATGCATCTCTATGCTACTATATGTATTCTTCTTTTTTCATTTGCCTTAATGTTCCTTCTCTTTCTTTAGGCAGAGAAGGTAATCTTCATTTTTATTCTCCAGAGTTTTTGGTTTGGCTGCTTTCTTTTTTCTCAGTGATCTTTTCCTCCCAAAATTCTAACTACTTTCTTTGTATAGGGATTTCCAAATCCATGTCTTTGATCCTGAATTCTTGTATTTAGGTTTGTATTTCCCTTTGCTTGCTGGAAAACTATACATAAGTTTCACCTACATCTCTAAATATATCAAAAACCAAATTTATTTCCCCTGCTTGTACACTCTGCATGACATTTTTATTTCTGAAAAATATCATTCTTTTGGTCAACTAAGTTTGAACTCTTTATCATTATTGAGTTTTTTAATACTCAGTAGATTCTCAGGGAGCTATAGATTCTTCCACAGGGTCATTCCATCTGCACCTTTTTTCTGAGACTACTCTTTTTCAGATCTTTAATGCCTTTTGCCTAAACTATGGAAGTAGCCTTGTATTTGTACTTTGTTCTTCTAATCTGTGTAATCTGAGTAAAACATCTCCAGATTAGTTTTAATGTATAGTTGTGATTCTGAAAGATCAAAAACCTTCAGTGCATTCTTACTAATCCTCAAATTATATGGAGATTCTTCTGTCTTGCATTATAGCATATAATAATACTGATCTCAGTTATTCTTTCCAGCATATCCTCCACTGTTATCTTATAATAAAAGGTTCTCAACCTTTGCTGTATATTTAGATCATCTAAGGAGAATTTTAATGCTTGAACTACAGAGATTACAGTTCCCAGTGAGATGGAGTAAGCATACTACATGCATGCTCTTGCTTCTACTATGTAGCTGTAAAACCTGGACAGAATGCATACAGAAGCTTTTTGTTCACTATGGAAGATAAATAGTAGCAGGTCAAGTGGGGAAGACTAAAATTTAAGTACTACCAAACTGGCAGTGGATTTCCAGCTTTTCTCTGGTATCCCCCAAACTAAACCCAAGGCTGCCTAACACCTGGAAGTGGGCACTGGGGCACAACAAAGAGTTAAGAGAAGCTCTCCAGTTCTCGCTTGAGCAAGAGAAGGGATTACTAATACTCAGAAACAGTGGAGGAAATTCCCCAGTTCTCTTTTCTTTTTCCCCTTTCTCTTACACCCCAGTTCCATGCAGTCCTGCAGGGATGAAAATCACAGCAGCAAGTGGGGCCCACACATACCTAAAACTCTGAAAGTGGGGGACCTTCCTCTCCAGTCAAAGAAGTAGAAATACCAAGAGAATGAGGCAAATTGCATTCTGTTTTTCTTTTTCTCTTCTCTGTTTGACACTGGAGAAAGATTCAGTTGTAAGAAGTATGCAGCAAAGCTAGGTAACAAAAGCCCTCAGCTTTCTGCCAGAGAACCAAAAACAGGAACCCCAAGGAACCTGTTGCAGAGAGGGAGGAACTAGCTAAAAACCCTATAAAACTTAATGAATGTTGGGCTCGCCCCTGAGAAAGGTGGAGTGGCTATATATACTATTACCTGTGAGGGACTTCAGTAAGAAGAAAATTATCAGGGATAAAGAAGTACTTTACAGAATAATAAAAGTGTCAGTTCACCAGGAAGATGTAACAATCTTCAATGTGTATGCACCTAACAGCAAACCTCAAAATACAAAAGTCAAAATCTGACAAGTAAAAAGAAAGGACAGAAATGAAAATATAAGCAAATCCACAATTACAGTGGGAAACTTAAGTGCTCTTAGTGATGGAAAGAACTATTAGATGGAAAATTACCAAGAGTATAGAAGAACTGAACAATACCATCAACCAACTATTTAATAGATGTTTATGGAATAGTCCACCCACTAATGGAGGGCAGAATATGTTATTTCCAAGGGTAGGTGGACCATTCATCTAGATAGAACATGTTTGCTAGGTCATAAAACACCTTAAAATAACTGACATCAAAAAATGAATAACTGACATCACCCTGTCCAGGTGGCTCAGTTGGTTGAAGTGTTGTCCCATACACCAAAAGGTTGAGATTCAGTTCCTGGCCAGGGCATAAACCTAGGTTTCAAGTTTCTCTCTCACATCTCTCTCTCTCTCTCTCTCTCTCTCTCTCTCTCTCTCTCTCACACACACACACACATATACACACACACCCACCCAAAATCAACACACACACACACACACACCCCCAAAATCAATAAACATATCCTTGGGTAGGGATTTAAATAAGAAAATAGTTGACAAAGTGTGTTTTCTGGCCATAATTGAATTAAAACTACAAATCAATGAAAGATAACGGAATTTTCCAAGTGGTTGAAAATTAAAAAGCACACTATAAAAACCTATGAATCGAAAAAGTTTTAGCCCTAGCTGGTGTAGCTCAGTGGGTTGAGTGCTGGCCTGCAAACCAAAGGGTCACTGGTTCGATTCCCAGTCTAGGGCACATGCCTGGGTTGCAGGCCAGGTCCCCAGTAGGGTACATCAAGAGGGAACCACACGTTGATGTTTCTTTCCCTCTCTTTCTACCTCCCCTCCCCTCTCCCTTAAAAATAAAATCTTTTAAATAAAAGTTTTAAGGGAAAATATTCTAAACTGAACAAAAATGAAAATATATCAAAATTTGCAGTGTACTCCAGAAATTTATAACTTTATGGGGTGGTTTTACTGAGCTCACCTCTCTTCCTGGTTTCCATGGTACTTTCTGCATAAATTAATTTGGAACATTTTTGGTGAATGGATTACTGAGTAATGAAACAGAAGAACTATTAATGCTTGTAACAACTTGAATGAATTTCTAAGACATTAGGCTGAGTGAAAAAAGCCAGCACAAAAGGCAGCATGCTATATGCTCCCATTTATATGAAGTCTTGGAAGAGACAACTGAAAAGAAAACAGATTGAGAATTGGCAGTTGTTACAGTGGTGGATGACAACAAATGGGTAGGTAGCACTAGGGATTTTTATCAAAGCTCTGACCTGCAGACATTCCTTTGTAATTTACCATACTATAAATGTAAACTATAATATTTTTCATTCCTTAACTATATGTCTTGTTTCCTCATCTTCATTTCTTTGCCAATATAGTTGCCTCATTTTCACCTGTTATATTCTTAATCCCATTAGCTTTTATCTCATGTTACCTCCTTGTCATTATCTATATCTACCACCCCCTCAGATATAATGCCTCTTTCTCAAAAATGCAACGCATTGCCACCCCTGACCTACTAAATCTTCAGGGGTAGAGCCTATGAATTTGTTTATTTTACTTGTTTGCTTTTTGCTTCCTTGTATTTTTGCTACAAGCTCCTCAAGTGATTCTTGGTTGCAGCCCAAGAATCTGCATAGTAAGCCATATCATGCATAATCACTGTAATCACTGTAAGAAGTTTATGAGAATATATTTCAGGGAAATCTGACTTAGCTCAAACAGATACTTGAACTAAGATCTAAAAGATAAGAATTATTTAAGCCCAAGATTCATTTTGGATAGAATAGTATGTAAAAGTAGAAAGAAAGAGCATATTTAGAAACATTAAAAGAAGGCCAAAATAACCTGAGTATAGAAAGTGAGGGGAAAACAGTACAGGATGAGACTGGACAACCAGGCAAGAACAATGTAAGTTGTATTAAGTGTTTTGGTTTTTATGTTAAGAATAATGAAGTGAGTTTTAAGTAGGACCAGAGTGATATGATTAAATTTGTCTTTTAAAATTATCTGAGAGGAACCCTGGCTGTTATGGCCTAGTGCCGGCCTGCAAACCAAAGGGTCGCTGGTTCGATTCCTGGTCAGGGCATATGCCTGCGTTGCAGGCCAGTTCCCCAGTAGGGGATGCATGAGAGGCGACCACACAATGATGTTTTTCTGTCCTTCCTTTCTCTTCTCCAAAAATAAATAAAATCTTAAAAAAATAAAATTATCTGGAGACTGTTATTTACAGACTAGTTTATTTAAATAAATTGAGTATTTTAAATATGACAAAAAAGTCTTTTTAGGCAGTTCTAGACTTGAAAATTAGCTGTATACACAAATAGGGAAGCTTGTGCCCCCAGATCTCCTTAATTTTCCACTTTAGAACACATATGGAATGATTAATAATGCAAAAGAGATCATTCATTAACAGTATATAATACCCATAAGTATTTGTTCTTTTCTGTGTGGAGTGCATGGTATCCTGTAGTCAGCTGGTATCCCATTCACAAGAGCTGATTTCTTGAATTTTCAGGAATCATATAAATTTATTTAACAGTCATTAAAAATTAAAAATTTTACTAAAAATACTCTGAACTCATTACTTCCTAATTATTTTAGTACATTGTATTATTATGAATACCCCTAAGGTTCTTTACATCTATTGTACCTGCATGGTGGAAATTCCATATAATGGTGTACCATAGCATATTTTTTATTCATCATTCAGTGACATCACATTGATAGCTAGAAGTCAGCCACATTAGCAGTATTTACAAGATGGAAATTTTCAAACACCGAAAAGGACTTCTTAACCCCAAAGAGCTGGTTAAAAATTTATCAGTATAACACTGTATTAATTTAATTGGTGAGTTAAATAGACCTTTACAGGCTGAACTGTCAGTCTAACCACAATATATAAAATCTGTTTTGGGAGAGTGGTCATGTAGTACAATATGCGTACCAAGTTCTAAATAATCATTTACAAATGAACTTTCAGAATGTATCTCATTTGTTAAATTGAAGAACTACCTTATATTGACTTAGCTTTTTTCTATTTTGGTTTTCATTTCCTTCAAGTATTATATCTAAAATACTCTGTTCTGTAAAATATAATACTATAATAAAAGCAAGCATAATATTTTTTTAATGAGTTTATAACCTGAAATATATATGACCTAAGATCTCATCTCCCAATACATTTTAGCACCTAGTATTTGAGCAACAATGTAGAAAACTTAGTCATGCTAGAGCACCCCAAAAGATCAAATAATTGATTAATAGGACTTAGGAAAACATGTCTTAAGACTGGGAATGATTTTTCAGGTTAGATTACAACAAAATAGAATGCATCTACTAAATATGTTAAATTACATCTTCATATTTTAAGCACTAGTGTAAGTTACTGAGTATAGGGAGTAGTATCTTCTTTCTAAATAGGTACCTGTGGAATGATTTTGGAAAGATTCCTTTAGCTTAGTAAGTCTTGTTGATTTAGTGGTATGCGTTCAGGAGATTATTTTTATTTATTTGAATTTCTTATTCTTTAACCGGTTTTGGTCTTCCATAGTGCTTGTGCATCTCTTCCTAAGCACAAACCTGGTTTCTGGTCAGACGTAGCTATGGCTGTAGGTTCTCGTTCTGCTGAAGAATGCCAGAGGAAATACATGGAAGATTCCCAAGGAAATGGATCTCAGAAACATGTGACTAAGAAAAAGCCAGTCAATCCCAAAGGCCAAAAAAATGGTAATCTTTGTAGTAAATAGAATTTGCTAATTCTCGTATCTGTTTCTAATCACTCACTAGATGTATTTTATATTTACCCATGTGTCTTATTATAAGATGTCTTCTTAAAATTTTAAAGCTGGAAAGAACTCCAAAGGTTGGCTGAAATCCTACCTAGTTAATTCCATCAGTATTAGCTTTAGCAACCTTGTGGTTTGAGTTCTAGGAAATCTGCAGTTGGATCCAGAGATTATATTGTCTGGGTTATTGTTCTTAGGGTCTAATTTAATTTGAGGTCACTTGGATAGGGTCCCCTAGTAATTCATAAGAAAATGCAGAATAAATTTAGTTTTCATGGCAGGAGTACACACTTCTGCCCAAGGTTTATGCCAGAGAAGTCCTATATTAAGCTTTAGGGAGTAGTCAGTATCCCTGTCCTACTTGAATGAGATTTATATTTTAGCAAAATCAATGAAGTAGTCATCAGTAAGAGGAGTGTGAGAGGTAATCTTTCTCATGAAGATAAAGACCTTTCAAAATACCCTGCTTAATCTTACATGTATTTTCTTCATGAGTAACTTGTTGGCCAATCGTACTGTACCAATCCCAGTGTAGAAAGGAACATTTGTTATATAGGAAGCTTATAAATATTAATAATAGAGGCCAAGTTTATTTAATCTGAATACACAATTTATATTTTTACAAAGTTTGTTAACTTTAGCACAGTTACTCTAAATGACCAAATTCTTACCAAAATGTTTTGCTGACTCTTAAGGCAAGAGAGGTGATACAGATCAGGAGCAAACTATTAAGATAACGGCCAAAGTGGGTACTCTTAAAAGGAAGCAGCAGATGAGGGATTTTCTGGAACAGTTGCCAAAAGATGACCATGATGATTTTTTCAGTACAACACCTTTGAAGAACCAAAGAGTACTGGTAAGAGTTTTGAATGCATGAAATCGTTATTTTCTTTATATTGATTTTTATATATTTTATTTGTATATGTGGTTAGTGTTCATCCTCAACATTTAGGCCAAGGATTGATAGTCCCCACAGGCATGACTAAGTGTAGTATAGGAAGCAGTCTGCCAGTACATGCCATTCTCATTAGTGTCCAGAGCCTGCCTCTCAGTGGGTTTCACAGATAATATTTGTAGAACCAAATAGAAAAGCCAGAAATAGGCCACGCATATATATTTAAAACTCATATACAATGAGGCAAATTGTTTTAAAGAAAAAAGTGACATGAAAAGATGATTACTTACTGTATAGTAAATTTAGGGAAGGGATTAAGTGATAGCACAAGTTGACAGATTTGAATGTTGAGAAGTATTTATAGTATGAAAAATTATATAACTAATGATTAAGATGAAATATTTGCAACAAATAAAGCCAATAGTATTTATGATATGAAGAATTCATTCACCTGTTATTATAATATAAACAAGTGTCAAGATCACAGAAAAAGTCAGAAAAAGAGTGATCTTCACAGGCTAATGAGTTAGTAATTTCACCCTTGCTTGTAATATAAACTATTTTGGGCTCAATAATAATAAAATCTATGTGAACCAGAAAAAAAAAAGAAAAAGTCTGAACGAAGTCATTCTACTTGTGATCAAAGGAAAACAAAGCAAATTATATGTAAGTATACCTTCTAAATTGCAGAATCGTTTTCTAAAAAATAAGTTAAAATATCCAGTAACAAAGAGCTATGGAGATGTTGATACAGTCATATGTCAGTGGATGCAGAGCTGAACCATACCATTTGAAAGCATTATGGCAATGTGTGTGAGAGCCATAAACATTAATTCTGTTATGGGAGTTTATCCTAAGAAATTGAAAAGCCAAAAATCTTCACAAAGATACTCGCTGCAAGTTTATCTTTACAGTGAAAAAAGGAAAAACTAACCAGTGCATATATCCACTAAGGATGTTTGTAAACATGGTGGAATACAGTACAAATACTAAGTGCAGATTTGAGACTGTTTCTAGAATCTAAATATAAATGTTAAAAATATTAAGTTTAAAGTAATACAAAGGTAGATGGATCTAGACAGCAGGACTATTAAGTGTAAACACCAAAAGAGTTTTTTTAGTGAGGTAGGCTTAAGGATACTTGTTTCATTTACCCCTTTTTAAAATATTGTTAAATATTCCATTTTAAAAGGCTACACAATGCCTTAATAATTTAGTGACATCATTATCTGGGTCCCCTTTGCCTACACAGGTTATAAACAAAGGCATTTCAAGGGAGCTGTTGAGGCTGTTACTATGTTCTCTGTGCAATAACCGTGGTCCTTTAGGAGTTGTACCCATTACATTAGTCCACCATCATTCCAGGTTCTGTATATGTTTTGTACTAAATGCAATAGTCTCAACATTTTAAAAGGAAAGGTAATAAAATAGAGAAAGCAGTAATTAGTTCATTTTCTCTGGCATACTTAAGTCTGCTTTCTCAAAGGTTTTAATAAAAAGGTAAGTGAAATATTAAGGATTGAATTATTTATTGCACAATATACACATATAAGTTTAATACTGCTTGAGTTTATATTAATTACCAAGCATAATAGTAAATAAATTACAGTTTTGTTTTCTTCAGTCTACACAAGAGGTCAGCAAACTATGGGCCATGGGCCAAATCCAGCATACCACCCTTTCTTGTAAGCAAAATTTTATTGGAACTCAGATGATTCCAGTGTTTACATATTGGCTTTGGCTGCTTCCAAGCTACAACAGCAGAGCACATAGTTGAGACAGAGAGTGTATGGACCACAAAGCCAAAATATTGATATTGACTGTCTGAAGCTTCATAGAAGACATTTGCTGACCCCTAGTCTACAAGCATTTAGAAACAAATGTTATTGTTTACATCTTACACAACAGAAACTAAGTGTTTGTAGAGGACAAGCCTATTAATTTTTTTAGAGGATTTTTCAGTTTTATTCTGTTTTATTTTTTGAATTACATTTTATTGATTATGCTATTACAGTTGTCCCAATTTTTCCCATTTTCCCCCTCCACTGAGCACTCCCTACTCCCTCAGGCAATCCCCATACCATTGTTCATGTCTATCATAGATCATGTGTTTTTTGGCTACTCCATTTCCTATACCATATTTTATATCCTCATGGCTATTCTGCAACTACCTATTTGTACTTCTTAATCCCCTCTTCACCCGTTCCCCTATACTCCCCTCCTATCTGGCAACCACCAAGACGCTCTCCATACCCAGGGTTGTTTCTGTTCTTGTTTGTGTAGTTTGTTTTTTAGGTTCAATTGTTGATACGTATTTATTGCCATTTTATTGCTAATTTTTTTATGTCTTTTTCTTAAATAAGTCCTTTAACTTTTAAATAAGTTTCATATAATAATGTTTTGGTGATGATGAACTCCTTTAGTTTTTTCTTGTCTGGAAAGCTCTTTATCTGCCCTTCCATTCTAAATTATATATTTGCTCAGTAAAGCAGTCTTGACTGTAGGTCCCTGCTTTTCATGATTTTGAATATTTCTTGCCAATCCCTTCTAGCCTGCAAAAAATCTTTTGAGATATCAGATGACAGTCTTATGGGAACTCCCCTGTAAATAACCAAGTGCTTTTTTCTTGGTGCAGTCTCTTTAAGATTTTCTCTTTATCTTTCATCTTTGGCATTTTAATTATGATATGTCTTGGAGCGGGCCTCTTTACATCCATCTTGTTTGAACTCTCTGTGCTTCCTGGACTTGCATGTCTATCTCCTTTAAATTAGGGAATCTTTCTTTCATTATTTTTTCAAATAGATTTCCACGGTCTTGCTCTTTCTCTTTTCCTTCTGACACCCCTGTGATACAAATGTTGAAACTCTTAAAGTTATCCCAGAGGTTGCTTACACTGTCTTCATTTTTTTAGATTCTTTTTTCTTTTTGTTGCCCTGATTGTTTTCTTTCTTCCTTACATCCAAAGTACTGATTTGATTCTCTGCTTTATCTTCTCTACTGTTGTTTTCCCTGTAAGTTGTTCTTTATTTCACTTAGTGTGGCCTTCATTTTTGACTGGATCATTTTTATGCTGTTGAGATCTTCACTAAGTTCCTTGAGCATCCTTATAACCAGTGTTTTGAACTCTGTATTTAATAGATTGCTTATCTCCCCTTTGTTTAGTTCTTTTTCTGGAGTTTTGATCTGTTTTTTTATTTGGGCCACATTTCTTTGTCTACTCATTTTGGCAGCCTCCCTGTGTTTGTTTCTATGTGTTATGTAGAGGTGCTATGACTCTCTGTCTTGGTAGCATGGCCTAATGTAGTAGGTGTTGTGTAGGGTCCAGTGGCATAGCCTCACCTATCACCCAGGCTGGGTACTTGAGGTATGTCCTTCGTGTGGACTGAGTACATCCTCCTCCTGTAGTTGAGCCTTGGTTGCTGTTAGCAGGTTAATGGGAGATACTACCCAGGCCAGTCTGCTGCAAGAATTGGCTGTGACCACTAACCACCAGCCTCCTCCTTCCATGGAAGATCATCTGCAGGGGTAGTGTGGTGGTGCTCTATCGTGGTTTGTAGCTGACTGCTGGGTGCACAGGCCAAGGTCAGCCCTCATCTGTGTTTTCCCTGGGGCCATCCTGCCTGGGATATAAAACAGCCTGAGATGGTCAGTACTTAATGCTGGGCTTGGAGATTCCCAGGTAAAGCCAAAGCTCTGAATCTAGGCTGGCTGCTGCTAGTACCAGGCCTGGGGCCATAGCAAGAAGTATGGAGACTGAGGGCTTACTGAGGCTGGGCTTACTGAGGCCTGCTGTTGCTTGTTTGGTAGGATTTAGGACGTTGTGAATATGAGCCAAGACCAACCTTTCCTATAGAAAAGTCTCTGTTAACAGCTTGGTGTGCCTGTAAGATGGGTAGGACGGAGTCTCAGGGGATCTCTGGGGCAGGGCAAACAGCATTAGCCAAGTTGATGGAGTTTCAGATAGAGCATCTGCCTCCCTGCTCTGTGGCTCAGTGGGAGTTGGGTTCAGAAAGGGACAGTGATCTCTGCCTGCCTTTCTGTCTGGAAAAAAGCTGTCCCCCAGGTCCAGCCTGGTGCCAGATACTTCAGTTCCCCCCTGTATGCCACTGGTGCTATTCAAGCTGCTACCCCAGGGCTGGAGCTCTGAGTGAGTGAGTCTGAGTAAGTATGTTTGTGGGTTCTTTAACAAGAACTACTTGGGACTCCAGAAGTTTCTTCCACTAACTCAGTCCCCATTCTTTTTTGAAGCCAGAAGTTACGGGGACTTACCTCCCAGGCACTGGACCACTTGGCTGGTGGGCCTGGTGTGGGTCTGGGACTCCTTACTCTTGATCTATCCCTCCTGAATTTTTATCCACTGCACATGGATGTGGGACCAGCCTGTTCCACGTATCCGCCCCTCCTACCAGTCTGGATGGGTGTGGTTTCTTGAATTCCATAGTTGTCAGACTTCCATTCAACTCGATTTCTGATGGTTCTGAGTGATGGCTGTTGTATACTTTAGTTGTAATTTTGATGTGGTTGTGTGAGGAGGCAAACCATGTTTATCTATGCCTCCATCTTGACGGGAACTCCCTCAGTGCTATATCTCTGTCTACTAATATTTTTCCATTATCTCAGAAAATTATATGACAGAAAAAACTTGTCAGCCCACCAGAAACATTTTGTGATAATGAGCAATTTTATTTTTAGGGATTCCTGCTGATAATGAATATTTGCTTTCTAGTTGCCGAATTTCCAGTTCAGTCAAGAAGAGGAGGATGTTCTGCCAAATATGGACAGAAATCCAACAACTCCATCATCAGTTATTTTTCCATTGGCAAAAACTCCTCAGTGTCAGCATGTTAGTCCCGGAATGCTAGCCTCTATAAATAGGTAAATATTTATGCATATGATACTATAATTCTCCGCATCTGCATTTATCATTTTATGAGTTGAAAATAGTAGATGTCAGCAATGAGAAAAGTCATTGTTAGTTTAAAAAAAATTAAGAATAGTTCCTAGAAGTCAAGTATAGACAGTTTCAGCAAGCAGATTTGTTATTCAGTAATGTTGGGACACAGCTCACACTTTATATCAGGATAAATTCCAACTGATTCAAAGTTTTATATGTAAAAAACTATAAAATATACCTAAAGTAACCTTGGAGAGTTATTTTATAATCCAGATTAGTGAAGGTCATTCTAACTGTTACGCAAGACTAGAAGCCTTAACAAAGCACTAACAAAAAGAATGTAGTTACTTATATTTAAAAAAATCTCATCTGGTACCAATCAACTATAAACAATCAAAAGACAACAAACAATTGTTGGAGAGGATGTAAAGAATAAGGAACCCTCATACACTGCTAGTATGAATGTAAATTCGTATAACCATTATAGAAAACAATATGGAGCTTTCTCAAACAATTAAGAATAGAGTTACCATATGACCCAGCAATTCCTCTTTGAGGTACCTACCAAAAACTTGAAAATATTTATTCATAAAGATACAGGTGTCTCTATATTTACTGTAGCATTATTCATGGTAGCCAGTACATGGAAGCAACCTTAGTGTCCTTTGATAGATGATTGAACAAAGATGTGGTGCACATATATAATAGAATACTACTCAGCCATAAGAGAAGATGAAATACTGCCTTTTGCAACAGTATGCATGGATCTTGAGTATCATGCTCAGCAAAATAAGTCAAATAGAAAAGGACAAGAATCATGATTTCACACATATGTGGGATATACAACAGAAAGCAACAAATGAATGAAAAACAACAGTCAAAAAACTCATAAGACACAGAACAGTTGGTGGTTGTCAGAGGGGTAGGGAGGTCAAATATATGGTGATAGGAGGAGACTAAACTTTGGGTGATGAACACAGAGTGCAATATATAGATGATATAATGTACACTTGAAATCTCATATATAATTTTATTAACCAATATTGTCCCAATAAAAGACATGACAATTTGAGGAAAGACTGTGTCTCACCCATCATAAGAATAAGGCTGTTTCCTTGATACAGCACTCCTACAAAAATTAGGAAAGCCATTCTCATGAATTAGCAGCAAGATAAATTTGTTCAGCCTCTAAAGGCAGCAGTTTGTCAGTATATATCACAGTTATTAATGCACATGCTCTTTGGCCTAGCAGTCCTACTTTTAGAATTGTGAATGTTCAGCTGATTCCTTGTAGTATTGTTTATAATGACAGAAGACTGAATACTGAAATGTCCATCAGAAAAACTCATCAAATATCTTTTGGTACATTATGTAGCTATAGAAACTAATGAAATTCTTTATGTGCTATTATGATAAAATGTCCACAATGTAGTAAGTGTAAAAAGTTAAATACATTGAATAATTTTTTGCCATTTATATGTGTGTGTGTATATATATATGTGTGTAATATATGTGAGTGTGTATATGTATATACTTGTATGTAATTGCTTTACTTAATACCTCCGAAAAGATACATGAGAAATTGAAAACATTGTTGATCCATAAGAAGAGGAACTAAGATATCTTGGGAGACTTTGAACTTTGAACTATGCGACTATAGGAACTATGAAATATAATTAAGAAAAATAGCCCTAGCTGGTGTGGCTCAGTGGATTGGGTGCTGGCCTGTGAACCGAAGGGTCGCCAGTTTGATTCCCAGTCAGGGCACATGCCTTGGTTGCGGGCCGGGCCCCTACTTGGGGGTGTGCGAGAGCCAACTGATTGATGTATGTCTTAAACATTGATGTTTCGCTCCCTCTCTTTCTCCCTCCTTTCCCCTCTCTCTAAAAATAAAAAAAATAACAACAAAAATAAAAAATAAAACACCATTGCAGGTCCAGGAGACCTCAGAACAGAGGGAAAATCTTTATATTTAAAAAAAAAGAAGAAGAAAAATAGAGTGGCCAACAGTAAAATGTCACAGAGAAGAAATGGAAAATGATAAGGAGGCCTAAAAATAGGGTATTCCATTTTGCATTTAATGGAATAAGTTGACCTAGTAAGAATAATATCCATGGGGTGTGAGAGGCAGAAGCCAGATGATGATAACTCAAAAAACAGTATTCAGTACTCTCATGAATTCTGGTAGAATTTTAATTTGCATTCATCTGGCAGAAACATTTTTCCCTAACAATTCACAAATTATTTTTTTCTTTATTTTTGAATTTAGTTTTAAGAAAATGACAGGTTTGGGCAAGTGCACATATACATCTATATGAGCAAAGATGTTCATCATAAAGGATAATCCTGAAAATTTGGAATTGATCTAAATATCCAATAATAAAAAAAAGTTAAGCAATTAGGATTTGGGGCCTTCTCCACTCCCTCCCCGCTTTCCCTGAGCATCACTCTGAGCTCTGGGCTCCTGCTAAGCCAGTGCCTCTGCATCTCCTTCCAGCCACCATCACTAGTATCTGCCAGGACCACATCAGCCACAATGAGATGTCCTCCAGTATCTACAAGATCCAGAAGATGCAGATGGGCTGTGCCTGGGGGTGGAGGGTAAGATGGTCAGTAGGACAGAGGGTAGCAGGGATGACTCGCCCATTGATGGAAATGCCTCTGTGGAAGGCCCGGAGGGTGAAGGTAGCAAAAGCACAGCATTAGTGTTGTTGGTATTGTCATCAACCATCATTTTCAGGAAACCAGCTTCACAAAAGAAGCCCACAGGAAGTACATCAAAGATGACATGAAACCAGTGAAAGGGAACCTTGGAGAATGAAGACCTGAAAGAGTAAGCTTTTTATGCTAGGGGTTACAGATCAAGCACATCCTTGCTAATTTCAAAGACTACCAGTTCTTGATTGGCGAACACAAGAATCCAAATGTATGATTGCTCTGCTGGACAACAGAGGAGGGAGTGACCCACATGTGATTCTCTTTAAGGACGGTTTAGAAATGGAAAAAGGGTAACAAATTTTGGCAGTTTGGATCTGTCACCTGTCATCATAACTGCTGCTTTTCATCTACATACCAGGACTAGGACAATGGCACTTACGTTCTCTTGAGCTCTTCATTTATTTTGACCTTGATTTGGAATGGAGGCATTGTTTTGTTTTTTTAAAGTCATGTAATTTGTCTAAAAATAAAATGCATTTAAACTCAAAAAAGAGATTAGGATTTGTCCATATAATAGAATATGTATCATTGGAAATCATGCCTTCAAAAATTTTTTAACGATAGAATAATGTTCAGTGGAATTTTAAAAGCTAAGAAATAAAACTATGTACAATATACATCCAAATTTACATAACATACTCAGAAAATTTCTTGTCCAGCTATTTTGTCTACGTTCTAGAACTACACTGATGTGGGTTGTGGTGGGGGTTCTTTTTATTATCACTTTGACAATTAAGGAAGTAAGACTTCCTTAAAAAACATATGATGAACTTATATAATGAATATATTTTGTGAAACTTTTATTTAAAGAAAATATTTTTAAAAATATTTTTTTTAAAAAAGTTCCCTAGGCCTCCTTCACTATCTTGACTTGCACCAGTTCTAGTTGACTTCCTTTTTATAACAGTTTTAAACAATGAAACAGTTTCAATCATTTCAGAAGTGATCCCTTTGTACCAGACAACAGACTCATGAATGCTGATGCTGAACAAATGGCTAGGCTTATTCATTTGCTATGCAAGAGTGTTTGTGGTATATACTATACCTTTTCGTCAACGTTTACTTCTATTTTTAATTAGATTTATCAAAGCAACGTTGGCTAGTAAGATTATTTAGGTTTCAAATGTACATTTCCATGATATGTGATCTGTACATTGTACCGTGTGCCCGCCATCCAAAGTCAGATCATCTGCTGTCATCATATATTTGGTTCCCTTTTTATAACCACCCCTATCCCCCTTCCCTCTGTTAACCACCATACTGTTGTCTGTGTCTATGAGTTTGTTCTATATCCCACACATGAGTACAGTCATGGTTCTGAGCTTTTTGTGACTTCGCTTAGCATAATATTCTCAAGGTCCATCCATGTTGTTGCAAATGGCAGCATTTCATCTCCTTACAGCTGAGTAACATTCCATAATATATAGCTGTACCACATCTTCTGTATCCAGTCATCTGTTGACACTTGGGTTGTTTCCATGTCTTGGCCACCACAAATAATGTTACAGTGTATATAGGGGTGCATGCTCTATTCTTAAATTTTTGGGGGGGAACCTCCATATAGTTTTCCATAGTGGCTGTACCAGTTTACATTCCCACCGGAGTCAACAAGGTTTCCTTTTTCTTGACAACCTCTCCAACATTTGTTATTACCTGTCTTGTGAGGTGGTATCTCATTGTAGTTTTGATTTGCATTTCCCTAATATTTAGTGAAGTTGAACATCTTATATATTTGCTGGCAATTTGTATTCTTGGGAGAGATGTCTGTTTAGGTCCTCTGCCCTATTTTTAAATTGGATTGCTGGTTTGCTTTGAGTTGAGTTGTATGAATTCTTTATAGCAATTGTGGATATTATCCCTTTATTGGAGCTGTCATTTGCTTATAAATATCATCTCCCATTCAGTTGGTTGCTTGTTTTTTATTTTGATTGAATCTTTTTTTTATTAACTATTCTACTGTTTATACTATTACAGTTGTCCCAGTTTTCCCTCTTTGCCCCCCCGCCATCCACCTCCCACTCCCATAGTCAGTCCCCACACTGGTGTCCACGTCAGTGGGTCATTCATATATGTTCTTTGACTAACCTTTTTGTTTTGTTAGCAGTTTCTTTTCCATGCAGAAGCTTCTTAGTTTGATACAGTCCCATTCATTTATTTTTGCCTTCAGTTCCCTTGCCTTTGGGGTCAAATTCATAAAGTGTCCTCTAAGACCAAGGTCCATATGTTTAGTACCTATGTTTTCTTCTGTGTAGTTTATTGTTTTAGAGCTTATATTTGAGTCTTTGATCCATTTTAATTTTTGTACATGGGACACACTGTAATCTAGTTTCCTTATTTTGCATGTGGCTTTCCAGTTTTCCCAACACAATTTATTGAAGAGGCTTTCTTTTGTCCATTGTGTCTTTCAGTCTCCTTTGTCAAAAATTATTTGCCCATATACATGTGGTTTATTTCTGGGCTCTCAATTCTGTTCCACTGGTTTGTGTTTGTTTTTCTGCCAATACAATGCTGTTTTGATTTTCACTGAAGTCAGGGAATGTGATACCTCCAGCTTTGCTCTTTTTTCCTCAGGATTGGTTTGGTTATTCAGGATCTTCTGTCGTTCCACACAGATCTGATTTTTTTGTTGTTGTTCTATTTCTTTTTAAAATGTCATTGGCTTTTGATGGAGATTGCATGAAATCTGTATATTGCTTTGGGTAATACGCAACAGTGTTTGTGGTACACATTATACCTTAATACAATCACACACTTACAAATTTCTACATGACAAACCTTAAAGGTTGCTCCAAAGTAGTCATAAAACAAAGTATAATCATATAAGAACTTGGAGCCAAAAGAAAGAATTAGATTGGTGTTGAGCTGATATTTACTGTCAAAAACAAAGCAAACCAAAAAACCCTGGCTTGTGTGTCTCAGTGGATTGAGCAGCAGCCTGTGAAGCAAAGGGTGGCTGATTCAATTCCAGGTCAGGGCATGTGCCTGGGTTGTGGGCCAGGTGCCCTGTTGGGGGTGCACAAGAGGCCGCACATTTGATGTTTCTCTCCCTCTCTTTCTCCCTCCCTTCCTCTAAAATAAATAAATAAAATCTTAAAAAAAAGAAAAAGACTAGGCATTGTAGGAGGAAATGAGAACAACAATTTTGTTTGGCTTCAGTTTTCATCTGTAAACTATGAGTCAAGCGTATTTGCTAAGAATGAGAGGGGAAAGAACCAAGGTAAAAAGGAATGAAAAAAAACTTCATAGCTGGTATGGGGAATGTAAGAAAGATTTAACTGTATAAATAAAAGGCTGGTTGGAAGCTATAAATAAAGGGTTTTCATCAGCAGCTGTATCCTTAAACTCACCAACTTCAAGATTCCACCTGGATAGGGAAGGAAGTGACCAGGAAGAAAAAGTAAAAGATGTTAACAAAAGGGAGTCCAGGGATAAGCAGTCTCAGTGAGTTTTGGAAAAGAGGCAGCAGCAAGATAGAGATGGGAAAGAGCACAAACGGAACAATGACAATAAGCAAAACCATAATTTCCCAGAGTATTCTTATTTGGTATTTTGTTTCCTTAAAATGTTTGAAGCTTTTTGTCCATCTCCCTGGGTATACACCATTGTCTTTTTACAAATGGAGAAGAAAACAGTTTTTAAAGATTGAAACACGTCTTAATTTTGTCAATTGCTGTTCAAGCTGTGGATAAAAGTATGGTAATTAATATGAACTTGTAATTATTTTGTATTCAAACAGGAATGATTGTGATAAATACGTTTTTCATATGCAAAGAGAACATAAAAGTAAAGGTGGCATTGTCTGGGGCAATATCAAGAAAAAAACAGTAAGTATTTTTATTCTTCATACCAGATTTATTAATGCATATCTATTGAACAGCTATAATATATGGCAAACTGTGGGAGTTGTAAGTTGTACAACAGACCTTGCCCTCAAGGTGCTTACAGCCTAATAGAAGTAAATGAGAATATGAGGCTGTGAGAGAGGTAAGTACACAAGTGCTACAGGGTTACAGATGTCAGTTGATAGATTAAAACAGTTGAGGAAAGTTGAGAATGGTAAAAAAATTTCATTCAAAGACGCAGGGTGGAAAAAGTATGTATGGGCCAGGGAAGGATATTTCAGGCAAGACACCAAAGCATAATATGTGTCCAATGATTGGGGAATAATCCAGACTTACTGAGTTATGACTGTCATAGAATAAGAAACTACACCAAATTCCATGCAGCTTCAAATTGGTTTCAAACGTTTTTCAGCTACTTAATTTATATCTATAGGTCAAGCTTTAAAATGTAATTACAGAAAAAATTTTAAGTCAGGGTTGCCTTATCCCTTTGATAAAAATATTGGAAGGATCCTTTATCCTCTTGAATTAATTTTTAAGTTTTTAGTTTGATTTTACCTTGAATAACTTATATCCAGATAAATGTGCAAGTATTCTGAAAAAGCTAATTCACCTCAAATTTCCTCAAAGTAAACAGTTAATCTTAGAGAATGATAGTTTATGGAGGTGGTAAAATGGGGAATGACACCTAATCCCTTGGAGGTATATTCCTTCTGACCAGGTTATGGCCATCTCTTTCTCTCTCACCCATGTTGAAATATATTCTACAATTACCAGAGTAAAATTCCATCAGAGTCTCTAAACTAAACATTGGGATTAGTTAAATCACAATTAAAGTTAGTTTGCTTTTATGGATGTCACTTGTCCATAGGAAATGATACCTCTAAGAACCTTGCTTTAAAATGAGCCTGGAGGCTAAATTCTTCAAAAGAAATCTCTGCTCCATAATTGAAGATGTAGTCAGACTCTTCTCTTCGTGTTTCTTAGGTTCACCTTTTCCTGTCCCACATTCCTTATGAAAATGAAATTTTGGTTTGTTGCAAAGGACCGTTAGAAATCTCTTTAACATAGGAGAAAGGCTTGCCTTCTAGTCCTATGTTGCCAATAAGAAGTTGGTTTGCCTTGACAAGTGTTTCTCAAACTGTAATGTGTGTGGGAGTCATCTAGAGATCTTGTTAAACTGTAGTTTCTAATCCAGTAGATTTGATTCTGCATTTTTAACAACTTCCATGTAATACTCCTTCTACTGACCCATGGACCATACTTAGTAGTAGCAAGACCTTAATCCACTGCTCTCTTCAAAATGATAAAAAGTTCAGCCCTGGCCTGTGTGGCTCAGTTGGTTGGGTGTCATCTCACAAAGCAAAATGTCACCCGTTCGATTCCCGGTGGGGGCACATAACTGGGTTGTGGGTTCAAACCCCAGTTGGGGCAAGTACAAGGGGCAAATGACTGATATTTCTCTCTCACATCAGTGTTTCTCTCTCTCTCCTACTCCCTCCCATCCTGTCTCTATAAATAAATAAAATCTTTTTTAAAAAAAATTTTAATGAGAAAAAGTTCATGTAAGGGCCCTTCTTATTGAAAACTTACCTCTCTGTATTTCTGACATACCTTTAACTACTTGTTTACTTTCATTTTTCTTAATGGGTTCTGTTTGAGCCACCAAACTATAGTATCTTTGTGATTTAGCCCCATTTTCTATAAACTAGTATTTTGTAGCCAATGTGTGAGAAAAAGTAAAGGATTTAATGTTAAAAAAGTTCTGATGTCAAGGTCTGACTCCCCATACCACCTTTATGACAAAGTAGGCTAATTGAGCTTTCTAATCTCATCTTGGTTTATCTTCCCAAATGACTTTGAGAGCTAAAAAATATAATCCTGTTTTGATTCATTTCACAGGGGAAAAGTATATTTACATCACAATTAATGAACACAAGTTTGTATCTCAAAAGTTTTCTTCATTTTTTTAAAGATTTTATTTATTTTTAGAGAGAGGGGAAGAGAGGGAGAAAGCCAGGTGACCCCTACTAGGACCTGGCCTGCAACCCAGGCATGTGCCCTATCTGGGAATCGAACCAGTAACCCTTTGGTTCACAGGCTGGCACTCAGTCCACTGAGCCACACCAGCCAGGGTTCAAAAGTTTTCTTTCAGAAAAAAATAGTTCCTCAGCATAGTGGATATACTGTCATATTTTTTCTTCTATTCTGTTTTCTTTTTATTCATTCAAGATAACCAGTTATGGCCAAAAGTTTAGAAAAGTCACGTATGTAAGCATTTATTATACACATCTTAAAGCTTACAAAATAAATTTTTTAAAGAACTTTTAGCTTATTCTCCCATTATGATATATAGAATATTCCCCTGTGGTTACAGTACATTTTCAACTACTCACTGTAGCCAAGATTTTAAAGTACAGAGAATTTGCTCTGGCTGGTAGCTCATTTGGTTGGAGCATCATCCCATGCACCAAAGAGTTGAGGGTTTGAAACCCGGTAAGGCACATATCTAGGTTGCAGGTACAGTCCCCAGCTAAGACATGTATGGGAGGTAATCGATTGATGTCTCTCTCATCAATAAACATATCCTCAAACGAGGATTTAAACAAATAAAATTAAATTAAAAAATAACAAAGTATAAAGAGTATTAAAATACTCCTAATGTAATGTCATGGAATAAGTACTCAGTAGATTTTGGCAACTTTTAGAGGCCCTTAGATGATATCTTAACTGCTGCTGCATTAATGCATTTGTGGGAAACAACATTGAATAAAGTCATGGTTTTTGCCCCGGTTAAATTCAACTTAAAATTAAACATTTCATAGATAATTATAATGTGATTAGGTGTTGTTATAAGTATTGCTGGTGATAAAGCATGCTTAGTTTTGTCTAGGTTTGAGACAGGCTTCACAGGAGGTACCATTTTGCTATTAATGTGAACTCTCTTGTAGGTTGAAAGTGATTTTTCAACTCCAACATCAAGAAGAAAAACCCCATTTAATGAAGGTAATACTTACATCTTCCTTTTTGTAGTTCAGGTCTATTATAGGGTAGTCTCTTTATTGATGTACTAAAATTAACTGTTCTCAAGTGGGCAAGCCTACCATTTGGTTTCTTATAGTTATTTTTGTTAAAATTGAAATTACTTTTAGAAATGTATTAATCTTTTTTGTTAAACTTTTCTTAGGAGAAAGCTCTAATATTGGAAAACTTTTCACTAATGCTATGGAGTCTTTGGATGAAGAAGAGAAAGATTATTATTTTTCAAACTCTGATTCTGCATAGTAAAGATAAGAAAATATCTCCAGTATTTTTATCAACAGTATTTTTATCAAGAAGCAGACAGTTATTTGTTCCTTCACTTGGAGTACATGTATTTTCTTCATAATGTAGCATCTTTTGAAACTGGACTCCTTTTCAAAAATTTCATGTGTATGTATTCAAAGTTAAAGATCCTTCTATAGAATTTTCCTCATTGCTGCAGCTTACTAAAACTATAAGGAAAATTGTTTTGCTTGCTGTATAGATATTTCTAAATTTCTGTTTTTGCTATGTTAAAATACATATATATGTAAGTGGCCTCTCATAAGCATCTAAGCCTGTTTAAGAAAATCATGTTCCAACCAGAATTTTTAAAAAGCTTTCAAGAAAATGTTGCTATCCTTAAGGGAGGAGGTGGGGAAGAATAAAAGATAGATTGTACTGGTAGATACTGAATAAAACTTCAACATTTTTCACTACTTCCTATGTAAGCCAGAGTTGATACGATGTTTATAGTACATGTTGAAACTATTTGATACGCTCTTTTCTCCCAGTTGTTTTTCTTAAAACTTGTGATTGGTATATCTACTGGAACCTATGTAAATTTTAATTTATTGCTTTTTCATTATTAGGGAGACTCAGAGGACAGATTTTGTTGCATTCTTAAGCCTTATTTGCATATGCAAACAGCTTAAATTTGGTCTCAGTATTAAAAAGACTGGATGAGACAAACACTCAAGTAGTAGGTCTACTATTGTAAGGAGTCAAGTTAATATGTCATAGTAAACATTGTTTTCATTTCAGATAGCTCTTTTGGGGGGGGGAACTTATTTTAGTTTAGTCTGCCAGTATGTTTTAAAATTTGCCATAGAATGTTCCCCTGTGGTTACAGTCCATGTTCACCTACGTGTCTCTCCAGTTAGGTTGTTCAAATAAAATTAGTTTGCTTTTAGAATATTTGTGTTTTGGTTGTTTTTTCCCCCAGAACTTGTAGTAAAAAACATATTTTCTTGTGTCTTAAGAATTTAGTCTACTAATCAGCAGTTATATAATACAGGGTTCAGAGAAACACGAGATTTTAAAAGAAAGGTGCAGTTAAGCTGAAATCATTCTCTTTTAAATTACCATGCTTGTTCCTGCCACAAAGACTTGACATATAGATGTAGTATGGAACAAGTGAAGGTTATTTTAAAGTGGCTGTAAAAAATAAAGAGTTGTAGAAGCTAAGTTGCCAGTATTTAGTATAAAACACTATGCTGCTTGATGTTAATAGATAGTGTTTTATGAGTTAGAAAGCAGTTAAATTGCTTAATGAGAAACAAAAAGGTCATTTGGAAATAGCGTAGACTTGATACAAACCAAATTGTGCCCTCCCCCTGTCTGCACACTCACCATATTCCCTGTGTCCTATCAAAACTACTTCTGAATCCTTCCTAGTCTATCCTAGTGTATCCTACCTGCCAAGTTCTGGGTTAGTTCCATTTCTTTCCATTAGGCCATAAGGTAAGCTAGCAGAGTTTAAGGTAACCTCCAAAGACGACTTAAAATTGGAAAAGAAAGACTTTTAAGGGCTCAAAGAAAAACAGTAAGATGGACTGATAATCAACAGTTTGATACTTAAGTGCTACCAATGAGACCTACTGCAGCTTAAATATGAATAAAGCTCTTTACACAGCAAGCATAAATAAATCCTCCAGTTTATTTTCCTCACACCATGTTAATTTATGAAAGACTTTGCCTGATGGGTGGACACAGAATCTGGGCACATAGTGTTTGCATGGGAGGTGCTGCAAGGTGGTCATCAGCCCCGGTCAGTGTGAGGTCGTTGAGGAGCTGCACGCTTGCCGCATACTGCCGGGTAGAACACTACCAGATGTCCCCACCCACACATGTTGCTGACACTGCATCAGGAGCAGGAAAGCAAAACAGCAAACTGGAACCAGAAAGAGACCCCCTTTCCTCCTTCTACTGACAAAACTTAAATCATATTCACTATAAGAAGAAATGCGCCAGAAGTCCAGTCCATTATAGCAGAGCAAGATACTTGAAGGGTAAACCGAACCTGAGAGATAGTATATTGCTAACTGCTATCAGCCAATAACACATACAGCTTCTGTTTTCCCTGCCTTTGACAATTATTGAACAACAGAAATATGAGATCATTTGCTTTCAAAAGAATTGACAATTTATACTATCCCAAAGAAGCTAAATGTACAATTATAGTTATGTTGTAGCATCTAGTATCTAGTTTCTGTGTTCTGGGCATAGATTTCCTTAAGTCACTTGTTTCTGGGCCTCACTTTTATCATCTGATAAAGGAAAGAGAAAACCAGTTTGAATTAGTTAAGTTCTGAAGTGCCTACCAAGTATAAGGTAGGAAAGTGCTCTGCTGTGAGGCTGGCTCAAAAATCCAACAGTGTAACAAGAAAAAAAGCAACCAGAGAATAAAGGACTATAAATGGGAGGAAATGTCCACAATTAAAGGCTGCTTTAGCACTAGACTGACTAGAAGGGCCTCAGCTATTGCAGATAAAAACATGGAGCCATCTTAAAATGAATAAATAGCATCACAAATAGTAATGGGTCACAATGAAAGTCCACATTCAGTAGCTCATCTACAAAAAGCAGTTTTCCAAGTCCAAACCAATATATCACTTCTTTGAATATAGTATTTGAACAAAAAGTAGATTGGAGTTTATACTAAAATAGGATTTTTTTAAAAAGAGTTTTTTTAGAGAGGGGAAGGGAGGGAGAAAGGGAGAGAATCATAGATGTGCCAGAGAAAAACATTGATTGGTGGCCTCTCACATTCCCTCAGTCAGGGACGTGGCACATGACCCAGGCATTAGTTGACCATGAACTGAACCAGCGACCTTTCAGTTCACAGGCCAGCACTCGACCCACTGAGCTACACCAGCCAGGGATATACTAATAGGATCTGACCTCTTGATTGGGTCACCTTTGGTAAGATAGTTACACTTTCTACTTTCCTAGTTATTGGAGCATTTATCTCATAATACACCCAAACCTTACCCAATGTGTATGTAGATTCAGGACATTTAAAATATTCTAGATAATATAGGAAAAATTGTTGACCATTAAGTTGGCAGCAGTCAGATGCATCAGCCTATTAAGCTAGAAAAGGACCATGACAGTACAAAAATCTTTGGAAAAATTCCAAAATCATGTTGAACTGTAGCTTTTACTTTCCTAATAGCACCTTCAATAACCTTTTATTATTCAAAAAATATATAGTTTCATAGTCCAGTTAATCAAATGATAATTATTGAACACCAGATTTTTAAAAATATGTAAACTATGTGAAAAAAATACACAATATAAAAATAAAAAATAGGGAAATGTTCTCTTCTTTATATATTTTAAACTGATAATCACAAATCACAGCAATGATTATTTAAGTGCATTTAGTGTTGTGAGAGTTCTTTGATAATCGCACCTGAGCAGTCTGATCATGCATCGGATTTCAGTCTATCTTGGTTAAGACCATTTGGTAACATTTGCATGTCAAATACATAGTGAATATATCTATAGATCTCCTCGGCCTTTTGGTGAGTTACTTGTGCATACATGGAGATTTCCTGAGGTGAGCTGAAAAACAAATTAGACCAAGAACATTATACTAGAACTTTTTGACTTAAAAAATTTAATATCATCTTGCTTAAAGACCTCCGAACATAAGGGTCTTTAAGAAAATCATCTTTTCCTAAGCATTCTGCATCCAGTTAATGTTTTTAGCACTAGCTGAAATAAAGCAAAAGCTTATTTCCTATATTTAAAATCATATAGAACAAGGATTTCAACCTCTTACACAAGGCTTTAATTCAATTAACCTATTTCCTAAAATCTTCCTTTTCAAGCGGTGTAATAATCAAAAATAGCAAATGCTCAACTTGAATACTTTTCTAATTACAGAACTAAACATCTATATAATTGTTAGAATGCAACATCCAACATAAATGCTCTCTGTCTAGTTCCACATAGAGCTCCAAGTTCCTCAAAGGCAATGCCTGTCCTTTTTCCCTCCATTAGTATCCTCAGCTTCATGCAGTGACTATTACATGCCGACAAGCAAAAAAGTCTCTACTGAATGAAATACTCTAACAGACTACTTGTATACCTTTTTAAAAAATATGTATTAAAATTTCTATGAAATGCTTCTAAGTAGCCATTTAAAAATATTGAAACAGACATACCTGTTAGTCATCTTTTTCACAGATGAAAACTGGTGACACAGATTTAATGCAGTTATATAACTTACATTGGGAATGCTTAGATAAAATTGAAGAGCTTCATGTTTATTACTGTTCACTGCTGGAACTTGAATACCAACATTCTTTCTTTGTTCCAATAAAGACAGTTCCTTGAGCAAATCTGCCGTTTCTTCTTGGCAGGAACTGAAAAGAATTCGAATTCCAGCTCCAATTAAGGTAGTCAGCAGGTTGTCATAGCTCTTTGTTCTCTTAACCATCCTGGTGGTGTCTCCTAAATATTTCATATTTAGAAAAATGCAAATTTTAGTAACTTACATTAACAAGAGTCATTAATACTATATAATATTAAAAATCCCAAGATTTACACCATTAAGGAAAATAGTGCCACATTATTTATGCTAATGAAAACCCTACAGCTAAAGATTTAAAGTGGTTATCAAGTATCTGAGATAAAATATGGAAGTCTGTCTTTATGAGTGTCTTGAATTGAAATCAACATAGGAAGGTGAGCAGGCAGGAAAGCGCTAAATAATTCATTCCTAAGGGCCAAGACCACATTATATCTCCAATAAAATTCTTCATAATGCTAGCATTGATGTACATTAAGTACAGATCTAACTGGTATAAAATTATGTATTTATTTCAAGAGTAACTCAATACTCTGCACACCCATTTTAATGTCATCTTTAACTCTTGCCTATTGATTTACTTCCTTATCTTTCCCATTTATTTTCTTCCCATATTTTAACTATATTATGTTGGGGGCATGCTTCATATGCAAAAAGAAAAAAGATACTTTTCCATAACTTGCCATGTTACTTTCCTCTTTATTCCAAGTCCACTTCCTTTTTAAAGGGTTTAGTAAAGATGAAATTACAGAATTTTGGCACTAAGGGGACTCAAAAGATCACCTAATCTAAAGCCCTCCCTTGTTAAATTAAAAAAAAAATCCAAAAAGGATTACTGAAAGACAGTGACTTATCCAAGACTGCCAGTGGCAGCACAGGGGTGAAAAGGTGCACTGCTGAATTACCAAACCAATGTTTGACATCAACTACAGTATTTCCTGTTACTTAATGATTGTATATCCTTGAATTCTTAGACAGTGGCTTTCACCTACATGATTTCACTTAATCCTCAAAACGTTACAAGATGAATAGAACAAGTATATGAACTCCTCAGAGGGAGTGATTTTTCAGTGCAACATCATATAGCAATAGACACCAGAGTTCAGTACATCTTCTGATTCCATATCCCACGATCTTTTCACTATTCTCAGACGCTCCCTATAGAAATTCCCCAACTGAAGCTCCAATCCTGCACTCCCAAATGCATCCTAGGCATCCATTTCAGTGACCCATTGAGAACTCTGTCTTAACATGTTCAAAATTGAACACCCCTTGTCCCTCAAATCTACTGCTTCTCTTATATTTATAATGTCAATAAACAGTACCACTACCTAACTGTCCAGTAACCAAGAAGTTGGTCAACCTATGAGTAACTCTGCCGACTCCTGCTAATCCTGCTTCCTAAATCTCCTGAATCCCTTTTCCCCACTACTGCCTTTTTTACGGTCCTCATCCTTTCTGGGGCTCCTAAAAACGACTTCTGATTGGTTCACTTGCCTACAATTTATCACTCTTCAGTTCTCATAAGCTGCACTCACTCGAACATAATGACTACTTGAAAACATTATGGCATTATGTAAACATGAAATGACATTCATGAGTCAGGTATTGTCACACATCCTGACAATAGAAGAATGAACTAATTAACAGTCAAGACCTTTTATAGCCTTATAAACAAAAACATTTTAAAATACAAACCTGTTTTTTCTCTGTCCTTTTCCACAATCACACATATTCTTTCAAACATGCTCTGTAGGTACTGGATCTGGACAATGAACTTGTTCTTATTAATACTGTTTAACATCTCAGATTGAGACCTCCTTTCCACCACCATGCGGTTACTCACAATGTAATCACAACCATTAAGAGGACAAACCTCTACTTGAAAGCCATGAATAGCTCTGAGGGAAGAAACTATTTCTGAACCAGAAGTGATTTCACGACTGTCTACAAGAATACACGTTCTCTGGCCTTCCTGTGGGAGTCTAAGAGAAGCATGTGTGCCAGCCAAACATGGTCTTGAATCAGAAATGGAAGCTATTGAAGTGCTAGAATCTTCCAGAGCACAACCAGCCTGAAAAAGTGGAAAACATCAATCACAGTGAGTTAAATATATATTAGCACCATAAACCTGAAGTTGACTTTCTTCACTGATACTCTTTCTGTCTTCAACATGACCAAAGTGACTATGTAGTTGAAGGATCAAGCTATCACTTCATACCTATTAGGGTGGCTACAATTTAAAAACAAAAAAAGGGGGAGAATGAGTGTTGATGAGAATGTGAAAAAACGAATATATGTTGCTGGTGGGAATGTAAAATGATATAGCCATTGTGGGAAATAATATGGCGATTCATCAAAAAGTTAAAACACAGAATTACCATACGAGCCAGTGATTCCGCTCCCAGGCCGAATGCCTTCCCAAAAGTAGTGAAAAGAAATTCAGGTACTTGTATATCAATGTTCATTAATTTTGGAAATTTCTCAGTCACTGCCTATTCAAATGTATCTCTTACCCTGTTCTCTCTCCTCCTTAATTCCAGTCACAGGTATTTTAGACTATTGATACAGTTCCACAGCTTTTGGATGCTCCATTTGTTTTTTAACTCTTTGTATTTCAGGTTAAGTAAATCTATTGATCTTGCTTTAAATTTGTCTGGTTATTTCCATAGCTGTGTTGAGTCTACTGATGGGCCCATTGAAGACATTCTTCATCTCTCTTACCATGTTTTCCATTTCTAGCGTTTCTACTTTGTTGTTCTTTATATTTTTCTTTTCTCAGATGGTATTCCCTAGCTCTTCATGCATTTTTGTTTTACTTTTCCACTGGAGCCTTTAACATATTAATCCTATTTTATATTCCCTGATAGGTCCAATATCTGAGGCATATTGGGTCTCTTTCTTAAGAATGTGTTTCTTTCTTCCTTCTCTGTACTCTGTAACTTTTGATTGAAAGCCAAACAGCTTGTGTGAGACAGCAGTAATTGAGGTACATATTATAGTATTTATGCCTAGAAACAGGTATGCCTTTCTTTTGCTAGGCCTTAGTGTGTGGCATTGAGTAAAAATTGAGTTGGGTTTTTTTCTTATTGCTATGGTTACTCTTGGTACATTCAGAAGCTTTAAACTGGGTAGTGCTACTTTGCATTTAGGGTGAGAGCAGAGTTGCCAAGGGATTTTTCAAAATGTTCTCAGCTTTAGGCCCTCTCTGTGAGCCTGAGCCTCAAAATTCCAATCAACAGATTGCTGTTATTTGTTACTTAGTGTTTGCTAGCCGAGCTGGAGAGAGTACTAGGAGCATCACCTTGAGGGGAGAAGGGGTATTTTCTATTGTCCTGGTTCAGTCTGTTTTGGATAGGACTTGTGTCCCTGGGTCTCAGAGGTGGGGCCTTCTCAGTGATCCTGACCTGCCTCCCAGAGATTGGAGATCTCTTATGTTCTAGGCCCAAGGTGTTTTCCTGACCCCTTCTCAGGTGCAAAGAATGTTTTTCTTGTTCTCCCTTCCCCCATCAGCAAAGGTCCTTCATCTAGGCCATAGGGAATATAGGGTTTGCTGCTCTATCCCAAGTGGCTTAAAGCTTTCTGTTTCATAGGGAAAAGAGAGGAGATGGAACCAGATGAGGTCTGGTGCCTTTTCCACGGTAACTGCTGGTCACTTCCCCAAGGCCTAGAGCAAGAAAGCCTCTGATTTTCAGTCTTTCCTGTGAATATCTGATGAGCCTGTAAAGAAGAGTCCATGGGTGGCAAACTCCCCATCTGCAGCTCCCAGTGGTTCTAAACTTTCATGCTAGTCCATTGCCTTTTGCAATTCATTAAAGTTTTAGCTGAATTCTTCTTACCATATTGTACACTGCCGAGTGACTCTACCAAACCAGAAAGTCTCTCATTGAAGGCACCTGTCTCTCCTTAGAGATCAGACTAATTGTTTGTCCTGCAACCACACCTCCATAAAAATCAAATAAACTCATGATTTTGTAGATTATCTGGATTTTTTTATTGTCGTCATATGGATGGGAACAATGCTCTTTCCAGCTTCCTATATCCTAAGCTAAAGATGGAAGCCCTAATCACCCAGAAATCTTTAAAATATAGTCAATATTCAATTCCAAAACATAAATAAATAAATAAATAAATAAATAAATGTAATGAAGAAATGGCCACCAAAAAAAAAAAATCATTAAAAAAAAAAAACCCTAAAAATATGTACTTATCTTGGAGTAGAAAATGGCTTTCTAAATATGACACTGAAGTCAGAAAGTAAAGAAAAAATATTGGCACTGTGTGAAAAAGTTACCTCTTCCTATGGCAAAAACCACTACAAACAAAACAAAAAGGTAAATAACAGACAAGGAATGCTGTTTGCAATATACATGACAAAGTAAATGTTAACATTTTTAATACCTAATGGTTTTTGATAGATGTTCTTTCTCCTCAATTTACCTCAAATTCTTTTCCCTTCTAATTTCAAGTTAAATGAATCATACTATATGGAATTTTAGTATTAGATATAAAAGAAATTTTAAAACATATCTGTTAAAATCTGTTTATCCTCTTTCACAGTCCTCAAAGTATTACTAGCCTATATCTATTTTTTAATTAGAGCATGCCAAAGTAGAAATGTAGATAGTGTTCACCAGGTTTCAAAGTACTGTGCAGATATTCCCTACCTTACCCTTTGATATTGCTATCCTTATACTACAGCTGAGAAAACTGAGGGTCAGAGAAATTAAGTACTTTCTTGATCTCCAATCTATTAGAAGACTTAATCTATTTAACTTTATCCTCATTATACCTTCAGGAAGTAACTTTGTGCAAAAAACGCCTGGGAACAATTTAACACTGGCCAATTTGAGAGCCCATTGTGTGTTCATTGAGCATGTTGCTAAGGCAGAATGGATGAAACAGAGGAATAAAAGAGAAGAGGAAGTCTAGGTCTCACTCCAAAATGAAAATCAAAGATACGAGTATTTACAGTTAAGGAATTCCTATTGCTATGACTTTAATCCCTGTTTTAGTAAAACTACTTAACTGTAAACTATCAAAAACTAAAAATGGTTTTACAGATTATTTAAGCAATAGCAAGACATGGAGAAGCTGGGAACTGGACTTCTTAAGCCATTCTGGAAGGAAGGAAATGAGGTGATGCCTCTAACCTCCTCTCCCCAGTGAAGAGATGAGAGCTACATACCTGAAGCCTTCAGGTGGGGGAAGGAAAAGTTAATCTGGGTAGGAGGTCGGGGTGGGGGGATACTAGTTCTAAACATGCAATTTCTGTTATTTTTACCTTGCAGAAAGCCCATTTTCCTACAGCCTTCTTATAAAATTAGCACGTTTCCTTACAGTATTATTAAGAAAACTATGAACACATTTAAAAAATTATAACCTAAGCATTCATATATGAATGAATTATGCATAAAATTTAGTATGCTATTTTCTTATTTGAAGAATTTCATCATTAGCTAGTTTTTCTTTGACCTAGTTATTTAACACACAACACAATGAAGCAAAACAAAACGAAAACATCTATTGATAAACATGAAGACTTTTTCCTCCACTTTGATCCATACCTTCAACTGAATTGGAGATTTGCTACAGTCTTTCCGTGAATCAACAGCAGTGAATGATGGTGAGACAGATTCGATTTTATTATGGGTCTGAGGTTTGGAGTCCGAGATACCAGAAACCGTATCCTTTGAATTAAGTATTGTCTGTTGTTTCTGCTTCAGCACTTGAGTAATGATGGGATTAGAATGATCCTTGGGCAGTAAGGATGACCCAGAATGCACCGAATTCAAAGGACGGTCCCTTTGTTTGCTCTTTTTAATAGTGCCTGGGTTAACCACAAGAATGGATTCTCTTTTATCATTTATGTTGTTTTCCTCTTCACTTGAATCATCCAGTAAAATAATTCTGGATAATTTCTTTTTTGAACGTGCACTCTGTCTCATCTTCATTTGTTTTAGCTTTACTGCACGTCGGGTTTTATATTTTTTACTCCCATTTGCAAAGCAATCCTCAGTTATTAAATTAAAATCAACACACACTTCTTCTTCACTTGATTGGCTTTTGCAAGACTCCTCTTCATGAACACAAAAACTGTCTTCTAAATAGGTTTCATCTTGCTCAGGAATCTACAATAAAAATACAAATAAGGATATTACATGAGCTGACTGGTGTGGTTCAGTGCATTGGATGCCATGCTGCAAACCAAAGGGTCGCCAGCTCAATTCCCAGGCAGGGCACATGCCTGGGTAGCAGGCCAGGTCCCTGGTTAGGGGCGTGTGAGAGGTGCCTGATCGATGTTTCTCTCCCCCTCCCTCTCTCTAAAAATAAATAAAATCTTTAAAAAATATATAACCAATTTCTTTCATTAAATCAGCATGTATTTAACATAGTCTTGAACGTACATAAGATCTGTATGAGTATTGATTCCACTTTATTTTCAGTCACTTGCTAAACAAACATATACTGATTATATTCTTTATGGAAAAAGTGAGGACTTCAGTGATAAAACATATATAATAATTGACCTTCAAGAAATTAACAGTCTAGTGAGGGAACCAAAAAAATAAACAAACCATAATTTAGAAATAATGTTATAAGTGCTATACAATAAAGACAATGGGAGTACAGAGCTATGAATGAACATATGACCAAGCTGAACATGGCAATTTATAAACAAAATATAAAAATGTTAGACGTAAGTGTAAAGCAAGCTATAATTTTTAGAATTAATATTTTTATGAAAAAATAAATTCTCAGATGAAATTGACTTCTAAGAAAAATTTAACTAGTAGATGATGAAGTTTTATTCACTTCCTTTAAAAACATTCTCCTAATTAGAAAAAGATTTAATGGTCTATTCTACTTAACTGAAATTAAAGAAAGGCAATTTAATCAAATTAGGACTAAAAAGGGATTTTGAGAATTCATTTAGTCCACTTTCCTGACTCAGGGCAGAAATTACCCCCATTAGCTCTGGGAGTCCAGTTTTAGAAACAAAATGGAGGTTTCATTAACAGGAGCATATTTCAACATCACCATCAGGAAATTCTCTACTATATCTCTAGAGTTCATACCTGTGAGAAAATGTTTATGTTGTGTTCCTTATGCACCATTTTGTATCGACTGCTCATCAATGGGCTACGCAAAGATTTCACGTAAATAGCTCTCATTTCAGATTCTGTGTAAAGAAAAGAATTTCATATAGCAAAATTATTAAAATGAAAACTAGAAAAGGATTTAACTTTGACCTATTCCAAATTCAGATAATTCAAACCTTGCAGAAGTATTTTACACAAAAGGTAATTAATATATAAAAAGATATACAAAAACAATTATTCAAAATGCAAAGTTAGAAGTTTTGCCTTTGAAATCAGACCATCTAGTTGGGTGATCATGGACAATTTATTTAAACTCTCCACTTTAGCTATCTCTAATCTTAACTCCTATTTCCTAATCTGGAAATGAGGATTAGGATAGTGCCTTTTCATGAAAAATAAATGTATACAAATACCTTAGGACTGTACCTGATTTATAAAAACTACTCAATAAAACATAAGAAATCCAGGCTAAAAATAAATGTTCAAAAACATCAAAAGCCACAGACAACAGTATGTATGTTTCATAATCTTCAGTCAAGCAAAAAATTGAAAAACACATGGTTTTTCTTTATGCTTATATTTTTCAGGTTATAATCAAAAAGCAACTTTATTTTTCCCATTCTCCCATACACTTTGAGGTAACTGAAATTGACATTCATTATTTTAATGACTCTGGTGCTTGGTACAAGATACATAAATTTTTCTTTGAATAATATTTCCCTTATCTTCATTCCATAGCTAGATTCAACTGTTAAGATATCCTCCTGACTTATGTAAATCCCTACCAACTTAGTGGGACTCTTACTTCCAGCTTACTGTTTAGAAGGACTCAAAATTAAGGAGCTTTCATAAATTTTTCATTTGTTTCATAATTTCTTTTTTAGGTGTAACGTACATGCAGTAAAATTGATCCTCTTTAGGGTACAGCTCCAAGTCTCTACAAACCCACCAATACGGCAACCACTAATCTATCTGCTGTACCTATAGTCTTACCTTTTCCAGAATGTTGTGTAAATCTAAATATACGGTGTGTAACCTTTTAAATCTGGCTTTTTTCACTAAGCATAATTCATGTGAGATTCAGATGCTGCTCATTTTTCAAAGTTATAGCAAAGAGTACTTAAGAAATGAAACATGAAAAAATGATGTGAATTTTGAGGTTTAAAAAAACTTTGAAATCCTGCATATTTCAAACATACTGTGTCTAAAATGGAGTTTGGAATCTCCCTACCCTTCATCTCAACTACTCCACAGGCAGCCTTCCAATATCCAAAGGCAACAAGTATGTCCTTCCTGTTGCTCAAGCCCACTCACTTTTCTTTTTCTCTTTAATCCACCCGAAAATCCTGTCAGCTGCACTGTCCAGAATCCAATCTTTGTCACTCTCTCATGCCACCACCTTGGTAAAAACCACTAACACTCCTTGATCAGATTACTGCGATAGCCTCCTATTTGGTCTATTCTTCCACCTTTGCTCCCCTGTAATCATTCTCAAAAAGGAGGCAGGTAACACTACAATAAGTCAGATCACGAGGTGGCTGCTCATCTCCTGTCTGATCTTACTTTCTACTACCCCCTCTCCCTTATTCAATTCCGGGAACAATGCCTTCCTTGAACATTCCAGGCATGCTCCTGCCCAGGACCTTTATCCTGGCTGTCGTCTGTGCGTCTACATTCTCTAACCAGATTATACTGTAAACCTGCAAAAGCCACTTCTGTTAATAAGTATCGAGGGCATCATACTAAGAAACCTTATTCAGCAAACTGTATCAGTATCAACAGCATAGCACTGAAACCTGTTTTTGAACACCTTTTTTCTTTGAAGACATAGACCTTGGGAAACTGCTTTCTTAAATCATCAGGGACTGCAAGAGCAGAGTAAATGGCAAGATCTGTAAAACATCAAAACACTGAAAAGCCCAACAGAATCCTTCCTATTTCTACTACAGCCAATCTGAATCATCTTCTCTTCATCTATTGTGTATAGGATCTGCTCAAGCATTGTTTGGAGAGACTGTTAACCAAAAGTACATATCTCCTCCTCAGCCAATTTGATAAATTTAGCTTTGTGTCAGCTGGTTTTCACAATCCACATTGCTAAACTCTTCATCTCCTTCTGGAGTTTGATAAATGTCATCTTCTCAATGAGGTCTACCCCTCAATACCTGATATAAAATTATAGCTCCTCTACTATTAATACCTCTAACTCCTGCCACTCCAAATCCTCAGCTTACTCAATGTTTTCATTGCTCTATATATTTTTCATCTTAAAATATAATAAATAGCCCAGACTGGTGTGGCTCCATGGATTGAATGCTGGCTTGCAAACCAAAAGGTGACTGGTTCGACTCCCAGTCAGGGCACATGCCTGAGTTTCAGAACAGGTCCCCAGTTCGGGGTGCGGGAGAGGCAACCGATCAATGTTTCTCTCCCTCTCTCTCTCCCTCCCTCCCTTCCCATCTCTCTAAAAATAAGTAAATACAAATCTTTAAAATATACTAAATAATTTAGTTACTATGTTTATTGTTTGTCTCCTTCCATTCAAATGTTTAGGGCAGAGGTTTTTTACTGGTCCATTTTGTTCACTGATATGGCTCTCTCAAGAATCTTACATAGTACCAAGCACACAACAGGCACTAAATACTTGTTAAATAAACATTTGACACAGGGTCAGCCAGGTTGCCCTGGGGAGAAATAATCAAATTAGCAAAAGCCTATAAACAACCAAGTCTAAAATAAGTATTACAGAATTTGAATGGAATTGACCAAATATTTCACATATACCAAATTTAATTCCGTTTAAAGTCAAGATTCTTTGAAATGTAACTAAAATATTTAACTACAACCATATTAAAATCATGAAAATTAATTGAAAAAGAAGCATCATTACATCATTTACCATTTATGGCCTGTGAAAGTTGAGTCTCATCATTTAAGAAGTCAAGTAACGAGGAATCTTTTTCATTTTCTGACTCATCATTTTCATCTGATGAAACACATTCTGCATCTTCTTGGGAAAGTTCTGCTTGATCATCCAAAAACTTCCTAGCTACAAACTAAGACAAATTATAGAAAATCAGATGATACTGATGAGAAAATCATTTACTTTCCTTAAATAATTGAAAATAGTTCTGCAAAATAGATTTCTTGCCAATGCTTTTTAAGACAAAAAGTGAAAATAGAAAACTGCAAGAAGACTTGATAAAATAGCATACCTATTTAAATTTCTCCTGATAATTCTTACAAGTAAAATAAGTTCAAGTCAACATGTCGGCTTCCTGAATGTTTTTTGTTTTTTTTTTAAATAAGCATAAAGTTTCCCGAGTCTGCCAGCTATTTTAATTTTTGCTAGGAAGATATTGCACCACAAAAGGACTAATCAGAAAAAAGGGGGCTGAGAATTCTTTTCTAAGGATTTGAATATCAGCAATAAGAAACAATACAATGATTGTAAAGGCAAATATTCTAAAACTCAGATTTCTGTCTCGGTATCTTCTTCAATTTGAATCTTAAATTCAATACACTAGTTTCTTCATTTAGTTATTCAAAAGAACGCAACACTATAACAGAGTTTCGAAACACAGAAAGAACTAGCCCTGGCTGGTTTGGCTCAGTGGATTGATAACCAGCCTGTGAGCCAACGGGTCACTGGTTTGATTCCCAGTCTAGCGCACATGCCTGGGTTGTGGGCCAGGTCCCCAGTTGGGAGGTGTGTGAGAGGCAACTGCAAGTAATGTTTCTCTCCCTCTTTTTCTCCCCCCGCCCCTGTCCCTTCTCTCTAAAATAAACAAATAAATAAATAAATCTTTTTAAAAAAAAATAAAAAATGCACCACCTTGAGATATTAATTCCATTTAAAAAGGAAAACTAGGGTAAAACCAGTTTTGAATTTTGGGATTTTTTTTCTATAAAGAAACTATAGAGAGAAATCTATTTCTGTGTAAAATCTAGTGCGCCTTAAATACATATATTGCATATATACATTATCTATAAGTAAAAAAACTGAAAAATATTTACCTTCAGGTGACTCCGTCTCTTTTGGACTTTGGTGCTTCTTTTGGTATTCCTATTACGACCCTTGAAGTTGTCTAGTTGTGGATGTTGTTCAGGAAAATCCTCACTCTCGTCACTAGATGATAATTCTAACTATAATAATTCAAAAATTCTTGCATAAGAAAATATAATTGGATTATTGTATCTTAATGTATTTCTAAAAGGTTGTTGCTTTTATTTTCATTTTATAAAGTTTTCTTGTTAGAAAAATGAAATGCTCTCACAACTCAGAGCCCTGTTACAAATATATAAGAATTGATAAGTACTAAAATACTAAATTAGGTAATATGTGTAATTCTGGTATAGTATTTATTCAGTTTAGTATTATATCAATGTATTTGATGAAAGCTTGTATTTTTAACTGTTTTCTTTAGAAGATCTGAAAGAGCTTCACCAAATGTAATGAAGTCGGTAAATACAGGTATCAGAATCAGACCAACATACAGGAGTCCTTTCAAACCGAGAAACTGATACAAGAAAAATAAATGTGACTAGGAGCCCTATCACTGTATCTTTTGCAGAAGAATATAACACTGATCAAAAGAATCAAAATAATTTTATCAAAATAATTTCAATTAAGATGAATAAAACAGTTTAAATTAGACTGATCACATTATCAATATTTTAATTCATTTCTTATAAGTCAATCAGACATTCTAGTTAATGTAGCAAATTAAAGTGACTTTTCTCGTTTTATAGGAGTAGACAAAGTTATTATGAACTTGATATGGGAACTTAAGAGTTAAAGATTTAGCTTTAATTATAGGTGGTAGGCTTAAATGGTTAAGGCACGTGGAAAGCTCTTGTTCCAGGAATTGGAATACCTGACCTACATAATTCCAGGAGATTAACAAGCAATACAACCTGGGCTGCAACTCCTATCTGATTAACCTTTTTCCAAACTCCTTCACTATCCTTTTATTTTCCTTATAAAAAGGTCAGTTGGGGATGAGATGGTTTTTCGGGTTCATAACCTGCTATCTTCTCAGATCACCAGCATCTGAATAAGGTGCCAAAAAAATTCAATCCTTGTCTCTACTTACTGATTCTGGTAGTGACAGGCAGCACAAATGTCAACTTTTCCAGTTTCAGACTGATTGCAATTTTAATTAATTTTGCACAAATTATCCTATATTTTATTGGAGAGTTAAAACACACAAGATTATCTAATCTCAAAAGGTAGTTGTCAGGTACAAACTGATAAAAAATGAGTATTATCAGCCTTAAGACATGCCTCCTACCCAAACTTCATATTCACATAGTCACCAATAACTGCCAAGACACTGACATTTCACTATCAAGCAAAAACACCAAACTCAAGCATGTTCAATACTGAACTTTCCATTCTTGTCTTCTTTAGATTTGTGACACATCTGCCAAGCAGCCCAAGCCAAAACCAGAGTCATAGTGGACTCCTTCCTTTTCTCCTTTTAAACCCATTCAGTAAGCAAATAAAAGCATAAAGGCTTCCACAAACAGACCCAGATTTTTCTCCAATTTTACTTCTTGGCACTCTTTATAGTTACATCCAGTTTACAGAGATGCTCTTTCCCGGTGGTGTGTCGTCCTATAAGCTGTCCACTCCATTGACAGAGCCTTCCCTTCTCCCTTCTCTTGCCTAAGGCCACATATGCTTTAAGATTTAATAAGGTTTTATCTTCAATAAGCTTGCCAACCTCCAAAGGTCAAGGCTAAGGAGTTATCTTTTACTGTCACTTAACTTAAAAGATTATATTGAAATTACCCATTTACTTATCTTTCTCTCCTAATAGATTGTAGGTGACATAAGATAGTTCCATGATATAATCTTTATAGTACCTCCAGCATCTTATACAGTAGATATTGTACACAATAGATAAGTATTTAATGAACATTTGCTGAATTGCTGACATGTACTAACAAAAGTAGGGATAGTTTTTAAAATAAGTATAAAATTAAAGTAGAAATTACAGTCACACAGGATTCACTATCTTCCTGTTAACTATAAACCTGTAAGATCAAATTTACCTACATTCACCTATACACATATTATTTTTTTGATATTTATTCCAAAAGGATTTTAATTACTATGTACTATCTACACACTATCTGTTTACTTACTTTCTTTGAAGGAACCCTGTGCTTTTTTACAGCATGAAGTGGAGAATCAATTTCACTATGCTTCTGATCCTAGATAAACAGATAAAGTAAAGGGTAAAAAATGAAAAGATGTAAGAAGAAAAAATCTTTATATGATCATATTATTGTGATTAATGAATGACTCACCTCAGGAGATTCTAAAATATTTCCTTTTGTTTTCTTACTCTTTCTTTGGAAAATCTCATCACCTTCACTTTCATTGCTTGTTAATTGTTCATCTATAATTTATTTAAAAATAATGAATCTGGTCAATAGGTTTAAGTTTATCAAACCACAACTGTCTATTTTATTGACAGGTACAATAAGAATTCTGTCAATCTCAACACTTACTCTCAAAAAAGATAGCTTTTCAGAAATTTGGCCAAAAGCTCAGCATGCGAAGAGACAGAAAAACAATATAGTGCCAGTTAGAAAATTAAGAGATCATAACTTTTGCTAATAAACATAAATTTGACTCAAGTTCAGTTTTACAAATAAACTAAAAAGAAGCCAGAAGACTATAAAACATAATTCTATTATTTAATGGTTCTAGAAGTCATCTCTAAAAACCTACGATACTCTTCTTGTCCTTTGTGTCTTATTCTCCTTCTAGTTAAAGCATGAAAATGCAGGCTATAAAACAATGCATATAAAGAAATCTTAATGCACATATGTAGGTATGTAGTATATATGTACATATACATATGTTGTGCACACACATGAAATTAAACATTGGTAAGATAAATACCAAAATATTGTAACTAGAACAACACATCTGGGGGAATGAAAAGATTACTAAAAACAAAACTGTCACATATCTGGGGGAATGAAAAGACTACTAAAAACAAAACTCATGTATCAAATGAGATGCTTCAAATATTTCGGTATGTAAACAAAGCTTTAAGTCTGCCCTTTCATAAAATTTCAATTGAAGACACTTCTTCGTGTCTTTATGACACCTTCTGTAAGAACTTTATCATTGTTTTAAGATATGTTCATAAATTCTTTGATATGTCTCCCTTTTAGGAGGTGCATCAGTGTTGGGCAGACTTAGTCACTTGCTTCTAAAAAAAAAAAAAAAGGAATATAATGAAGATGAAGGTGTGTTACTTCAGAGTCTACGTTATAAATGTCATTGCATCCCCATCATTGTTCTATCACTAACTCTGGAGGACTCTAGATGGTACATTGTAAGTATATAAGAAGAAACCCTATGGAGACACCCATGGGGCTAGAAATTGAGGCCTCCACAAACAGCAATGTGATCCTCCATGTTTACCCAAGCCTTCAGATAACTCCCACGCTGGCCAATGTCTTGACTGCAACTTCACAAAATATCCTGAGCCAAAACCATTCACTAAGCCACTCTCAAAGTTCTGGTCCACAGAAACATGTTTGCTGTTTTAAGCTATTAAATTTTCTTTTCTTTTTTTTTGGGGGGGGGGTGGTCATTTGTTCTGCAGCAGTAGATAATTAATACAGATTGTGGTACCTGGAAATAGGGATTTTCCATACCAAAAAACTACCCTATGGGAGAAGCTTTAGAACTAGTTTGGGAACAGAAGCCGAAATGGCTTTTGAGGAGAGTTTAGTGAAAGCTTGAAGAGACTCAAAGGAATTGTTTGTAGGGACAATTTCTAAGAAGATTAATGGCCATTGAGGGAGGTTATGGCTGAAAGGTTAAAGTAAGGAAAATCTTCCTAGAAATTGAAGGAAAGAGAATCCTTTATGTAGTGCCAGAAACTTTAGCAGTAACATGGAGGAGTTACTTTAGGAGTAACATGGAAACCTTACAGTAACACGGAAAGTAGGAAACGTACCTAATGAATGAGGTGATCTAGTTAGGAAGATTTCTAGACAAAATGTTTTAAGGTATCATCTGTGCTTCTTGCTGTTAAAGTAAATTGTGCGAGGAGAGAGCTAAGCTAAAGAAAGGACTATTGAACGTAAAACAGTTGAGACTTGCTGGCTTTGAAAATTCCCAGTTTCTCGAGCTGGCAATGCCAACTTAAGAAATCTTCAGGGCAAAGATCTAAACTAGAGGACTACCAGGAAAACACTGTTCAGATGAAGCTGAGGGTGTAACTGTAAATGCTTTTAAGACCTAAGAAAGATTGAAGGTGGTGCCTCAGAGTACCATTCAGTCATATTTTAAGGACGTTTCTCACAGATCTTCTCAGGCCTTTTAAGAAGGTTAAAGAACCATCGCTAGACATCTCAGCAGAAACGCAAGGCAGAGAAGAACCTAGCTCCAAAAGAACTGTGGGCAACCTAGTGTCTAACGGAATGAACCCCAATAAGATTCACAAGAAATCCAAAGATTTGGGAGAATTAATGGGAAGAAACACAGCGAGCTATGACTAAAAGGGGCAGACAGGACAAAATGAAAACAGGGCTTTGGATTCCCAAATTTTTGTTAAAAGAAAGCATGCAGAGAAAATGATTCTACCAAGCATCCAGAGGACAAAGCCAAGAACCGTGGAGAATTACTCCCAAGCTTTGAATCCTAATCAAGGAACTTCCCAACTCAACTCTGCTGGATTTTAGAATTCCTATGGACCAGAGATTCCTGTGTGCCTCCCATCACCTGTCCCTACTTCGTTCAAGCCATCTTGAAAGCAGATTGTCCAAGCCCAGCCAAGTCCTCAGAGGTCTGCAACCCCAGGTGAAATCTTGATTAGAACCTCATGAGAAATCCTAAACTAGAACCACCCAATTAAGAAACTCGTGAATTCCTAAACTACAGAAACTGTGAGATAAATGCTTATACAAAGCCACTACGTTTGTGAGAGTAATTTGTTACACAGCAATAAAAAACTAAAACAAATTAACACAGTAATATTCTTCTCATACTCTGTGATAATAAAACATCTACCCAGACAGATAAACTTGAATAAAACATTTTTTGCAAATGAGCACTCTCTAAGAAAAGTAGAGTTAAATGCAGGGCTCAGCTATAATAACCAACTAATTCCAGGAGGCTTTCCCCTTATCAACTTTTATAGAGTTTTAATGAACTATTTTTGTATACACATAACATGACTAATGACCTTAAATCCTCTATTTCAATTAGGTAGAATAAAATAATACTAAATACTCTAATAAATATTTCCCTAATATATGTATTCATAATTACATTGACCTTGGTTAATAGTTAAGTGCATTACTAGAAAAAGTTTTAATGCTAATATGACACAGACAAAAAAAAAGATTTCATCCAATAACAGACAATATAAAGGTGTTAAAGTAAATATGGAAGGCTCACAGGCAACATACACTTAGTAAAAATACATATGTCCGAGTATAACCAAAACTACCCAAAAAGCAGAATAGTCAATTTTTGAAAATTAAACATATTTCCATAACTTACTTTTAACAAGCTTTTATCTTCAACATTCATAAACTATGCATGTCCTCAATGCCACTAAGAATAGCCTAAGAAAAAGACTTACAGAAAAAACTCTCATTTTATTCTACAACTACTTTTTCCGCAGCCATAAGGAGTAAAATCCATAAATGGCCTGCTGTAATAATCTATACATAAACTAGAGTTCAGTTCTATCACAGGGCTTAAAAGATACCTTAGTAATTTTAACATCAAGCATCTGTTATCTTATTTTCTAGTTTTTCTGTAACCATGTAAAATTAAATCTTCTGTGATCTTGTCTCAGTCCTCCAAATACAGTCTTATGTCTCAACTATTTTGCTATATTAAATTCTACTTTATCCTATCCCCCAAAAAACTTACACTTTGCTTCTTACACTTTTTCTCACCATTTTATAATATCTACATTCTCTATTATTTTCAACACATTCCATATTCCCAAGGAGCCAAAATTCTAAAAATCTACATTTTTTAATCTAATCTACTCCAAAATTTTAACATTTTCTGTATCTCCTAAACATTCACTATCTTATTATTCCTCTCGTAGGTATTTACACATTTTTACTGGTATCTTTTCAAATGTAATATCACATAATTGTTTGTTTTACAATCAAGGGCTAAGGCCAAATCTTACACTTCTGTATTTCACAGTGTAGTACCTTTACCATGGCATGCATGCCATAAATATATATGTAGATAAAATAAATCTTGTATCAGTAAGCATCAACTTAAGAAATATATAATACATCAATTATCTAAATTTAATAAACCATATACTGAGAAATTACATTTCAAAAAATTACATAAGTTTATACAGAGTAATTATTCTAGAAAATTTGTTTTATAAAGATGAACTCTTACCTCCAACAGAATTACAGGATTGACGTGGATTGATTTGTTCTGTGTCTTTAGCCTTTTCTATAGAATGTCCTGAATCATCAAAAGTTGAATTCAATGTTTCTTTGAAACTTTGTATTTTTACCTTTCCCTTATTAGAATCTAACATCCTAGGCATTTCCTTTCTCTTTTTAGAGTTCAATGTGTTTGATTCAGAAAGTGGTGTACTCATAACTTTTTCCCCTACTGGCAAAGAAAACTGAGAATAACCAGGAGACATAAATTGTTTGTTTTTTGCTGTACTCAATGGAAAATATGCAGAAGTTGGACTCTGCTTATCTCCACTTGATGAGACAGTAATGGTTCTACTCGTAGAACTATCAACATGATCTCTTGGTCTTATGGTTTGGTTTGAAACATAACTTGTATCATTTATCTCCTTGATATCTAAACACCTTCCAGATCGGTCATCTAAAATGTTATTCTTATTTGTATGTGATACATGTTCTAATATTTCATCATCAGAATCTGGAATACAAAATCCTAAATCAAAGGTCACAGAAAATAAATCCTTAGAGCAGTCATGAACATATTCATTGCTCTTTAGTTTTTCCTCATGTACACCTGTCAAATCTTCATGAGATTTCCAGCTATTAGGGTCATAGATATTTTGATCTTGCAGTTCAGAATTACTGTCTAACAATAGTTCATCAGAAATTAAGAACTGAGACACTGGTGTCATTTTGCTTATAAAAGTTTTGTCTGACACACATAAAGATTTACATTCCTTATTCGAGGGAGAAAGGCTCACATCATTAAACTCCGTATCTTCAAACAGTTGTAAACTCTCGTTCTGATCAGTGAGCAATATGGGGATCCCATTGCTGTCAACACCATGATTGTTTTCTTCAACAAAATACTCTGGAGGGCTTATATTTATTGGAGTATGAGTGCTGGATAATAAATTTTCATTTTTAACATCTTTATGCTCTTTATCATCATAGCCACAGAAGCGCGGGTCATCAAAAATCTTACCATTAGTTGTACTATAAATGCAACTTTTTTCAGAAGGATGATTAATAACTTTAAATGAATTCAATTCTGAATTATGTCCAGAGCTTATAGCTGAATGTGACATCAAGCAGGTAGATTTATTCTTTTGTAAATACTCTGTGTAAGGTAGGTAAAACAAAGTTTCGGATGCAGAACCCTTAGTAATTTCATGTTCCAAATTTGAGAGGCTACTGAGAGAAGGAGGAGAATGAGATAAAAATTTCTCTACCTTAACTAGCACCTCTTTTGTTGGTGAATAACAATTATAAAATTGGTCATCTGCTCTAGGTATAGCAAGCTCTTCTTCAAATGAAAGAAAGAAACTAGGTAAAACAGATTTCTCATCACTGAAACTGTTATAACCAGAATCTAAAAAATGTCCAGCAAATGAACTAATAAATTTATTTGTAATCTGACATTCTGTTAATGATCCACATGGCTGATTGACAACATTTTCATTGACAGCACATAGGGCAGCAACTTCATCTGTATCTGATGCTCTTTTATCATTTAGGTCTACCTGAAAAATGTTTTCACCAGTAGAATTGCCATCAGGATGTAAAGAATCCATAACAATATCATTATTTTCTTTTTTAGGCTGATCTTTTTTCAGTTTTTTAGAAGCTTTTGTCTTTAGAGGAACAACTTTAGTAGGTTTGATATGAGTTTGTTTAAGAATTTCAGCACATTCTTCACCAGATTCTGTCATTGAGAATGAATTGCCTTCATTTATATTCTTTGTAAATGAAGATTTCTTGTTATGAGTAAAGGTGCTATTGGCAAGAAGATTATATTTGTTCCTGTGAGCACTAAATGTTGAGCTTACATCTTCCATTTGTAAATACGATTTAATTTTCAATTCATAGCTGCATTCTCCCTATAAAAAAATAAAAAGTCGTAAGAAAACAAAACAAAAAAACCAATTCTAAGAATGAAGTTTACTCTATGTTAAAATATTTTCCAAACAATATTACATTATTCAAATGATTTTCTTTTATACCTTAAAAATTATTATAATAAATCAAATAAAATTATAAATGACACTACTGTGAAATTACCATAAATTTCTTTAATCAGTTAATATTTTTGTATCCTCAATGCTTAATACAATACATGGAAGACCCATAATACTATTTATAGAAAGAACAAATTTAATGAATGCACAAAAAAAGCTTATAAACACTAAGTTTTCTCACTTGTAACAATTAACTGAAAATAGATATTTATGAAATTTATATATTGACTATATAGATGTAAAGCACACTTCCATGTTAAATTTTCTCTCTTTTTGAAGATAAACTAAGGACAGCTTTTAGAACTTCTGAAATAATGGTACCTGTCTGTCTGCCAGACTGTAGGCTAGAATACACTATTTTTTTAAAAGACTTTAGAACTGGGAATCGAACCAGCGACCCTTTGGTTCACAGGCTGGCACTCAATCCACTAAGCCACACCAGCCAGGACTAGAATATACTGTTTTTAACAAATTTCCCAACCAAGAACTCTTATTGTGAATTCTAAGTATTGCTTAACTCTAAGTTAAAAACTATAGTCTCCACCACTCCTGGCTCACCCTTCCCTCTTCCCCATGAATGCTACTTTAGTCACAATTCCTCTACTACTCAGGGACTTAAGCAGTTACCTCCCCACTTTCTGAATAATGAATGCAATATATATTAATGTGAGAATGTCTGTCTCCCTAGAAGTATACATGTTCCCACTGACAGAATGCTTTAACAGGCTTCTTCACTGATGCAGCCGCCAGGTCAGAAACAAAGCATGGCATATACAGGACACAAAACAAATGTTTTAATTTGATGGCACAGGTTTTACTGGGATTCACAACTAATTCCTTTATTTACATGTATTCATGAACAATATCTAATAATAAAAACACAGCTACCATCTACTGAGTATTTACTATGTTCCAGTTACTATTCTAAGTGCTTCACACATACTAAAGTCTTTTCATCCTCCCAACAACCCTATGAAACAGGTATTATCATTATCCCCATTTTATAGATGAAACTGAAGCACAAAGGGGTTACCTAACTTACAGATGCACAATTAGTAAGAGGTAGTGTTTGGATTCTCACCTAGGCATTTTGGATTTCAACCTCACAATAGGTTCAATCATTCTGACTCTCTCACAGAATCAACAACTCTCTAAACTATCACCAGAATATGAGAGAGATACCAACTAACCCATGAGGCAGACATTTCAATAAATCCCATCTAACAAGAATCCTAAATGAGCTTTACAAAGTTTATATGAATTATTAAACATATTAAAATTTTACTCTGGTCTATCAATATTTACAGATGATATTCTTCTAATTAAGTCTCCTCCTACAGCAGCAAACTGGTTCCTCATTGAGCTCAAAGGAGCTATATGAAAATAATATTCCACCTATCATTATTTATAATAAATACTTGTTTCTTATAATAATGACTTCAAATTAAGAAGAATAAAGATTAAGTATTCTAATTTCACCATCATACCAGCAAGAGACAGTTACAATAAAACCCTACCTCTTCATGTCTCATTCCTTCTATCATTTGCATGATACTTATAAAGTGATGGCATCTATCTGAATGGTCAACTTGATATGTAGGAAAAGGATGATCTTGCCATAGTCTCCATTCAGAGAGGGAGAGTTGATAAATTCCACTGCTTGGTTCTTGAGTCTTGATTAATTATTTTAAAAATAATAAAAGTGATAAAAAACACTCAGATGTCACAAACTGACTTTTAAAAAAACACATAATACACAGACAATCATCCTAACATAAATAATTTTAACTCATTTAGATACTTTCAACTAAACTCTCAGGGGGGAAAAAAAAAGAATTTCATAAAGTACAAAGTTCCCCTTTAAATGTATTTTTAAAATAAATGTTAAATGAGTTACTACTTGATCATATCCCTGTTTATATAGTTCCCTGTTATGAGTAATATTTAAGAAAATGTGGTTCTCACCAAGACGGAGGTGTAGGTAGATATGCTTCACTTCCTCGCACAACCAAAAGAAGGAAACAACCAATTTAAAAACAAGAAACAACCGTAACTGCCAGAAAATCAAACTGTATAGAAGTCTGACAACCAAGGAGTTAAAGAAGAAACATTCATCCAGACTGGTAAGGACAGAGATGGGCAACTGAGGTGGAGAGGAGGCATGACAAGGTGGCAGCTGGCAGACACAGGGAGGCGAGGCTAGAGCTGGTCAACAGGGTGGTCCCACATTTGCGTGCAGATAAAATGGGGAGAAAGAGGGATGGCGCAACCCAGGGTTTCAGTGTAGGGAAAAATAAGGCCTCAGAACCTCTGGCTGTAAAAACCTGTGGGGGTTGTGGTGCCAGGGGAAGCTGCCAGCCTCCTGAAAGCAAGGCGAGAGAGGAGCAAGCGGCATTGTTCCCTCTTGGACCCCTCCCCAACATACAGCATCACAATGTAGCGCAGCAAAGTGGGTTGCCACACCCAGGCAAATACCTAAGCCTCTGCCTCTTGCAATGTAATAGGCACGCCAAGAGAAAGAAATGTGGCCCAAATGAAAGACCAGATCAGAGCTCCAAAAATAGAACTAACCAATGAAGAGAGCGCCAACCTATCAGATGCACAGTTCAAAACACTGGTAATCAGGATACTCATAGAAATGATTGAGTAACGCTGCAAAATGAAGAAGTGAAGGCTACACAAAGTGAAATAAAGGAAATATACAGGGAACCAACAGCGAAAGGAAGAAAAACAGGACTCAAATCAACCACTTGCAACAAGAGGAAGAAATAAACATTCAACTAGAACAGAATGAAGAAACAAGAATTCAAAACAGATTAGGAGAGGATGAGGAGCCTCTGGGAAAACTTTAAACGCTGCAGCATCCAAATCATAGGGGTGACAGAAGAAGAGGAAGAGCAAGAAATTGAAAACTTATTTGAAAAAATAATGAAAGAAAACATCCCCAATCTGGTGAAGGAAATAGACATACAAGTCCAGGAAGCTCAGAGAGTCCCAAACAAATTGGACCCAAAGAGAAACACACCAAGACACATCATAATTAAATTGCCAAATTTTAAAGATAAGAAGAGAATCTTAAAAGCATCAAGAGAAAAGAAGAGAATTACGTACAAAGGAGTTCCCAGAAGATTATCAGCTGATTTCTCAAAATAAGTCTTAAAGGAAAGAAGGGGCTGGGAAGAAGTATTCAGTCATGAAAAGCAAGGACCTACATGCAAGATTACTCTATCCAGCAAAGCTATCATTTAGAAAGGAATGGCAGATAAAGTGCTCCCCAGAGAGGGTGAAGTTAAAGGAGTGCATCATCACTAAGCCCTTATGATATGAAATGTTAAAGGGACCTATCTAAGAAAAAGAAGATGATCAAAACTATGAACAGTAAAATGACAAAAAACATAACTATCAACAACTAAACCTAAAAAAACAAAAACAAAAACAAACTAAGCAAACAACTAGAACAGGAACAGAATCACAGAAACGGAGATCACATGGAGGGAGATCAACGGGGGGAAGGGGAGAAAGGAGGAAAAGGTACAGGGTTAAGAAGCATAATTGGTAGGTATAAAATGGAGATGGGGAGGTTAAGAATAGTATAGGAAGTGGAGAAGCCAAAAAACTTATATGTTCAATCCATGGACATGAACTAAGGGGGGGAATGCTAGAGGGAATGAGGGTATGGGACAGAGGGGCATAAAAGGGAGAAAGAAGAGTGGGACAATTGTAATAACATAATCAATAAAATATACTTAAAAAAAGAATGTGTGGTTTCAAAACTATTGCGTATATCCTATAATGTAACAGTGAGTCATTGATAATCTCTCAGTGATACTAATCCCAATTTTCATGCCAGCTGCCATTCTTTACTTTGCCTGTTAGTGAATAAAAAAATACAAAGTCTGAATAACCATATATTCCAAGCACTATAAATCTAAAAGAAATCTTTCCTGAGGTTGTTTTTCTACCTTTTGGGGTACAAAAGTAAACTTTGACAAATTCTCTTGATTTTCATTAAGTTCAAATTAAAGTTTTACTATAATTTCAAAACAAAAAAATAAAAATAGATGGTCGTTACAGCATAATTTTATGTTGGCAGTATACTGAAAAGAATTCTAAAACACAACAGGGAAATAGTCAAAATATGGTATACTGCAAAGTATCATAACAATCATGTAAATTATGCCTATATAGACATGTACATATGGTAGAAAGTAATAAAGAAAAGGCATAACTTATGTAAATATATTATGGTCATGTAAAATATGTGTGTGTGCATGCGTGTGTGTGTGTATGCAAGAATATAAGAAAATTAGAAGTTTTTACAAACGTACATTTTAATATTCTTTTTAAAACTGTTTACATTCTTAAGTTTTTAGGTTTTAATTCTGATCAAAAACATTCTCTGTACTCTCAAAGTTACTGAATAATCATTATAAAGAATATTGGAAAACATGTTCCACTTACTATTTCAATTTCTTCATTTGGTAAAGACAGAAACTGAACTTGAGGCAATGTTATTTCTTTAATTTCATCACTGTCTCTTAATCTATAAAATCTGTTCCATAATTTAAATTCTTCTTCTGATAAAAGCCAATCTTTCTTTGAATTACTTTGTCTCATTCCTGTAAGTTGAAAATTGAGAAGAGCTTAAAAAAAATCTTCTAGGCAAACACAAAATATACATCAACTCTCTACTCATTGCTGCTGATTCTTTTCCTTAAAACCAGTATTCTTCATAATCACTCTGGTTATCACTTCATGCTTCTATATATCTACCAAACTTTTCTCACCTCTTTGAAAGTACTAGCGTACCCTGCTGTCTAAGAGCTAACCTTCAGTAATAATGTCATTAACAGAACAGAGCCAGGGAGCTAGGCTCTCAGCCCTGGCTTCTTTTGGACTCTCTCCATTTTGTTGCCTAACCTGGCATGAAACAGTTAGGTACCTTATAAATAAAAACTAGTATCATAATTCTATCGTAATGTTATTAGAAAGGTTATCTTAAGCTTGTGGGGGGAACCCAAAGACAACAAAGGTTTTTAAATTGTCTTAAATTGGGAGGTGGGGGGAGGCACCACAGAGAGGGGAGGAAAAGATCTACTGGTGGTTTTTTTTTAAATGACATAATAATATACTTTAAAAAAGAAAAAAAACAGTAAATTAACACTTTTTGACTTCCATAATCTCTATAAGGGAAAATAACTGCCAAGCTGTCAGGATAGTATTAAGTAGGACCTCTGCCCCAAACAGATGAGGGAAGGAAAAAAAACAAAAAAACTACTGAATTAGGGCCTGGCTGGTGGGTCAGTTGGTTAAGCATTATCCTGTACACCAAAAGGTTGTTGGTTCAATTCCTAGTCAGGGTGCATGTGAGAGGCAACTGATTGACATTTCTTTCTCACATTGATGTTTTTCTCTTTCCCTCCCTCCCTTCTCTCTCTCTAAAGTCAATAAACATAGCCTCTGGTGAGGATTAAAAAAAAACGTTTTTTTTTTTTAAAGAAAGACTACTGAGTTAGAAAACAGGAAACTTCAGTGTTAGCTATTCCCAAATATTATAACAAGCTTTTATAAAATAAGGGGTTTGAACTAAGTGATCTCTCACGTCCCTTTTAGATCTAATAATCTGAAGTTCTAAGACTTTTGAAATAGGAAGGTATTCAACTCTCCTAGTCACTTTAAGTAAATTTAGTCCTCTAAGCTCAGATGAATCATATACTAATATATAGATCACATTTATACATACAATTTTGGCAAGATGAATCACTTGAAAAATCAGAGAAAATGAAAAAAAGTACAGAAGAATAAGCAAGCTAATATCTCAATTTTTGTAAAAAGGACAGGTATTGTAATATTATTGACATATATGCTTGTCTAACTACTGAGCTGTACACTCAAGACCAACACATAATAAAAAAAATAAAAATTTAAAATATTAATGTAAACCCAGTTTACTATAAAAAAAAATTTAGTAACAAAATTTGCCATCCATTCCTAGTAGCATTTTAAAAACAATTATTAAACTACAGTTAATTAACATTTATAAAAATACAAGATTAATTTATGCCAACCTAATTGTTTTGATGCTTTTATTAGTTTAATAAACTCAAGAGAATTAAAGCATATACCATCTTTTCATTTTAACCAAAAATTTGGCAGAGTCTTGTAAAATGACAGGTATATTCTTATTAAGTAGATCTGTATTAGGTGTAATAGGCATATCCAAAAAGCAGTAAGGGCAAGAAAACTAACAAATTTAAGTAAGTTCAAAGCAGAGGAACTAGAAGGAAAAGGACTTGGAAACATTATGGTTTGAAAACCTTGGGAGGTACTTTTTCAAATGCATAAATGACTGCTATATAGCTACACCAAGAATCATAACTTTTTTTGTATCTAGAAGACAAAACTAAATCAATGAGAAAGAGGTAGAGAGACAGATTTTTCAACATAAGGAAGAACTTTCTTCTATATGGGGCTATTCAACAATGGAATGAACCTCATATAAAAAAATACAATTTCTTTTAAGAGAGATATTCAAGTTGAGCCTGGATATTCAGTTAACAAGAATGCTGCAAAAAGCACTCCTACCTTGACAGGTCATTGGACCAGATGATCCCCAAGATTCCTTCCAAATCTTTTAATACAATTACATGATTTTATGATTCTTTAAAAGCCCCCCTTAAAGACTAAAATTCAAAAGAAAAATTCTTAGTTGCGCATTTTTTCATAGTGTTGATATGTCAAGATAGTTTCTTGATATCACCACAATCTCTGCAGATTTTAAGCTAGCAACACTCATTCCTAACTATGCTCCCTGGCACCAAAGTATGTTTCTTATTGACTCGGTATCACCAATAACTTGGTCTAATTTCACCACAATTTTAAAGAGGGGAAAAAAATGAATTTTCTCCTTTACAGAAAGGGAAAGAACCATTCTCTTCCCTTTTTTTAGAGCAACTCCAGAGACACCTAATGTTTATAAATCCTTTCTTTAACCCTTTGGTGTGTATGAAAATCTTTGTAAAGGCTAAGCAAGCCTCTAGTCAGCTTTTCAACCAGAAATGTTTTTCTTAAGGGTCTAGGAGCTGTCACTGAAATGTAAACATCAAGGATAGTGCCCCTATCTCCCAGTCATCAGAAGAGTTTAGCTTAGGCACCTGTTCTCTAAGCTGTCATTATTTGCTTGTCAAAGAGATAAGAGAAATTTTATTATTTCTTCAGATAAAGGCAAGTAGCTAACACAAATGGCTGCCTTGATTACCAGCTGAATTTGGGATGAAGTATGAAAGAACATACAGCAAATGGTACTGTCCTCTTATATGAGGACACATTACTATTGATCTTAAAAATATCTATGTAAAGGATTGTAAGGGTTTAGGGGAATGAATAGGGTAGAATTTCTGTCTTTGTATGACTCAGTAAATGGTCTACTGTGCATATTGTAATCTAATGCTTATTCAAAATAAAACTGTTTTCTTTCTTTTCTACATTTTATAAAAAGGATTCTCTCGGTTGGCAGTATACTTGAATTTTCCCAGCACTGAGTTTCAATCACTCTGTACTGCCAATGCCTCTTTCCCTTTACCATACATATATCCTTTCCGAAGAAAACACCCATAACATCCTAGAATGTACATTGAATTCCTCAAAGAAGAAATACTATTTATCAATATATGGTACATACATATTGATACATATATAAATATATGATCTGCTAACAACAGGAAAAATATGAATGTTTCAAATGTCAAACTTTTTATTTACCATTCCTATAGGAAAAAACAGATGACTTTCGCTGCAAGTTCCGAGAAGGCTTTTCTGGTTCATAGACATCATGTGTGATGAACATTTTATGTAATTCTGGATTGATTCCATCGGGAACCATTCGTGGACTTGCTCGGTAAAAATGAAGGACCTGTCTATTACCTGAAATAGCTTTATAAATACTTCTTTTGTTGGACTGACTTTGATTATATGTCTGTAAAAGCAAATAAATATCAAATTACATTAATTCTTTAGTAATCGGCCATAACAAACAATTATTTATATTAGTTTGGGTTTACTCTAAACAGTAAATTCCACGCTGATCCACTTAAATATTTTAAAGACAAGAATATCTGTTGCCGTGAATTTGAAGCCTGTTCAATTAACTCTTGATCAAAATCTATTATTATAAATCTTACCTTAGTAATCACCTTGCACAAAGGAAATCTATGTTTTAGTATCTTGCTGTTTTTTAATAAGTCTGATTCATTGATAATATAAAGATTGCACAAGCTGCCAGACATAACATTTGTTGGAATCATTTCATAGATTAACTAAATGTTACACAAGAATATGCTGTAGTCACATGAAAAATATTGGGAAAAATTCACTATTCAGGATAATTATTCTAAATCACAAATAGGATTTTTTGTCACCATTGAAAGTCTGAATTTTAAACAGATTCTTGGACTGGTAGCTCATGTCCATCAACTCTTTCAACTTTAGCACCTGTCTCACTCCCAGTAGTTTTTCCAGATCTGCTACCTGCTACCTTCACCAGGAAGCTCCAGGAGTTTTCCCAATTCAAATTTGGGCTTCTCCAGCATTTTGACTTTTCTAACAAAGGCATCATGGAGCAGATAGGTTGGCAAGCCTTTTCTATGTCTTTTCCAATGCTGTCTGCGATCAATTTATTGTACACTTCTTTCAAGCCATCTGTCTGCACCTCTCGGGTTATGATTCCATGATCTTATTCTGGATCTGGAAGACCTGTTGATGCTAAGTATAGAGGTCTTCCAAATGTGACCATTGCGGTTTTTTAGTTAAACCAACACAGAGTAGACAAAGCACATAACCATCAGTCATCTTGATCTTCAACCCTGGTCTGCCATTTTTGATCATGGAGCACATTTGTCATGGATAGGATGCGTGCCATGGAAATAAGTCAGCATTTTTTGACCTGAACATCCTCAGAAATTAGCTTGAATTTTCTAAATGCAATATCATTGTTCTGCAGGTCCAGTTGAGGCAGGAGATAGAATAGGAAAGGGAAAGTCTCTGGGAGCCAGCTGCTGACACCAATAGAGCTGCTCATCACATTTATCAAGAATGTTGTGCCCTGATAGCCTTGGACATTTCTGGCTTTCTGAAAATGCCTGGCAGAAAGCCATGCCTGCACCTGAGCACCCCAAGTGACCGATGTTTTACCTTTTCCCTATTATATCATTATAATAGATTAGCATTGTACTTTGACCCTCCGGGTGGGCAATCAAGGAGAATGATGGGAAAATACATATGCAGAAACATAAAAGTTATATAACTACTCGCACATGCACTGTAAGAGCCTGCCAATAGGAACAAAGAGGTAAAAACCCAATAAAACCCACACCCCTCTGGCAGAAGGGGCCCGTTCTCTGGTCAGAAGTGGCCTGCTCCCATATCTTGGGAAGTGTACTTTCCTTGACAAATCTCACTTGCTTCACTTAACTCTATTTGTGTAGTCCCTTCCATTCACTGTTTTGACCACCAACAACTGGGCCTGGTCTCCACCTGCAGCATACTAGGCTCATTACAAAAAACAGGACCCTTAAGACCATTAGATGCAATTTTGGTTCCTTGAGTTCTGGCAACTAGTGTGTTTCCAAAATTTCTTATATTGAACATAGCTAGTACCTTCGCATTACACCAATATTCTTAGAAAATGTATCTACCACTTTTTTCATGGCTCCCTTTTTGCTGCCTTTCTTAGTGCACTTGTTCTTGATAACCACCATGTAGCACACTCAGCCAAAAGGGGTCAGATAATTTTAAAGGGTACATAAACATTTATTTTTTTATTTTATTTTATTTTATTGTTCAAATACATTTGTCTCCATTTTCCCACCATCACTTTCCCCTGCCCCATCCACCCCCACCTCTTACCTTCAATCCTTCCCCACTTCGGCTTTGTCCATGTTTCTTAACTTGACCCTTTCCTTCCCTTTCCCCCATTCCCCACCTCCTCCCATCTCGTTACTGTCAGTTTGTTTTTTCTTTCAGTGATGCTGGTTATATTTTGTTACTTGTTTGTTTAGTTGATTAGGTTCCACTTATAGGTGAGATCATATGGGGTATATAAACATTTAAAATCAACTTTTAAAAACTAATACAATTAATGAAAGTTTTTAATGTGAAACTATGTATTTGGCCACAAAAGTAGTCCCACTGAGTTACAAAAGTTAGTTAATACTTTAATGTAACAAACACAAAATAATATTATGTACAACATTATATTTAGGAAGGTCTGTCACCCAAGATTGTAGCAAAGTATAAATATAACTCAAGTCCCTTATCACTTAGAACAGGCACCAGAAAAGTTTTCCATAAGGAGCCAGACAGTAAATATTTTCGCCTTTGCATATTCTTCATTGGTTGGGTGAGTGGGTGGTTCATCGATTGATTTAGGGAACTCTTCAAAATGTAAAACCATTCTTAACTCACTGTAGTTGAAAATCTAAACATAAAAAACTGGCCTTAAAAGCACAAGGATATAGTAAAACAAAGTAATACATATTAATTTTTGCATTTAGCTGTCTAAATTAATACTAAAGTACAAATGTTTCTTTATATTTGAAAAACAATCCAGCTGAAAATTCTCCTAATTAGAAAAAAAGAACAGTCAGAATCTAATACAAAGGGGAAAAAAAATCAACCAATTACTTACAGGTTGTTTGGACTTTGAACCTAACTGACATTTGTATTTTGGCTGTTTCTCAAATTTCAATTACAAATCGTGTTTCTAAAAGTCTACTTACACGTTCTTCACGTCCTTCAGCAAGAATAACAACGATCCTGCCTTGACGTTTGCGGCCAGTCCTACCCATTCGTTGTATAAGACGGATTGGGCTCTTCTGCGCATCAAAACATATTATGAGATCAACTTCTCCTATATCCAAACCTTCTTCACCAACACAAGTGGAAACCAATGTATTGTAACCACCACTACGAAATTGTTTCACTACCTAAAATAAAAAAATTTTAAAATAATTAGATGCAAAGGTAAAAGAACCGTAGATCAAAGCAAACCACTCGCCTCAAAATGATGAAATCAAATTAAAAATTAGCATCCAAGATACTAATGAAGAGGAAAAGAAGTGGCAAAATGGCAATATAAGCCAGAAGAAATTGTGGTAAAATGCAAAGGGCAGGCCTCATTTCTTTGCTTTAATAATGGTTGTGATTCCAAAAAGAGTTTGTTAACAATTTACACATGAATGGGAAACTCCAGATATTATTTTAGCATCACTAAAAGGGGCATAGGACAAGTTAGTGGTCCAGAGCAATTACTACTATATTATCATACCCTAGACCTAAATTATTGGTAAATGTATCTAAAGTAAGAATGTTTTATTACTGCTAGAATTTGTGGATGAAAAAGGAGTAAGAAATCTAACCAAAAATAACCTCACAAGGTGATTTGATCATAAATTACTTATGTAGGCAGGTTAGAGTGGGTATTCTTATCCCAGACCTCTAACTAATTTAGTAACAGGTTTATCTTTGCCTTAAGCAAGACCTGTCCATTGTTTCTGTGCATCTAGGTTAACATAGTTTTGAAATGCCTTTGTTCATTCAGACCCTACAAGACAGCACTAATTTATCCTATAATCCAATCCCCCACTTTGCTTTCTCCCACTTTCTTGTAATCCTCCCAACTCTTCCCTCCTTTCCAATGTAGAAAAGAAACAGCAGTTGTCATTTTCCAAAGTATTTAAAATCTTACTTCCCAGTACTGTCAGCACTATCGTCAGTTTGGCTCAAATAAATAAACTCTTATAAAAATTCTCTACACCTTTGGCCATTCTTATGTCAACAAATTCATACCTTACTTTTTATATTGTCATTCCAGTGAGGGACAGAAGAATATGCCACCCCAAAATATGACTGTAAAAGTTGTCTATTTTGTACATGTCATTACTTTTATTATTCTTTAACATAACCAAAATAGACTAATAAAAAATGTCAAACAACTTCCCTTTTAGTTAACACTTATAAACTATTATTTATATGCTTAGGACTGATATTAAAATTTGCCTGAAGTTTGAAAAATAAATACAAATCAGATGTTATTTAATTAATCAAAGAAAGGAACAGTAATTAAATCACTTCCACCAGGATTTATAACCTACTGATCTTACCATTTTTTCACTGCTTACCCTTTACCCTAGCTTAAATCCTACTCCCTTGCCCCCTCTCACTCCATATTCCTGTAACTAAACTCCAACACTGGATATATTCCACGTTTCACAGAGTCTGAGCCTATACCCACGTGACTGAATGTGGCTGGAGGAAAATTTCAACCATGCTAACTGATTTCACACTAACTCAGCCTCTTACCTTGAATAGGTCCCTGATGTTATCTGAAAATCATTTCACATTTCCCTAATTCATTCACTGTCCCCTCTCTCCTGGATAACTGTTTCCTGCTCTCACCTCTCTCATCAAACTTCCAACCTTTCTGCCCCATCCTCATTATTAGCTGATGAGATGGAAAAAACTGAACAATCAAAAAAGATCTCCCACAAGGTGTCACTGCCACATCTACTCACCCACCTATCCCTGTGCCTTTATAGTCTATCTCCCCGCCTATTGTTTTGGATAAACTTTCTGTGTTCTTAACTGAGGTCAATCTCTGTTGTTTTGTATTAGATCTCATCCCTTTCCCTCCTATACTCAAAGATCATTCCAGCAATACATGTCTCTGTTCTATCATCAATTTCCTTTATCAATTGATCATTCCTATCAGCATACAAGCATGCTGTTATATATCCCAACATAAAATAAACAAAAGACCACTTCCATTTTTGCTCTCCTTTATAGCAAAAATCCTTGAAAGACTTGTACACTTGTTACTCCAGCTCTTCTCAATGGTGGCTTATCTCCACCATCCCATTAAAACTGTTCTTTTCAAGCTCAATTTCCTTCTCATCTCTTAATCCAATGGTCAGTTCCCATTTTATATGACCTACCAGTAGCATTTACACATATAATCCTTCTCCTCATTTGGCCCCAGGACACCACGTTCTCCTGGTCCTTCTCCTATTTCAGTAGCCACTTACCACTTTGGTCCCCTAGGGAATCAAAATCATTGCTACTGTTCATAAAAATGATGTTCCCCAGGCTGAGTCTTTGGACATATTCTCTATCTCCACTCAATTATCCAGTCTCATATATATGATGATTCCCAATCTTTGAAGCCATGAAACAAGATGTATATATTCAATTGTTTATTCAACATCTCTACTTGATGTTTATTCAACACTGTTACTCAATAGTCCATGAACTGTTTATTACTGGCGCCAGTTCACAAACTGTTTATTACTGGCCAACAAGCACAAATATTAAAGAGTTTAGAAGCTTGACACAGTAATTCAGTTTATTAAATCTAATAATAAAAAATTTGAACATGAACTCTCTGAGTAACTTTACTTTTCAAGTAATTTATGTTTATTGCAACATTTAAAAGTATCTGATGTATTGGGAGGCAATAAACTCCTAATCATCAGTTTTGATAGTTTGAAAATCACTAATCTCACAGTCACACCAAAGTTAACTTGTCCAAAAACCAAGTTACTGATATCCTCTCCAAAATGTGCTTTTCCTGCAGTCATATCTATTTTAGTTTATAGCAGCTCTTTTCAGTTGCACAGGCCAAAAACCTTGGAATCAGCCTTCACACTCCTTTATCTCACATCCCACTCTAATTTGTCAATAAATCCTGTCAGCTTGACTTTCAAAATATATCCAGAATCCAATCATTTCTCAAAACCCTCCCTGCTAACAACTGTTGTACAAACAACCATCATCTTTATCTTGAATTATTATATTAAGTCTTCCACTTTAATCTTCCTGTTTCCACTCTTTGGCCCCTATAGCTTATTCTTAAGACAGCAATCAGTGTGATTATTTTAAAATATATATCAGGCCATGACCCTTCCCAGCTCCAAGTCTCCAAGGGCTTCTTCCCATCTCTGAGAAAAACTCAATGTCATTAAGATGGAAATTACCTAGAGGGCTCTAAGCTGGCCCTCCACTTCCTATCTGACTTTACTTCCTGTTCCTAAAAAAAAAAATGAATAATTTAATTAAAACTATTTGTATGAAAGCTTATTTCAGAATAAAAGTGCTGTTATGAAAGGAACTGTGTACAGTAGTAACAAAAAGAGTTGTTACTGTGGCATACATAAAAATATTACTGACATAACTGAATAAAGGACAAAGTTAATAAAATCAGTAAGGTTTTTTTTTTTTAAAGATTTTATTTATCTTTAGAAAGAGGTGAAGCGAGGGGAAAGAGAGGGAGAAAATCATTTGTGCGATGGCGCGGGAACGAAATACTCAATCCAAGCACGGGCCCTGACTGGGAACTGAACCAGTGACCTTTCGCTATGTGGGATGACACTCAGCCAAGCCACACTGATCAGGGAAAAATCGGTAAGGTTTTTTATGGTACCTAACAAACTCAAGAAGTAATGACATTGAGTAACAAAGAAATTGACTGGAAAACAGGCTGGGTATTATGGGTATTTATTTCAAAATGCTTGACCCTCTAAGTAAAAATCCATTTTATTTTCTCATTCACATATAAATGTTAAGATTAGTAGTACTCACCCACTAGAAGTCTGAACCCTTTAAAGTACTTATCATCAGACTTGAGATAGGGAGAGGTGTTATGTTCAGACTCAGGAAAAGTTAGACTCTCCCCTCCAGATCCAGACAATTTAAGCAGACTCTTCTGAGTACAGCAATCAAAGTTCATGTTCAAATTTTTTATTACTAGATTTAATAAACTGAATTACCGTGTCAAGCTTCTAAACTCTTACTCTTAATATTTGTGTTTGTTGGCTGATATAAAGATATTTAAAAAACAGGATTCCTACCCTGTACAGTATGGCTCAGTTGGTTGGGCATTGTCTGACAAACTGAAAGGTCACAGGCCCAATTCCCAGTCAGGATACATGCCTGGGTGCAGGTTAGGTCCCGGTCAGGCCACGTAGGAAAGGCAACCAATCAACAATCAAAGTTTCTCTCGCACACCAATGTTTCTCTCCCTCTTTCTCCCTCCTTTCCCCTCACTCTAAAAATAAATAAAGTCTAAAAAAATAGGATTCCTCGTCTACTAATGTTCACAGAATTGAAAAAGGGAATATCAAAATGAATTAGACAATAAAGACATAACTAATTGTCAGTGAATTAAACCTACAGCTAATCTGCAAAAACCGGTATATAGTTTATAAAGATTAACAGTCTGAAATTTCCCCAAAAGAACATGTTATAGTACTTAGGAAACATGACCTCTTATTTAGAGCATATGGTAGGATTTTTAAATAACAGAAAACAAAACAGATTAACTGTTTGGAATAAATAACATAAGGACTTAAAATAAATAAATAAATAAACATTTATTGAAGCCTCTACAGTACAATTTCATTTAATGCTTACAACAACTCTATGAAGTATGTTTACATATAAAAAAAATGAGGCACAGGGAGTAAGAAAATATAAGTGGAAGAGCCAGGATTCCAACCCAGGTAATATGATCCCATGGCCTAGCTGTTTAACTATGACACTTAACACGTACTTTAAAAAGAAGTTTCAAAGCTACAAAAAAGCACTTTTTGGGGTGATGAACACAAAATACAACATACAGACTTCTAGCCAAGATGAAGGCATAAGTAGATACACTTTGCCAAAAAGAAAGTGTATCTTTCCACTTTCCACACGAAAATTTTCCATTTTCCATTTTCCAAAAGAAAGACAACAAATTTAAGAAAAAATAACCAGAACTGACAGAAAATCAAACTGTACAGAAGTCCAACAACCAAGGAGTTAAAGAAGGAACATTCATCCAGACTGGTAGGAGGGACGGAGACAGCGAGCCTGGGTGGAAAGGACCCGTGGCAAGGCTGTGGCTGGAAGATTAGGCAGTCCCACATTTGCATGCAGAGAAACCAGAAGAACTACTGGGGAGTGAGACAGACTGCACATTCTAGGGTTCCAGCACAGGAAAAGAAAATCTCAAAAACTCTGACTGTAAAAACCTGTGGGGGCGGGGGGTGGCAGCAGGAAAACCTCCCAGCCTCACAGGAGAGTAAGTTGGAGAGACCCACAGGGTTCTAGAACATACACAAACCCACCCACCCAGGAATCAGCACCAGAAAGGCCCAATTTGCTTGTGGGTAGGGGGGAGTGACTGAAAGCTGGCCAAGAGCCGAGCAAGTGGCCTTGTTCTCTCTCGGACCCCTCCCCAACATAAAGCATCACAACGCAGCAACCTGGGTTGCCCCACCCTGGTCAAATACCTAAGGCTCTGCCCCTTCCAATGTAACAGGCACGCTGAAACAAAGAAATATGGTCCAAATGAAAGAACACATCAAAGCTCCAAAAACAGAACTGAGCAATGAAGAGAAAGCCAATCTATCAGATGCACAGTTCAAAACACTGGTGATCAGGATGCTTACAGAAATGGCTGAGTATGGGTGCAAAATAGGGAAAAAAATAAAGGCTATGCAAAGTGAAATAAAGAAAAATAGACAGGAAACAAACAATGAAGGGAAAGAAACTGTGACTCAAATCAATGATTTGAGGCAGAAGGAAGAGATAAACATTCAACTAGAACAGAATGGAGAAACAATAATTCACAAAAATAAGGAAAGGCTTAGGAACCTCTGGGACAACTTTAATGGTTCCAACATCCAAATCACAGGGTTGCCAGAAGAAGAAGAGCAAGAAGGGCAAGAAATTGAAAACTTACCTGAAAAAATAATGAAAGAGAATTTCCCCAATCTGGCAAAGGAAATAGACTTCCAGGAGATCTAGGAAGCTCAGAGAGTCCTAAAGAAGTTGGGCACAAGAAAGCACATACCAAGGTGCATCATAATTACGTTACCCAAGATTAAAGATAAGGAGAGACTCTTAAAAGAAGCAAGAGAAAAGGAGACAATTACCTACAAAGGAGTTCCCATAAGACTATCAGCTGATTTCTCAAAAGAAAACTTGCACGCAAGAAAGGGCTGGAAAGAAGTCAAAGTCATAAAAGGCAAGGACCTACATCCAAGATTACTCTATCCAGCAAAGCTATCATTTAGAATGGAAGGGCAGATGAAGTGCTTCCCAGAGAAGGTAAAGTTAAAGGAGTTCCTCATCATCAAGCCCTTATATTATGAAATATTAAAGAAAAAAGATCAAAACTATGAATAGTAAAATGACAACAAACTCACAACAATCAAAAATTGAACCTAAAAAAAACAAAAACATAAACAAACTAAGCAAACAACTAGAACAGGAACAAAATCACAGAAATGGAGTTCAGAGGGGAAAGGGAGGGAAGAGAATGGGGGAAAAGGTACAGGGAATAAGAAGCATAAATAGTAGGTACAAAATAGACAGGGGGAGGTTAAGAATAGTATAGGAAATGGAGAAGCCAAAGAACTTATATGTATGACCCATGGACATGAACTAAGGTGGGGGAGGAATAAAAGGGAGGAAAAAAATGGGACAACTGTAATAGCATAATCAATAAAATGTATTAAAAAAACAAAATATACAGATAATGTATTATAGAATTGTATACCTGAAACCTATATAATTTTATTAACCAATATGAATTCAATAAAAAATAATTTAAAAAACACTTTTTTTGCCTTCCAAAATAAGCCTATCTTCATTTATGTTTTACTATAAAATTATCTTTAAGAAGTAGTGAAATAAACCAGTGAGAGGAAGACGAATACCGTATGATTTCATTCATATTGGAATCTAATGAACGAACTGAACTAAGAAGCAAAATAGAGACACACTCATAGTTGGAGAGCAGGCTGACAGCTAAGGCATAGGCGGGGGAAGGTAGGGAGTGGAGGGAATGAGCAGAAATGGAAAAGGACTCATGGACATGGACATGGACAACAGTGTGGTGACTAGGGGAGGGGGCAGTATAAGGTGACTAAATGGTAATGGAAAAAAAATACAATAAAATTTTTTCTGGCAAAAAAAAAAAGTAGATAATTGACCCGTGAGTTAAAAAAGCTTAAGTGCAAAGCTAATTAATTTTATTTTTATTTTCATCATCTCCAACAATAATTACCTCCAGTTGCTCCTTCTGAGTAAAACCCTTCATGCTCTTCCCTGAGGCATGGCCAACAAAAGTCATTGCTCTAATAATTGGCTGATGCTGTAAAAGCATTTCTGCAATTTCTTGAACACTATCTCGAAATGAAGAGAAGATCATAACTCTGGTCTTGTCACATTTCTTTTCGGACGTGTTTTGAGCTATACAACAAAAATAATTACAACTTTTTAAAAAGCTTATAGATAAGAACTCATTCAAAAGACAAGCCTGAAACTATATTCTAATGCATGATAATTCTTTAAAAAAAAGATAAGACATCTTAAACCTTTGTTGGGTTTCCTACCTTTCCTAATAATTTTATTAAATTTGGCTTCTAATCTCTCATTAATTGTCATAAAATATAATCCTAAGTAAACCAAATAAAAATGACCTGAATCACTTTTGACCAGTCCTTCATTTCATGTACGATGCCCGTTATTCCACTTTGCCTTCTACATCAGAAGTGCAGAACTAGAGAGTTCCCACTGATTTTGTAAATCTTCCTTTTCCTTTTGATCACTAAAGGCACTGTCCTAAACCAGGCCATGGCATTCTATCCCCAAATCTACGATTCTTTCAAATTCTCCAATAACTGCAGAATATACTCTACAGTCACATAAAGCTCCTCCCAATGTCTCTGTGCTTGGGAGACAGTACAGTGCATGAATAAGAACGCGATCTTTCAGGCTGGGCCACTTGCTCTCTGGGTGATGTGTGGCCATGGTAGTGATTTTCTCTCTTTAAGTTTTAGTTTCTTCATATCTATCATGGACTAAGGTGGATTAAATTAACTAGTAAACATAAAGTGTGTAGACTTGCACATAGCAATTGGTTAATAATTGCAAGTTATATAGGGTTTACTCTGGTTGTTATTCGTTTTCCTTTGTTTTTGCACTTGCTTGGGACTTTGACAATACTTCTTTCTCCCATATGAGCTATATTAATCATCATGTGTGTGCCAGGGACTACACTAAGAATTTTATAGATTAACTCATTTAGTCTTCATAACAATCCTAAGGATTAAATGACTTAATATGTATAAGTTGATTCGTGAAAAAGAAAGAGCAGCTGTTACAGGAAAAGTATTCTACATATACCTCATTTGAGTCACCATAGCATCAAGCCTCTACATCTGATCGATAGCTACTTTTCTTTTTTTTAAATCAAAGACAATTTATATTTTGAAATAATTTCTAATTTGAAATAATTTCAAACTACAAAAAAATTGCAAAACTAACACAAGTAGCTTTCCCCTGACCAAAGACATTTGAGAGTAAGTTGCTGACATGATAGCTCATCACCCCCTAATGCTTCAGTGTGTAAATTGTACAAACAAGGGTCTTATTCTATGTAAAGACAATGAACCATGAAAATCAGAAAATTAGCTTTGATTCATTATGACTATCAAATTTATAGACCTTATTCAAGTGCTGCCAATCATCTTAATAATGTTGTTGGGAAAATGCACCAATTGTCTATAGCTATTTTCAATGTAATGTTTATCTCCTTCAACTGGTTGCCACCTGCCTTTCAGTCTTCGTTCCACTGAAGCTCCTCTAGTGAAGTCATCAACAACTTCCCTATTGACAATTTCATGAGCACTTTTTAGTTTACTTGACCATAGGCCTCAACAGTATTTAACACAGTCCTTTCCTTTCTACTGAAACAGTCTCTTCCCTCAGCTTGTCTCACACTCTATTTGTCTGGCTTACTTCTCAATCTCCTTTGTGGCTTTTTTTCATCTTAACTTTAAGTACTGGTGTTCTTCAGGACTACCTCTGGCCCTTCTTTTGTCTCTAAACTGTGTTCCTGGTGATGTCATCACATCTAGAAATTTTAAATACTGTCTTTATGCTGATGACTCCAAAATTTATTCAAGTATGTGTAAATTATAAATATAGCCCAAACCATTCTTCTGAGATCCAGTTATCCAGTGCCTACACATCTCCATTTAGATGTCTCAGAAGCAACCTAACATGTTTGCTTTCCCTTCTCTATGTTGTTCTTAATTTTCTCTTTGCTCATCTAATCTTCCATAAACACTCCCCCATATGATTTCTTTCTTTTCTTACATCCTATGTCCAATCCAGCAAAAAATACTGTTGGCTCCAACTTCAAAATCTATGTAGCATCTATGACCACTTCTGAGCACTTCCAGCACTACTGTACTGGTACAAGCCACTGTCATCTGCTATCACCTTAGACTATTGCAGTAGCCTTTTAAATTGGTCAATATCTACATTCCACAAAACCACCAGAGTGATCTTTTAAAAATGTAAGTAAGATCATCTCATTCTGCTGCTCTAAATGCTTCTGTAATGGTTTCATAAAACATATAAATTGGTAGAATAAAATCTGAAGTCCTGCCCCTGGCTACTTCTCCAGCCTCCTCATATACCACTGGTACCCTCATTACAATACTTGAGCCAAAATGGTTTGTTTCTTGATCTTTAACCATACCACATACCTTACTGCTGCAGGGCCTTTGATTCTGCTATTCTCTCTACCTGAAGTCATACTCCCCCAGAAATCCACAGGGCTTGCTCTCACATTTCCTTCATGTAACAGCTCAAACATCACCCTACAGACAGCTTTCTCTAACACTCTATAGAAATAAACAGCCTCCCTCATGACTCTCTATCTCCACACCTAGTTGACTCTTCCTTACCATCATATTATTTATTGTTTTATTATCTGTTTCACTTATAGTGCCCCGGACAGACTTTTCTTTTTCAAATACCTTACGGTATTCTCAAAATCCCCACCTATCCTCTCAAAATTTCTCAGCGTTTCTTTATATTCATTATCCAGAGTAATTAAAAGCCTATCTTCTCTATAAGAAATGTTAACACAAACTAATGAGTCAGTTTTAAATTTCACAGTAACTTTGCCTTGCCTTAAGGCTATTAAATATGACCTACCATTCCATGACTTGAAGTGTTCAACTACAATTTCTTCTAATTTCTTTAATTTAGGATGACTATAGAAAAATTCTTTTTCTCCTGCAAAAAAATAAAAATAAAAAATGAAATAGTATTTCAGTATTTTTCTATATTCAATTACATCAACAAATTTTCAAAATGGATTTGTTAAAACTTGAAACTTTCAGTGGTATCTGGATAGCACATAAGCCTTACTGTAAAATAAACTTTGAATTCTTATGAAAACTTCATGCTCACAGAGAATACACACAGAAAGCAATGTAGAAGGAAAAAAAAAAATAAGTGCTTATTCAAGCTTTAAATCAGTTTTTGGTAGTTCTAAGAACTTTTTCACTACCAGTAACCACCACTAACTTCTATAACATTACATACTGCTTATATATTTATCCTAAGTTATTCCATTTATTGTATTTTATTTATTTATTCTATTTATCCCTTTTATTATTTAACAGGTCTATTGCTACAGAAATATAAGTGAGACATGTCGATCAATAAAGTAAAATTTTAAAATTAACCTTGATGTAGAAAAAATATAAAATTTTAAAAGAAAAACCAGACCATTTTTGGTAGTAGAAATGCCATTTGCTGAAGTACTACGTGTATGTGCAAACATGCACTCTAGATGACTGTAGAGTTTCATGAAGTCCTCATTGCGGTGAAGTTCATTTTTTGTCCGAGTCATTCCTTCAGAAATTAAGCAAAGGTTTTACCCATAAATAAACTTAATAACAAAATTAATCAAATTTATAATGTAGTTTTAAAAATTAATCTTTAGCAATGAGTGCAAGTTTTTTTAATTTAAACATGAAAACCAGCAACTTTTTTCTAGTTCCACATTCACATATAAATGGCTTGGGTTTTTTTTCCAGCAACTTATCAAAAACAAGAAAACATAGCCCTGACTGGTGCAGCTGAGTGGGTTGGGCATCATCCCGCAAACCTAAAGCGCATCAGTTCGACTCTGGTCAGGGCACATGCCTGGGTTGCAGGCCAAGACTCAGTTGGGTGGGTGCGGGCGGCAACCAATTGATGTTTCTCTCACACATCCAAGTTTCCCTCCCTCTTTTTCTCCCTCCCTTCCCCTCTCTTGAATAAATAAACAAAATCTTTTAAAAAAAAATTTATGGTTTTTTTTTTTACAAAACTGTTTCACTGCTTTTTAAAAGCATTTCTTAAGTAACCCAAACTGTTTAACTTTATCAAAAAGTATTCATGTCAGTATTTCTTTAATTTACCTTTAGTTCCATCCATAATTCCACAAAGGAAGAAATACAATGATCTCATTCCCATTTGTTGCAATAATTCATAACCATGATACAAACTAATACAAAGAGCAAATTCTCCTTCAATTATACCTTGTTGAATTCCCTAGGAAAATAAACATATCAAATTTAACCAGGGAAATAAAGATACGTGTTCCATGTAAAACTTACTGGTTCTACTAAATGTCTAGGACATTATTATGGGAAGGTGTCAATGTATTTTCCATATAACATGTCACTGCACATTTTTTTCTTTAATTCAATAGGAAACTTACATTTTAAAGAGAACAGGTGAAGGAGAGAACTATTTATCATATATTGTTTTTCTTTATAGATAAATTATTAGCAGTACAAGTCCTGTCCAGAAGGTATCCAGCCATGTAATATGAAAAATAGAGACATTTATTTAAGAAGATACAAGATACAGGAAACACTGTACACAGGACAATGATGCCTCAGTCCCCTTCAAAGTAGGCACCTTGGGACCTTACACAGTCCTTCCAATCACCATCAGCTGCCCTTTCGTATTTTCCTGAATCTCATCAAGGGTTTGAAATCTCTTCCCTTTCAAAGGTGATTTTAGTTTTGGGAAAAGCCAGAAGTCATAGGGCACCAGATCTGGGCTGTAGGGGGAATGAGTCACCTGGGTGATTTGATATTTCACCAAAAAGCTCTGCACAAGATGTGATGCATAAGCAAGCACATTGTCATGATAAAGCTGCCAATCACCAGCTGCACATAGCTGAAGCCTTTGGAATGATCCAAAGTTTCCACAGAGGAATGTTCAAGCTTAATGTAAAATTTGATGCAGATTCATTGCTCAACTTGCTCAGTCATTTTGAATGTAATGGCCACACAGTACACACGTTCACTCATCAGCATCTACCACCCCCACTGACTACTACAGTTGAAGTCATCATTGTTCACACATACACATTCCAGTCCACCCTCCTTGCTTGCCAGGTTACATTAATGTCGCACAAACCATTTTCATTATATTAACAATGGTTGGACTTTTTCTGGACAGATCTCGTATACAGTTTCATTTGTCTTTCAAAACTATTTAATAAGCATCTACTATGCGTTAAGCATCAAACTAAACATTTGGTATACAATGGAAAGTAAGTTAGATATGGGCCTATCCTCACAGATATTATAGCATCAGGATAAATAATTAATCAGACTGTTTATCACTAATGTTTAACACCATGTATACACACCATAAAAATATCTGAAACTGAGGAGATACTGTTATAAGCACATTACTTATACAAATTCATTTACTCTTAACTCCTAGGAAGTAGATACTATTGTTATGCCCATTTTACAGATGTAGCAGCTCATATAGGTGGTAAGTAATAGAGCCAGTGTTTGAACCCAGGGAATTTGGACATGTTCTGTGCTTTTAACCACACCTCTCAAGGAAAAGTGAAGTATACATTCTGTTTATGGGACCACAGAGTAGGTGCATCTATATAATAAGATAGTTTTAAAAGAAGACCACTGAGCATATCTTTTAATCATTTTCCTTTATTCGAGATAAAGACTATTATTCTCTGACTTACATTTTTAGTAGCATTTAACATCGGTGATAGTCATTTTAAATGTTTCCAGGAGAGTGATAAATGTCCTAAAATGGCAGCCTAATTACCTAAAGGGGTAAAATCACCTCTATAAAATATAAACTGTCATCAGTAAAAAATCAAGTTCAACAGTTTTAGATTCACTATTTAAAATTTCAATGCGTCTTCAACTTCTAGCAGAAATTTAAAAACATTTATTAAATTTAGTACATTATACTGCAGTTTCACAGAAAGGGCTCCCTTCCTGATTCCCCAGACACTGTAAAGTCCGTATTTCTTGTCTTACATTTAGATCTACTCCCACATGGTCATACCTAGATTAACTATCGTCTCTGACTTCCTCAATCCTTTAGCTCAGACAAATTGGTTTGTTCATTGTCTCCCTCTTACCTTCATTCATTCACCTCTGTTCTTTTGCACATGAGTTCCTTCTCACTTCTAAGGAAGACTCAGTGCCTTCTTGTGCTTGCGAGCATCTCCTGACTTTGGACCTAGCTTGATGAATATGTTCCTACCCGCCCATTTTTTTCTATGGCAATTAGAAATAAGGTTACTGTGATGCTTCCTCCAACCTCAGCATTGAGAGTTAAGACAAAATGTTATGGGGCTAAAAGTTAGTTAGGATCTACTCTCTAGCATGGTCCTCTGACTTTGCAAAACAGAAATGAACTAAAAGACCAATGTTTAATTAAAAGTTTCAAGATAAATTTATCTTAATTAAAAGCATTAAATTGTATTCTGGTTCAATTTTTCAGGCTTGTATGACCTATATAAATCATACCTGAATTCTTGATAAGCTAATAATACATATACCAAAAATATCATTATTTCCATTTTATCCTGGTGCTCAGTAAAAACTTAATCTATTATCAAAATTTATTTTAAAATACCTACCACAAAATTTGTAGGTGGGTTTTTCCTAAATTGATCTCTTGCCAGAATTATCTGGTATTTTGTTAGATTGGGGATATCCCTTCTCATCAAAAGATTCCTCTGAATCAAAGAACTGGCAAATGATTCCAAAATCTGCAAATTTCAAGGGAATTTAGTTTAATCTTTTCTTAAAGTCCTTTTTTCAAATATAATCATTTATCATATACTAAAACAAGAGTTATATAATAAACTATATACTGTTTAACCTAAAATGAATTTTTAAATAAACACAGGAAAGATAATGATAAAATTTTAAAGTACTTGACATTTATCCCCAGTTAACATTCATATGAGAGTAAGCACAACCATTTATTAGATCCAACTATAACTGAAGGACATGTGTGTTTATCTGTTTATTTCTTAATTCTCTCCCTTTTCCCAGCCTAAGCGCAATGAAAGGATGGCCTTGATTTCTTCACTGTTGCATCTTCAGTGCCTAGAACAAGGTCTGACACATAGGTAAATATTTGTAGACTGGTGACTAAATCAAAATGCTCTGAGTATACTTAATTTCATTTGTTGATTCATTATTTTTAAGAAATAGTTATTAAGCATCTATAATATATCAAGCATTGTTCTCAATGCTGGGGATATTGTGACTGAGATCAATGAAATCTCTGCTTTCATAAAGTTTATATCCAATGGAGGCAAGCAAAGATTAAAAAAGTGAACACAGGAAGAAGGGAATTTCAATGATGGTAAATGCATTTAAGAACCTAAAGCACAGTAATGTTAAGAGTCTTTGAGGAAAAAGGGGTCACTATCAAGTAAGATGAACAAAGACAGTCTCTTTGAAAAGATAGTATTTGACATCTGAATGATGAGGTGGGTCTAGCATGAGAGGATCTGAGGACAGAGCATCCCAAAGAGAGGAAGGAGAAGACAAAAGGTCTTGATGAAGGAATGAGCTTCATGCCACAGTGAAGGAAAAAGGAGACCTCCAGATGAAGATATACTACAGTAATATGTAATAAACTATTCAAATTTTTGCCTAATTTTTGTTTCCTAAAATAGAACTTAAGTTTTTTTATTTTTAATCCTCACCTGAAGAAATGTTTGACTTTAAGGGAGGAAAGGAGAAAGACAAAGAGAAAGAGAAAGAGAGAAATATTGACCGGTTGTCTCTGGTAGGCACCCCAACTGGGGAATCAAACCTGCAACCTAAGTATGCACCCTGCTCAGTAATCAAACCTGCAACCCTTTGCTACACAGGATGACAGGCCAACCAACTAAGCCACCCAGCCAGGGCTATTTTAGTATATTTTTAATTTTCCTCCCTTCCAAATTTGCTTATCACACTGCTTAAAGAAGCAGTCTCAGCCCTGGCCGGGTAGCTCAGTTGGTTAGAACATCAACCTGATATGTGAAGGTTGAGGATTCGATCCACAGTCAGGGCACATACAAGAATCAACCAATGAATCCATAACTAAGTGGAACAACAAATTGATGTTTCCTTCTCTTTCTTTCCCTTCCTCTCTCCCTCTAAAAATCAATGTTCATTTTTTTTAAAAAGGCCCTCTTAAAAATACTGACAAAATTAATTTTTTATTATATGTGATTATACAAGTTACCATTTTAAATTCTTGTAAGTAAAATAATTTTAATCATAAGCAAATGTATTACTATTTAGGAGACTATTATTGGAAAGACTTGCCTTATCTTAAGTTAATTATGCTTAGAAGTTTGTTACAAATAATTTAAAAACAAAAAATAAACCATATTCCTTAAAATTTCACTTTAACACTTATTAAAGGTTAAATGATAGCTGAATGTTTTGGTTATATATTCCTGCATCAAGAATTACTTCAAAACATCATAGGTTAAAGTAACAATAATTTTATTTGCTCATGGTTCTAGCAGTTCACTGAGACAACCTAGGAGTTATGACACCACAACAACAATGAGAACATCTAGTGCCCAGATCTTGGTTTCTAAACACCATTCTTCCATAAAAGTAACAAGGATTCCTTGGGAAAATGGTTGATTCCATGACTGGGACAAGAAAAATACCAAATGAGCATAAATTATCTTGCAATGCCAGACAGTTAGAAAGTACTTCTTCCTCAACCCCACTCCCAAAAAAGTACATCTTCAAGAACATAGAAGCCATCTTAAAGGAGCTCCTAATGGCCAAAGCTGGTACAATCTGAGCAACAAAATTAATAATGATAGTGCTGGATTTAATCCACAAAATAAAATAAATATCCATTGGTCCATACTGATATAAAGAACTGAATTAATAAATAAATGTAAGAGGAGAAACAACTCTTCATTATAGAAGAATTCAAGTTAACAAATGTAAAAGAAATAAGGGAAAGAGGAAACACTGATTAGGTAAACATTACAGAAGTAATTGTTATATGCAAGAACCACCATTATTATGCTAAAATTAGTGGGCAAAATATGTTGAGAAAAGAATATTTGTGGATTCTTAAAGTATTTCCCCCTGGAACTGTATGCCATGTTTGCAAATTTCCTGACATCTAAAATTATTGCAAAAATTAAAAAATTTAAAAAATTCTGTCAGGGCACTGTGCTGACAGCTTGTCTCTGCTCCTCATGTTTGGAGCTTCCAGTAGCTGGGGGATAGCTGGAAAAACTCAACCGGGGCCATATGTCTGCACCTTCAATTCTAGCTACTTATCTACTGGTTTCTTCTCCTTTCTCCTCAACATGGCCAGCTTGAGGTTCATCACATGCTATTGGTCAAAGTCAGAGGGCCAGCTTAGATTCTGAGAAAGGGGAAATGTATCATGCCTCTCAATGGGAGGAATGGCAAAGAAGCCACTTTGATCCATGACAATAAGAATATGAAAAAAAGGTTTTCTCCTAAGATGACACTAATTATGAACTAAAGGAAAAACATTGTGTTAACTCAAATTTCTCTCTGAAATTTCACTGAAAGTGATAACAGTGTAAGAAGTTTCTCAATAACTATAATATTCACAATTGGACCAGATAATTCTTTGTTGCTGTGGGTGACGGCGGGCTCTCCTGTCCACTGCGGAATGTTAAATGGCATCCCTGGCCTCTACACACGAGATGCCAGTAGCAAGTCCACTCCCCATCCACTACATATATGACAACCAAAAATGTGTCAAGACATTGGCAAATGTTATCAGATGGGCAAAACTGCCTCTAGTTGAGGAATCAGGGAGGAAAATATTGAAAATTATTTCCTTACAAAGAAACTTCTGGCTGAATCTAGATGTTATGGGTGTGATCATTATGTGAAAAATCACTGAGCTGCACACTTATGTTTTGTGTACTCTGCTGTATGTGTATATGGGAGAGTCATACTACAATTAAAAGGGTTATTTAAAAAAATACAAAGTTATTATTGGCTTTAGAAATGGTCCATCATTTTGTATTTCTTCTTTAACAGCCTGTCAGTACATATAAATGGTGCTCTTTCCAAAAATTTCAAAGAATTTTTCAACATATTAATTGTAATTATACATTTTAATGTAATTATAAAATTAAAACTAAATAGTCTCACAGCCAGATTCCATTAACTAAAATAATTACATTATCAGTTCATCTATTGAAACCCTGAACTGTGATAAAAATGGTTTACCTGTACATATGCTTTTTGGATGGCTGCAAGCTCTTCACCAAGGGGAACAACAATCTTTTCAACTCGTCTTTCATAGGAGTATGGCAAAATATCAGGAGAATCTTCAGAACGAAGTTCTATTTGCCCAATTAGTAAGTTAGTAATAACCTGTTGCACAGCCTACACAAAACCAATGAAATATGATTTAAGCTATAGTACATGTTAAATATTTTACTTTGTCCTTAACAGAAATAAAATGGCAAAATTGTGAAAGCATTAAAAATTCATATCCCTAAATGTTTATTTAAAAAACTAAAAAACATCAGAAGTGACTCAACTAGTAAATACCCAACAAGTTAATCAAATGTATTTTGCACTTTCCAATAGCATTGATATAGTCCATCAACCTTTTACAAAAACGCAGACAACTGAAGTTTTATATTAGCAAACTAAATCCATAAAACATTGTAACAGTCAATTTTAGAGCCAAAACTAGAATCCAGATTCCTTGATTCCTGGCAAATACTCTCCATTGGTTTTGTGGGGAAAACAAAGTAGTCTTGTTACTATTAAAGGATAAAAATGTATCTTACATTTGTAAGGAATACCATACACCTGTTAAGAATTTGTGAGTAAAGGACCTATACTAAATCAATTATTGGTAAACTAATGGAATATTTCTCATTTAAATCAATATATATGATGTGAATCTATTTCTGGGGATGAATTTCATTCACCCAAAGGTCATAAAGGAACTTAACTGTAAACTTAGGGAATAGGAGCAAAAATATAAAACCTATTGGAAAGAACAACTACTATACCATTAGACTGTAGTATTGACAATGTGATTAAGAACTAAAGGGGAGGGGAGAGGTGGGAAGTAGGGCAGGGGGGAAGAGAGGGAGGAAGAAAGACTCAATCATAAAAGTATTTAAAAATTAAGAGCTTTCTAAAAAATAAAACCAGAAAAGCTTAATGGGCTTAGTTTCTGACAAAAAATTCTCAAGGGCAAGAATCATATCTTAACCACCTTTGTAGTCCCAATACCTGGGGGTAATAAGGTAGTTTACTATATATAGTAACAGAGGACCCACATATATTCAAAATCGATAGTAAATTTATGACCATTTTATAAATATGAGTAAGACTTTAATACTTTTAATCATTCATTCATTCCACAAATGTATGAGTAACTTCCACATGCTACCTGCTAGGTGTTGTGTTGGTAATAGAGCTATACCCAGGATAGGTGTAATCCCTACATTAATGTATCTACTATTTTAGTGGATCAAAAAGTCAACAAATAAATAATAAGAAAAGGAATGACAGATTATGATAAATATTTAGAAAATCACAAGATACAGGGAGTTGACTTTTCATAGCTTAGAGTTGATCTCTCTGAAGGGATGACAATTAAGCAGAGACTTAAAAGCTCAAGTCTCCACTAAAAATAGGCATTTTTAAACGAAGTTAGGGGAAGAACCAGAAATAAAATAGAATTTCAAAAAATCATCATGGCTATGCACAGAAGAAGGTCATACAGATTGGCAGAGTTTAAAGTTATCTTAGAAAGTATACAAAAGCCAATACAGTAGATCTTTCAGAGCTACTAAACTCAGAATGTCTTGGATAGCACCCAAAATCTGCATTTGCACTAGCTTCCAATAAAAGAAACCAGCACTCCCTGGGCAAATGGTTGTTTCCATGGCTGGAACAGTAAAAAATACTAAATGCACATAAAATATCTTGATGCCAGAAAGTTAGGAAGTTTTTGTGTTGAGTTTTTTTGTTGTTGTGTGTTTGTTTTTTGTTAAGTGCTTTCTAGGCCCTGGCGAGGTATCTCAGCTGATTAGAGCATCATCCCAATATACCAAGGTTGTGTATTTTGGGATATTCCCCTATCTGGACACATACAAGAATCAACCAGGGAATGTATAAATAAGTTGAACAACAACTAATCAGTGTTTCACCTCTCTCTCTCTCTCCCCCCCCCCACTTCCTTTCTTTGTCTAAAGATCAATAAATTGAAAAAAATTAACGAAACAAAACAAAAAAATAGTAGGAAAAAAAAAGAACTTTCTAGAGGACACATGAGCCACCTCAAGATTTTTCAAGGGTCAAAACTGGAATATGAGCAACAAAATTAAGGGTGGTATTGGATTACAATCCATTAAAAAATCCATTAGTCCATATTGACATAAATAATTGAACTAGGGTGAAGAACGTATCGTAGGTAAACATGGCTCACCTCCTCGCACAACCACATCAAAATCACAACTAAGATATAGAACAACCATGATTCAGAATCGTCAGAAAGTGAGTTGAATGTAAGTCTGACAAATATGAAATTAAAGAAATCACATCCACCCAAACTGGAAGAAAGTACGGAGATGCAGAATAGGCTGGTCCCACAGCCATGTACGGTGGAAAAAAATTCAGCAGGGATATCTTGGGAACAAGGAGTCCCAGCCCCACACCAGGCCCCCAAGCCCAGGATTCCAGTGCGAGGGAGATAAATCCCCATAACTTCTGGCTGCAAAAAAGAGCACAGACTGAGTGAAGAAACTTCTGGAGTCCCAAGCAATTCCTGTTAAAGGACCCACAAATGGACTTATGCAGACTCACTCCCTCTGAGCTCCAGCACAGGGGTAGCAGCTTGAAAGGCACCAGTAATATACAGAGAGGAACTGAAGCATCTGGCATCAAGGCGGGAGCTGGGTGACAGTTTTTCCCAGGCAGAAATGTGGGCAGAGGTCACTGTCCCTTTCTGAACCCATCCCACACAGACCACAGAGCCGGCAGGCAGCTGCTATATTTGAGACGCCATCAACCTTGCTAACACTGTTTGCTCCACCCTGGAGATCCCCTGAGACTCTGTCCCACCCAGCTTACAAGTACACTGAAGCTGCTAACAGAGACTTTTCCCTATGAATGGCTGATCTTGACTCATACTTCACAACCCCCTAAATGCTGTCAAACAAGCAGGCCTCAGTAAGTCCCCATTCCTCTTGCTAAGTGGCCCCAGGCCTGGTGCTAGCAACAGCCAGCCTAGATTCTCAGCTTGGGAATCTCCAAGCCCAGAGTAAGTATCAACCATATCAGATTGCTTTATCACTTACACAGCGTGGCCCCAGGCAAAACATAGGTAGGAGCTGACCTTGGCCTGCACCACCCAAGAAACTGTAGAGCCTGCGTACCCAGTGGACAGCTACAAACCACACTGGAGCACCACCACACTGTCCATGCACAGCTGATCTTCCACAGAGGGTGGAGGTTGGTGGTCAGTGGTCATAGCTAGTCTTTGCACCTGACTAGCCTTGGTAAATCCCTCCCATTGACCTGCCAACAGCAATCAAGGCTCCACTACAAGAGGAGGGTGTGCTCAGCCCACACAAAGGGCGCACCTCGAGTACCTAGCTTGGATGATAAGGGTGGCTGTGCCACTGGACCCGGCAGGAAACCTACTACATTAGGCCGCACAACCAAGACAGTCATAGCTCTACCTAATGCATAGAAACAAACACAGGGAGGCTGCCAAAATGAGGAAACAAAGAAACATGGCCCAAATAAAGGAACAGATCAAAACTCCAGAAAAAGAACTAAACAGAAGGGAGATAAGCAGTCAGATGCAGAATTCAAAACTCTAGTTATAAAGATGCTCAAAGAAATTAGTGAAGATATCAAAAGCATTAAAAAAACTCTAGTCAGAAACAAAGGGTACACTAACTGAAATAAAGAATAACTGACAGGGGAAACAACAGTAGAATGGATGAAGCAAAGATTCAAATCAAAGATTTGGAACATAAGGAAATAAAAAACAACCAGTCAGAACATGAAGAAAAAAAGAACCCAAAACTATGAGGATAGTGTAAGTAGCCTCTGAGACAACTCCAAGCATTCCAACATTTGCATAATAGGGATGCCAGACGGAGAAGAGAAAGAGCAAGAAATTGGAAATCGATTTAAAAAAAATAATGAAAGAAAATTTCCTGAATTTGAAGAAGGAAATAGACATGCAAGTCCAGGAAGCACAAAAAATCCAAAAAAAGATGGATGAAAAGAGGCCCACTCCAAGACACATTGTAATTAAAATGTCAAAAGTTAAAGATAGAGGAAAAAACTTCAAGATGGCAGAGGAGTGAACGGAAGTCACACTGACCTCCTCCCAGGACCAATCTGGAGTTAAAACTAAATTGTGGAGAAATCACCTGGAACAAAAAACTGAACAATAGCGAGAGAGAAGCCTTAAAACCTAGGACAGATGGAAGAATCGGCTTTAGCACAACATAACTGGTAAAGAGTGCAGTAGAGACCCGAGAACGCGGGTGAAGGCAAGTGCCAGAAGGATATTTAAAGGCCAATTGGATCCCCCAGAGGAGAGCAGGGTCTGAAACATAGGCAGGGATTTCCAGCCTACAGCACCAGAGCCCAAAAAGAACACAGAAACAGCCAGTGTGAAAAAGAGCAAGGTTGCTCTCTGCCAGAAATGGGCGGCTGGAGATGCAAAGATCCTTTTAAAGGGCCAATGTATAAATTTTTATTTGCAGCCACTTACCCTGTGCTGCAGCAAACGCTAGAACGGAGTGGGCTGGAGCCACCTGAGGAAAGACTGGGGAAGGAGTCTTTGGGGAGAGAACTGAGAGAGTAGCCAGCAGGGTGTTGGTGCCGACTCATCCCATACAGCAGCAGCCATCTTGCTCAGGCAGACCACTCCCCCGAGCAGCACCAGTATGAAAGGACACAATAATCCCACCCACAGAAGGGACTCTGCCCTGCCCTGTGGTGCCTAAGCCTGACCGCTGAGTGCAGAGTGTGACTAGATTAACAACTGAAGTAGACAACCAAAGACAATAGATTCCAGAAAGTCTCGAACAGACTGCCTAAGGTCAGAGCAGCATCTGACAGCATCAGAGGCAGACCCAGAAAGAAAAAACAGTGGTCTCCTACCATAGAAGTTCACACCACAAAGTCAGGAAATCAAGACACATCAATTTAAGAAGCAGAAGCAAAAAAGAAGAGTCTCACAAATAATGGGATGACAAAGAAACGCCACCCAATTGAAGGGAAAGGAGGAAGCCCCAGAAAGAGAAATAAATGAAATAGAGGAAAGTAAATTATCAGATATTGAGTTCCAAACAACAGTTCAAAGGAAACTCAGTGAGCTTGATGAGCTCAAACAG